TCCTAATCTCAGCTCGTTACCTGTATAAAAGACACCTGGGAGCCAGAAATCTTTCTGATTGAGAGGGGGTCAAATACTTATTTACCTCATTAAAATGAAAATCAATTTATAACATTTTTGACATGCGTTTTTCTGGATTTTGTTGTTATTCTGTCTCTCACTGTTCAAATAAACCTAACATTTAAATTATAGACTGATCATTTCTTTGTCAGTGGGCAAACGTACAAAATCAGCAGGGGATAAAATACTTTTTTCCCTCACTGTAGCTACTGACTGTACAGTAGTATATACTGAGTCCAGTAGTAGCTACTGACTGTATATTAGTATCTACTTACTGTAGTAGTAACTACTGACCATAGAAGTATCTACTGACGCTACAGTAGTAACTAACTCTATCATAGTAACTTCTGACTCTATAGCAGTATCTACTGCCTCTATAGTCGTATCTACTGACTATGTAGCAGTATATACTGACCATAGTGGTATCGACAAACTGTCGTATATATACCGACTCTATAGTAGTATCTACCGACTATAGTAGTAACTACTGACCTTACAGTAGTATCTACTGAATCTATAGTAGTATGTATTTACTCTATAGTAGTATCTACTGATTATAGTCATAAAACCAAACGGGTTTCCTTAAAACCTTCTGCTGCTAGACCACCCAGACTATATGGCTTACCAAAAATCCATGAAGAAGGTACACCCCTTCGTCCCATCATCCCATCGTCTCCACCATTGGTTCACCCACCTATAAACTGGCTCGATATCTGTCTGAGACCTTGCAGCCATTCACTGGTAAGACCGCCTCTTCTGTTCTTAACTCAGCTCACCTGGAATCCCCAATTAAATACATCTCACTTGTCCCCAGGTGATTTACTCGTTGGTTTCAATGTAATTTCTATGTTCACCAAAGTTCCTGTGCCCGATACCATTGCAATAATTGAAGATTTGGTCCAACAAGGACTGAATACTGACGTACCAGCCCTGGTGAGACACTGCCTCACCATTACATACTTCACATAGAATGGAATATTCGACAAACGAACTGAAGGCAACCCAATGTGTTTTCCATTATCTCCGGTTGTGGCCAACATTTTCATGGAAAATTTTGAGATGGACGCCATCCAGGCATCCACTCTACGTCCGTTCTTGTGGAAGAGATACGTGGATGACACGTTTGTCATCTGGCCACAACCACATCAATTCCATACACCCAGCAATAAAATCCACCATGGAGGTAGAAAAGGATGTCATGCTACCTTTCTTGGATGCCTTAATCAAAAAGAGACCAGATGGCTCATTGAGCCACTCTAAGGAAAGTAACCCATATTGATGCCTACCAAAAACCTGATTCCCACCACCATCTATCCCAGAAGAATTCCCTCATCAAAACGCTACACCATTAGAGCTTCGACCATGAACACCTGACCAGTGAACTCAAACACGTACACCAGGCTCTCAAGGCGAATGGATATTCTGGCTACACAACCCACAAAGCCATCACCCCAACTGTGAGGAAGGAGCCATCTGAAGATCCAATCAAAACCATCACCTTGCCTTACATCGCAGGGATAACCAAAAAGATTTCCAAACTTGAACAAACACAACATCCAGGTCCGATTTAACACAGTGCATAAAATTCGTGATCTGATCCCATCTGTGAAGGACAAGATTCCTGACATGCAATATCCCGGCGTCTACAAACTAAGCTATATCTGCGGCAGCAGTTACATTGGGGAAACTAAATGACATGTCTCGGACTGTGTTCGTGAGCATAAGGCAGATCTGAAACACGGCAGGATCAATACTTCTGCCGTGGCTGATCATTACTTTAATGCGGCTGGTTCACATGAAATTGATTTCTCTAAGACGATGGTACTTTGCAAGCCGACTGGCTATCACCAAAGATCAATTCACGAAGCCATCCATTTCTACAGACACACACAATTTCAACCGAGATGACGGTTAAAAACTCAGCAATCATTGGAAACATATCATCAACCACTTTGGGTCATAACTTGATTTGTGTTTTCTTGTCAACCTCTACTGTCAGCAGTCTGGATGTGTGTAGTGAGGTGCAATACCCCCCCCCCCCCCCATATCTCTACTCCCCCCCCTCTCTCCCCCTATCTCTAACCCCCCCCCCTCTCTCTCCCCCTATCTCGACCCCCTTCCTCCCCCCATTGTCTACTCCTACATTAGCACTTTCTGACTTACGCCACGCAGCTTTCCTTCTCCCAGCTCTCATCCCCGCCCGCTCACTTTGGAAACCCTTATAAGCAGTTGCATTTGGAGGCTTGCCCCCTCTTTTCTCTACGCCTGATAAAGACCGCTTGTGTTGCGATCCAAACGTCGTGGGTTTTTTGGTTTTATTATTTACAAAAAAATCATAATTTTTTTATTTTTATTTTCTATCTTTGTGACTTTACTGAAAGAACCAAGAATATCTAAAGTAGTATCTGCTGACTCTATAGCAGTATGTGTTTACTCTATAGTAGTATCTGCTTACTCTACAGCAGTATCTATAAAACTACAATAGTATCTACAGACTCTATAGTGGTATATACCAACTCTATAATAATATCTATCGACTCTATAGTAGTTAGCTACTAACTTCACAGAGTGCCGTGGTGAGGCCTAGTCCCGTGCAAAGCCCCCGGCCTCGCCTAGATTGCCCAACCAGCGGAGGTGTCACTTTCGCAGGCATAGTATCTAAGGACTATAATAGTAGTATCTACCGACCCTATAGTAGTAAGTGCACACATTGGGGAGAAGAGGCCATTACACTGTGAAGAATTTACCTCAGCGTTGTGTATTTTTAATTGTATTTTTTACGCGAATGAGAATTCCCCCCCACCGATCACGTGTGTGCGTTGCTAGGGCAACCACCACGCAGAGCCAGCTTTCTCGTGCATGCGCAGATGCATGCTCTGGTGCCACCCTGTGTTTATAAAAGTGAATACTTTGTTAATTTAACTAATTTAAACTTGACAGATGTGATATACGAATAGCGCTTTTTCGTCCCGGGGCATACGGCGTGGTATCCATGTACTTTTCCGATACGTAAACCCCACAGTCTGTCAGTTTAAAACGTCTCCAAGGTAACCGCACAGACAGACGGACAGACACACACACACAGACAGACAAACAAAAAAATACTTATATAGGTAAGATAATAGTTATTTAGCCGGGAATACTTTACTGAGTCTCAACTCTTTTTTAAGCGGGTCTTGCCAAGTTTTCTCAGTAGGGGGCGATGTTGTTGGGCAATTATTGTGATACTTTACTTTTTTTTACAGCTATGGGAGTAAACCGGCGAAACTCGGAGGAAACCCATGCAGAATTGGGGGAGAAAATACAAACTCCACACAGGAAGGCATCCAAGTCGGGAATTGAACCCAGGTCCTTCTTGCTGTCAGGCACGAGTGTTACCACTGCGCCACCACCCTGCCGCGTTTCCACACTTCACTGAGGCTCCACGAAATGGTCAAAAGCATGAAACACAAGCATGAAACACATGCTTTTCTAAAAGCATGTGTTTCATTCTAGATTTGAAGCTTTCGTGACTGCAAGGATTCATATTCTTAGGTTTTTTCGGTAAAGTCACGTAGGTAAAACATCAAAATTAATGAAAATAAAATAAAAATCATGACGTTTCGGAGGCAACACAAGTCTCCGTCATCAGGTGGGACCGTCACAGCCTGATGACGGAGACTTGTGTTGCCTCCGAAACGTCGTGATTTTAATTTTAATTTTATTTTCATTAATTTTGATGTTTTACCTACGTGACTTTACCGAAAAAACCTAAGAATATGAATCCTTGCAGTCACGAAAGCTTCAAATCTAGAATGAAACACATGCTTTTAGAAAAGCATGTGTTTCATGCTTGTGTTTCATGCTTTTGACCATTTCATTCCAAATCGTAATTACAAGTGGGAATTCCCAGAATTCATTAACAAAACTGTGATTTGTCACCTGGATGTTTGAGAAAACTAAATGTCGGACCTTCATTGAGTTGCACCATTAATAGGGAAGCAGAATATGAGAATTTATGAAGATGACGCAATCAGCTCTCTCCCATTTGGCAACAGTGACTAGAACATTGAACTCCGTTTTTGGGTCCAAATTATGAGATAAGTCCTGCCCATAGCATCACGCTACCTATCTTATCCTGTTAGACTGATGAGATTCTGCGAAGTCCACTATGGCTGTCAGTAACCTGGTACCAGGGCATTGCAATTTTATTTCGGTGATTAATAAAATATTTTAACTACTTGTTTATTTTTTTGCAATTTATTTTTAATACAATAATTTATCGATATAAAAGTTTGCTATCTTCTTCATGCACAAATTATCTACACGTAAAAGGTTTATATCAAATGGTAGTCCTGATGTCTGGGTGACACGTGGACATCACATCAAACCACGAGCACACGTTGTTGTTGTTGTTTAAAACAAAATCACGATTTAAAAATCCCCATTTTACACACTCGCCTGTTGCAAAAGAAGCCACAGTGCCCCTCCATTAACACTGCCACATCACAACCTCCCCATCACCATCCTCACGGCCAGCGATCCCCACATCACAACCTCCCCATCACCATGCTCATATCCAGCGATTCCCACCTCACAACCTCCCCATCACCATCTTCACATATAGTGATCCCAACCTCACAACCTCCCCATCACCATCCACACCCCTAAAGCCAGTGATCCCCACAGATTGTTACACTTAGTGACCGGTGGCTCGATGGTAAATGATTCACTCCACCAATCTCACCATTCAGGGTCGCAATTTTATACAGAATAGATTTTTGTTTGCTTTGGTACTGCCTTTTCGATTGTATGGTTTGCAGTGTGGTCAGTATTTGGTTGTGCGGTTTTGCTTTGAGTGGATAAGAATTGTTGATGATGATCATGATAATAATGATGCACACAGACACGCATCACAATGAGGCTCTGGTAGGTGGGTGGGGGGGGAAGGGGTCACCAACCTTAGCGATCAGCTCCACCACCTTCTGACGCTGGTCCATCTCGCGGCGGATCTGGGCTACCTGCTCGTCTGGGTGATCCAACTGCACAGAGAGAGGAGACCAGACAGGAGGCCTCGGTGGTAAGCAGTGGGGTAACACCCCCTAAGTGGGTGACAGTGCAACTGAATTATCTGGGGACAAGAAAACAAATTGGCAGCAGTGATTCCTGCTCAAAGGAGCATTGAAGCATTGGTGCCATTCTCATGCTTGCAGACCTGCTAAGCCAGTGGTGGAAATTCCACAGGAGTTTGTCTATCGTTCAAAAAAATCTGTTGGGAGTCCCCACAAACTGGAACCAACTTTATCGACCCCGAAGTGATGATGGGCTGAGTCAACCCCCAATCAGCAGCTCACTCTACCGTCGAGCCAGCCGTACACGTGGAGCAACGTGCCAAGTCAGGTGTTGTGCAGTGACCGTACAATACAGCTTAAGGAATACAGCACACATGGCAAACGTTCAACATTTATTTCCAACCTCTGAAGAAGAACAACTACTCCTTCCTTATTCAATCAGAAACTCCTACTCACCTGGCTGGCATTAAAGATGAGCTGGTGCTCCAGCTTCTTGATTCCCAAGATGTGCTGGAACATCTCATACAGCTGATCCTTGCTGAGGATGAGATCCGAGAAGCTGCTGGCTGTTATCCGTGTCGACGGCCTCGGTGCCTCATCACCCATGAAGATCTTGTCAAACTTTGTCATCCAGGAGCTCAGCACGGTCTCCTTGGTCAGTCCCGCAATCTCGGGCATCTGACGAACGCGCTTCTCAATGTAGTTCTTGAAGACTTCCCTGAAGTCGTTGGCGGACCAGCCACCGCTCTGCACGATGCGCGCCACGCGGTCGCTCTTCAAGTAGTCCTGAAGTGGCAGGTCACAGTAGCGGGGGGGGGGGGGTCAACCTCAGCTGGTAAAGTCCCCACAAGGTCACGCAAAAAGCAAGCCAACATCAACACACTCACGTGCTTCACCAGTGAATGTACAAGGATCATAAATGTTTTGCAGATAACCACGTAAATATAGACAATTAGTAAGGTTTGTCACGTAAACAAAACATGCCAATTAGTTACTACCGTATTTTCCTGCATATAGCCCGCATACGCATATAACCCACAGGCGTATATACCCTGCAAAAATAGCGTTTTGTGTAAAACAAATTTCAGATAGTCCGCATCGTCATATACCCCGCATGCATTCATATCTTTAAGGTCGTTACCGCAGCTTAATTCCATCATATTACTACAAAGTTTACATTTGTAATACATTGCACTATCAATTGTTAACATTAAAATCATAACGTGCACAAAGAAAACAAACTAACCGGAAACGAGTGAACTTAAAACAGTAAATAAGTAACAAAAGTAAATATCCAAGAAATAAGTAACACATAACTGGTAGATAAGTAAGCGTACTGTTAGGCTTACCAGCATTCGACCTCATCATATTACAGCTACTGGACCGGTAGTTACCCCTGTACAGTTTTAGCACTGGTAGATTGCGCACTGCGCAGACAACAGCGGCACTACGGTAACACCATTGCCTCCTGGCAACAAAGCCATTGGAAGTTTGAAACAAAGCTCAGCCAATAGCAGCGGCCTATGCTGTTTACAGGCCATTACGTTTGGTTACTGCTCTATTCATATTCATATCTAGGGTTTGGCCGCCATATGTTTAATTTATGGGCAAATGTAAACATTGTACAAAAAATTCTAATAATTTAAAACGTGATAACACGTGCAATTTTTGTGTTAGTGGTTAATTCAGCAATGCTTTAGTCAAAGGTAAGTGTTGCATAGTGGATAGTCCTACCATGACATGTCACACGTGAAAAATATTTTTGGGATAGCCCGCACCTCCATATGCCCTGCAGGGTCTTGTTTCGTTTGTAAAAAGTGGTCTACCCTGCGGGTTATATGTGGGAAAATACGGTAGTTTAGCACACCGGTGTGTTGGAGAGTAAACCTACTACAACATTTACAGTTCGAATTCCGTGAAATTTCGCCAATAATTCCCACCAGCCTCATCAGGCGACAGCCAGAGTTGTGGAGAAATCCTCCTCCTGTTTTGGTCTTAAACAGAGGAGTAAATGTGATGTCGTCACTTGTGAGCCAATCAGGTGTGAAGACCAGACAGGGGGGGGGGGGATTAATATATGTGTAGGACTTGAGTTATAGCGCGCCACGCATTCCCTTCCACTGTTGCTATGCGAGCGAGCAGAGTACAGTGGGGTGTATGTGAGGACATGGTTGTTGTTGTGGCATTAGGTGAGAGGGTCGTTAAGCGTTGAGACAGGTGTTCGGGGTAGCCGGGGGGACACAGGCCAGCGATTGGCTAAGAGGGTAATTGGTTGTTAGCTGGCGTCGCTCTGGCAGCAATAACAAGGTCACGTGAGACCGGGGGCCAGAGGGCGAGTGATAAGCGGGAGGTTGAGATAATTAATGGGGATTAATTGGTGTGGGGATATAAGCCACAGCGCGTCGGAGAGAGGGTCTTCTTGTCTTGGTCGGCGTCTTGGATGGAGCTGCAGTGACGGTGCCCGGGGAATCGCAAAGCAGGCGGTGGCGGTAGTAGAGCAGAGACAGAGTGGGTTAGCGGCGACAGACGGAGTAGAGTATAGAGAGACAGTGATAGCGAGAACGCAGTATGCGAACAGGGGTAGCCATGCATCTGAAGGATGCAGTGTAGAATAGCAGGGGAGTCGACAGACCTAGAAAGAGAGAGAGAGACGCGGAGGAGACGCGGCGCGGCGAGAGAGAGAGACGCGGAGCGACGCGGAGCGGAGTGAGGGCACGGAGAGACGCGGAGCGGTGGCGCTGCAGAGAGAGACGCGGAGCGGAGTGACGTCGCGCCGAGACGCGGAGCGGTGGCGCGGCGGAGGTGGACTGTTGAGCGGAAAATAAAGAGAACAGAAAGAAAGCCGAGTACGAGTCCTACATATGCATATAAATTACAATGGATATCCATTACCGGTTGTGTTATTCATAGGGTAAGCAACATACACCATGAATGCACACCATTTCATGCATATCCTGCCCTTTTTAGGTGCAAGAAATCACAAAACCCTCTATTGGCTGCTCACAGTTAATCACGATCGACGTATAGTGGCCTGTATAGGCATGCAGTTAAACAGTGTATTACTTGATAATTCGCTTCCAAGCACCACTAAGCCTGTAGCTATTTGAATGGTTAAAATGATTTTATTTCTCTCAATTTCGATAGATTCTCTAATTAGTCTTGGCTAGTAGTAGCTAGTTTTGCACGGAACTTCAACATTATCAAAATAAATTGAGTGTCCTTGTTGGCACGAGTGTTCTGCCATTGTGGACAGGTGTGTTTGGGAGTATTTAATATACCTTTGGTGTTCCTTTAGCCTGATGCTGATCATTTGCTACAGGAGCAATTAATCCGGGACACACCTTCTGCTGATAACTTTAGTAATATATTTATCCCTTTCTTTAAGACAAAATCAGGAGGATTTCTCCGCAACTCTGGCTGTCGCCTGATGAGGCTAGTTGTAATTACTGGTTAACCGGCTTACTTGAATTGTAAATGTTGTTGTAGATTTGCTCTCCACACCGGTATGCTGTATTTGTAACTAATTGGCATGTTTTGTTTACGTGACAACCCTTACTAATTGTCTGTCGGGTGGTGGTGGGTTTAATTATGCATTTATATTAATGTGATATAACACAAAAACCTCTATTATGGATAATATTGGTCGTGAAAGTCTACATGTTAAACTGGTAGAAACCTATTTTTGGTTCTTTCGGTAAAGTCACGTAGAAGGGAAATAACAAAATAATAAAAACATAATAAAAATTCTCACGACGTTCCGATTGCAACACAAGCAATCATCATCAGGTGTGAAAACTACAGCAATAATTTTTTTGGCTGAAGTGGGAGAGATGCTGTGAGAAGGGGTTTTATAAGTTAGAGAGGGGGGAGGAGCAAGAAAGGGGGAAGTAGGGGGAGGGTAGCGTTACGTGGTGGGGGGGGGGAAGTGGGCGGGGCTAGAAAGGAGCAAAAAACAAATGCCACTGCAGCAAAGCCAATGAAAGACAACAAAGCAACAGTAGCAGTACTGCCAAACGCTGGGGATGCAATTAACTCGGCAGAATAGATTAGTGCTCGGTAAATATGATGGAACAACCATAGACAGTTAACGTTTTTACCTGGTTAATAACATCCTTCCAATGATTGCTCAATTTGTATCCATCTTCTTGGTGAAGTTATGTCTATGTTTATGTATCTGGATGGCTTCATGGACAAACCTTTGATAGTAGCCAGAAGGTTTGCAGAGCACCTTAGTCTCATTACACTATTATACTATTTACTATTATACAGTCTACTATACACCATACCATTGACCGTCACGTGAAAGGTACTAAGAGGAAGCAAAGAAATATGTCAATGGGAGAGCAGTAGAAGGAAACTTGTAGCGGAGCAAAGACTCCGATCCGTGAAGAGAATACAAAAGCTATATAGTCAATGCCAGCGAATGGAATGCGGTCTGTACAAATAATAAATAGTATAATAGCGTAATGAGACTAAGGTGCTCTGCAAACCTTTTGGCTACTATCAAAGGTTTGTCCATGAAGCCATCCAGATACATAAACATAGACATAACTTCAACCAAGAAGATGGATAGAAATTGAGCAATCATTGGAAGGATATTATTAACCAGGTAAAAACGTTAACTGTCTATGGTTGTTCCATCATATTTACCGAGCACTAATCTAACCTTACTAATTGGCTGTCGGGTGGTGGCGGGTTTAACGACACTTTTTAACATAACGCAATTTAACCAAAAAAACCCGGTATTATGGATGATATTTGTCCTAAAATGTTTGTCAGGCAGAATATGGTTTCATTGATGTGTGGGAGGTGTAGTTTAGCGGTTAGCATGCTGCGCTACAAACCTGGTGACCCCGAGTTCTCTTCCCGCTCACGGCCAACACCAATGACAATTATTAAATCGGTCCTGGGCTTCCCATGGTCGTTTCAGCCTCTAATGAGTACCTGGTGCGGTGTGGAAACATCGCCACTTGGAAAACAAAGGTGGCCATGCCTGCATTCATGGGTGATTCCTAACAGCACTTACCCCAACAGTCTGTTAAAGCTATTTGTCTTTTTGGTTTCCCTCTTCAATACTAGGAGCTGGGCCATGACAACGCCACAATTTATATTTTTTAAAGATTCGACAAAAAATGCTAAAATGCTCTTTTAATCATAGCTCTCCTGTGCTAACTCATTATTATCTGTGGGGTGCAGCTGATAAACACATTGTTCCCCAGAGAGCGGCTTCTCCTATAAAAGTGCATATTTACGGAGAACATACCTCGTAGTAAAACTTGACAACGCTGACAAATGCTTCGTCGGTCACGATCTGGGAATCTCCTTGCAGGAAGATGGTGAAGCGCTCCTTGATGGACATGAGCTGCTGCTTGTTCACCTGCAATATTAATGCGCCACACACTGCTGCCATCACATCACAGCCATCGCACCTCCGATCAGCACAGTTAGCTACGTACGGTGCGAAATAAGTTTAACGTAGATATATACTACGATGCGAAATTCACAGACCGAGAGCCGCGACTAAGACTTCATTCAGGTGTGAGCATAAACTGTTTCCACCCAATTCAGTGAGAGAGTGGCCAAACCAGCAGGAAATAGCAATCGGCAGTTATTATTGCACTTTCAGGAGGGTCTTAATGCTGTTTTAGGAGGGTCCTGGTAAATTTTCAAAGGAGGGGGTAAGGATTGCTTTGTGTGTTTCCCAATTAAGTAATTTACAACTGATTTTTTTGCGTGGCAAATTTGGACGATGATGCCGGCACACAATGGCCTAATCTTCCACGATTTACATCGTGGGATCTTTTACGTCCACTGTCAAGCAGACGGAGCAAAGTATTCTATAGTCATTAGACCCACAGTATTAACCAGATGCGAACCGTGAACCTCTGCAACAATCACATCATCATCATGAAGTGTCACGACCAGATTATTCTGCCAACACAAGGATTATGAGCAGCACCTATTTTTTTCCAAAACTCAGTTCTCCTGCAGCGCTGACGACGGTCACACATTCTCACATCTGTATCGTGGCACACCTTTCGGAATAAGCTATGGATGGACATGTTTACCTCTGAGATTAAATTACATTCCGAGTATATGTTTACAGGGTGCAGCCATGGAGCAGTGATGGGAGGCCCTGTGCTGTGAACGAGCGAGTGGTATCTGAACCGGGCGAGGGTTCACATGAGCAGTATCTTAACCAGGCCAGGGTTCACGTGAGTGGTATCTGAACCGGCCAGGGTTCACGTGAGCAGTATCTTTGAGTTGTGCGCCTTTTGGCGTCATCTGGTCCAACCCATGTGAGACTAGGCTCCAAGGAAAGCTGTCTCGGGTGTGGACCAATCAACTTCAAGGACAGTGCACATTATCAGAGTTATGTCTTTTGTTTGTATTATGACTGCAGGTATTGCGGTCTATGCAAACATGACTCCTTGTAAAAAGGTGTCAGTTTTGTTGCCAGATGGAAGGGTAAAAAAACAATTATCATATTTTTACTGGCAAATGAGGTTCCCATAATGAGTATCTTAACCAGGCTGGGGTTCACGTGAGCGGTATCTTAACCAGGTCAGGGTTCACGTGAGTGGTATCTTAACCAGGACAGGGTTCACATGAGTGGTATCTTAACCAGGACAGTGTTCAAATGAGTGGTATCTTAACCAGGTCAGGGTTCACGTGAGCAGTATCTGAACCAGGCAAGGGTTCACGTGAGTGGATCTGACCCAGGCAAGGGTTCACGTGAGCGGTATTGAACCGGCCCAGCGTTCATGTGAGCGGTATCTGAACCAGGCCAGGACTTCGGCTTTACCAATCCCCACGAATCAGCGTGCAGTTTGGTCAATAACATTTACGATTGACATGGCCTTCACGGAGAGGTCTCCATTCAGCAGTGCATTGACAAAGGCATGAGTCTGTCGAATTTTTTGAAGGTTTAAAGCTCGACTCGAAGCGTGTTCAGATACCTATGTTTCTTAAACTTCAGATAATTCAGCAAATGGCTTTCAGCATTTTCTTTAATGTATTATTTTGACATGTCTTAGTTTAGTTTCATGAGTTATTGAGTTAATTAATGAAGAGTGCTTGATAAAAATAATTATAATTAAATCAATATTTATTTGTAAAACCACGTATGAATTACTCTCGATGAAGGTTTTTTTTAGACATACAAATAATATCTACATAAATGGATTATGAGTACACTGTTACACAGGAGTCAGCCATGCAAACTGACAAATGCTTCGTCGGTCACGATCTGGTGAAGTCTGAGGGTGAGATAGCCCCAGTGAGTGCATTGCCTCACATTTGCAAGATAAAGTGCAGAGTGTCCCATATCCACAGGTGTGACTGCAAGATAAAGTGCAGAGTGTCCCATATCCACAGGTGTGACTGAAATAGCATGCATCATGACATTATACACAAATGTAATAATAAAAACCTATCCCTATTGACACACCTGGCGACCCATACGGTTTACCCATATTCTTGTGCAGGGAAATTGAGTTCAGGTCCATATGGCATACATCCATTTCAATACAGAATTTAAAAAAAATATATTTGTTTGTGTTTCTCCTTTGGGGTTGATAGGTATGTATTGCATATAAATGGTTGTAGCACATTGGCCTATGGGGCTGATACATGAAGGACGATTTTCACCTCTGTGTAAAGTTCCATGGGCGGTACCTTTCTGAAAAACTCGTTACATGTTATTCATGACTTCAGCTTGCTTTGAATTTGCCTGGAGGAAATGGAGAGGCGCCATTTCATTCTATGAATGACAGCTGATTCCAGGTTCACAGTCGGGCTCGAGGGTTCTGCCATGACACCACGACCCCATACCTGCTCTTGAACAAAAGCCAACCACAATCAGGCCTCAATCTGTCTTACACATACATACGAAGACAAAGATCCCCTGTATAGCCTGAATAGACTGTTGAGGCAAGTGCTGTTAGCTAGCACCAATGAAGGCCGGTAAGGCACACAAGGGGGTGGCCAACACCACGCCCGGCCGCCTTTGTCTCCCCAGTGGCGATGTTTTTAGGCACCCATCAGGTACTCATTTGAGGTTGAGTCAACCTCGGGAAGGCCCAGGACCAGTTCAGATAATTGTCATTGGTGTTGGCCGTGAGCGGGAATCGAATTCGGTTCACTCACACACAAACACACGTGTGGTATGGGCTTTGCCTTCTGTTGGGCCATTTCACAAAGGCAGAGGCATTGAGTAAAGCACTGAAGGGCTTCCCACGCTGGTGAACCCGCTGTGCAACGTGCGGAAGGGCTTGAACGGGAAGGAGCAGTGGGAAGGCTCTCATATAACAAGGTCAAGATGTTATCATCATGGCCAGAGCCAATGATACTACCAAACTCAGACCATTATTTCCTTCACTGTGCAAGGCCACGCAACTGCTGCCCTAACTGCACTGTACCTCCCAGGTCTATCCTAACAGTATCCCACTATTGGGCTTCAAGTCCTGCCCTTATCTCAGTAGCCTTCTTCACCCCATTCTGCTCATATCGCCCATCAATTGCAAACCTCCACTTCCCAATGACGTCCACAAAGCTTGCTTGCCACGCTCCTTTTAGATGCCATGCAGTGACCACCATCTTCTGCAATGCATTACACTCTTGAGATAAGAAGCTTTTGTATTTTAGTCATTATTTTGTTAAAGTACAATTGTGACATCAAAGCAGTAACAGAGACGATGCTTCTCTCTCTATTGCCCATCGCTAAAAGCTGACATTGTCCTCTCTACTCTTCCAAAGCAGTTCATGCAGACTTGACCGACATTAATGCATTTCAAGAATATAATAAATAGACCCATTTGTGATGGACCTCACTGTGGGAAGATTTAAATGCAATAATTTGGTGGCAGATTTCCGACCCATGAGCAGGTGCACTAGATGGGGGTGTGTGGGAACACACTCGGGTCGACGCACAAAAGCAGTGAGGAAGTTGGTCCCATCATCGACTCGACACCTCACCAGGAGGTCACGGCCACGGTACGGTACGGTGCTGCCACTGCAATTTCAGACTACGCTTTTACAAAATATACAAAGTATATAGACACAGGTCACAACATTGAGAACCGAACGTGAGTCTCACACTAAATGCGTTTAACACTTGACAGCTCTGTCCATAACGTCCATGAAAACAGCCTCTCTATGAATTCACTGAAAGCCATCAACTAGCACATACGTGTGCTGCAATTTGTGGCTCCTGCATTGAGCACGAGGATTATATTTCTGTTCCAGGGGTAGTATATATTTTTGTTAACTTACTGCTATAGGGTGTGTACACAGATTGACAATTTTTCAATTTGGTGGCTACAGGAATAGAAAAAAAATCATTTAATTCTACTTTGTATGGCACGGTGAAATATCCGACATGATGTGTGTATACTGTGGGTCTGCGGAGGCTTGGGGGATTGCGGGTGATATTGATGGCAAATCGGCGGTGCGAGCAGTGCCAGATCATGTGATTGATGGTTTAATTCTAGTTGTGACCGCAGCAGTCACTGTGGGGACTGTTCTTCAATTGCCATCGATGAATGACGTGATGGGATCTGCCGTGCAATGTTCTGCAGCAATTTAGGGCTGACCACTTTTTGTCCAGCAAAATACATAGACCACAATCGCTAGAGTATTCTTCTGAACTGGAAACCACCAAATCCCAACAAAAAACACATCACAGGAAGTAATTTCAACATATGATAGTCATCCCCCATCGCTTTTCTAGGCTTACTTGGGATATCCTGGGACCCATTGAAGGGCCACAGCCTCGGACAACCGAGAATGCCCTGGGACACAAGTGGAATCCACAACGCAGGTGTCACCTGCCACACTGGTGGCACCTGTCATACATGTGTAGTGGAATAATGCGCGCGGGGGGTTGCAAGCGGTGTGCACGCATGTGTGGGTTATGGACAGTGAGGTCGCATCAGGATGAACAGGCGCGGCGAGAGGGAGCAACGGAGAGGAGACGGCCAATTAAGATGCATAGCAGGGATTGGCTGGCTGCAAATGCAGGCGAGGAACAGGCGCCAGGCTGACAGGAGATCGAGGCAATAACGGCGGAAGCCTTGGGCGTGAGGAGACGGGAGGTCGCCAGCTTAATTAATGAGGAGTTAATGAGGAGGGGGATATGTAGGGGCACGTGGGAGAGAGAGAGAGGGGTTGAGTTGTTCGGAGTGAAGGCAAGAGGAGAGACGAGAGAAGTCCAAGGCCCTGCTCTCCACACCTCGCCCTCTCCAGCGGTGATGGCTAAACCCCCACTGGATGCAAGGGCGAGGTTGGAGAGGTGAGGGTAGAAAGGTTAGCAGTAGAGAAGCTAGCGGAATCCTAAGTGTGAGTGTGAGAAGGCTAGCAGTGGAGGAGCTAGCAGAGTATATAGCGGTAGGTTAGCAGTAGAGAAGCTAGCAGAAGATATAGTGAGAGGCTAGCAGTGGAGAAGCTGCCAGAGTGTATAGTAATAGGCTAGCAGTGGAGAGGCTAGCAGAGTGTACGGTGGGAAGCTATCAGTGTGTAGTGGTAGGACCAGCAGCAGAGAGAGCGAATTCAGCGGAGCATGGCAGACAGGTTAGCAGTGGAGAGGCTAGGAGAGTGAGAGAGAGAACAGGCTAGCAGTGGAGAGGCTAGGAGAGTGAGAGAGAGAACAGGCTAGCAGTGGAGAGGCTAGGAGAGTGAGAGAGAGAACAGGCTAGCAGTGGAGAGGCTAGGAGAGTGAGAGAGAACAGACTAGCAGTGGAGAGGCTAGGAGAGTGAGAGACACAACAGGCTAGCAGTGGAGAGGCTAGGAGTGTGAGAGAGAGAGAAGGCAAGCAGTGGAGAGGCTGAGAGAGAGAGGGGGAGCGGAGCGAAGCAGGTGAGCAGCGCATGCGGGAAAATCACGACGGAGCTACGGGTGTCGAACATGAGGAGTTTTGTTCAATAAAAAGTGACACAGGAGAAAAAGAAGAAGTTGTCCGCGTGAAATAAAAACACTACACATGTGACACCAAGCACACGGGTGACATGCAGCCGATGACCATGGCTCACCTTGGGCTGGCGCCGGGCCATGTCGGTCACCTGCTTGGCGTTGAAGGGATACGCCACGCAACGTGACACGAACACATAGAGCTGCATGCGGCGCCTCCTGTCCTCATCACCGTCGTCGCGGAAGCAGCAGCTGCTGCTCACCGAGGGGCTGGGGCTGCTAGAGCGCAGGCTGCTGGAGCGGCTCACCGACGCCGAGGGCAGCTGGGGAAGGCGGCTCGGGGCCGGGCTCGCCGAGCGGACGGGGCCCCCCAGTGACGCGCAGTCGCTCGAGCAGCCCGCATCCCCCGCCTCATCCAGGTCGACCCTCACGAAGTCTGAGAGCTCCGATGACTCCTCATCGCTTGACGACGGCTCCAGCATGGTGACGGACGGCTGTGGCAAAGGTTAAGGGCACCATTGAGCGGTGGTGGTGGTGGATGATGAGTGGTATTATTAGTGCACAGTCTGTTCTCCTATTAGATGTGTTTTCATAACGCGAATCGGATATATAATGCGATGAATGTATTAGCGAACACATTTTTTAGAAAGTGGATATGAATTGAATGTTACGCGATTCAGTAAACAGAACTACGTCGCACGAGTAGGTATAAGCGGGTGTACGGCTGCCTCAGCATAGCAACACACAAGGCAGGATGCTGCTGGATGCTTTGAGATGCTACCCACGTGCCTCAGTCTTTGTTCAGCCTGTATACGCAGCTTACGTGTTATCGCGGGCTGTGCTTTACCCTATATATTTGTAGTGACTCTTAATGTCACTGTGTGGTGCTGGCCTTGCGAGGCCACGGCGGATAATATGTTGTCATTATGTGCAGCCCGGTTACTGGGCGTAGTACCAGCCCCAGCGGGGCTTGGGCGAGCGCTGGTTCGTGCAGAGGCACCACGTACAGTGTGCAGTGCGGGCTCCCGGTGAGGGAGCGAGAGAGAGTGTCAGCCAGCCAGGGTTATGTTGGGGCATGATACGCTGGTTGACCTGCCGACACGTGACCGGATGATATTGGAGCGGGGCCACCGGTGGATGGGGGCTGCTGGGTGGTCACGTGGTATAGAGGAGCTCTCGGGAGCCTTCGGAAAGAGCTCGAGAGATCTAGAAGGTGGGCGGGGCGAGAGGCGGAGCCAGCCCCAGCCCGGGCCGATATAACGGGGCCCCGTGTGGGGCTCGGGGTTCTTGACTGTTGGGTAAGTGAAGATCCACGTCAGGTTGAAGAAGCCTCTAGCCACGTGGTCCGGGACCCAGCTCGTGGGCCAGACCGGGAGAGTGGGACCGTGTCTAGTTCTACCGTAGCATGGTTAGATGGGCGTTCAACACCCGAGTGTAGGTTACGTTCTGTTGTGTTGAGTTGATGCAATAAATTGTGTTGCTCCCAAGACAACGTCTGCGACTCAGTTGGATTCACTACATATTTATTAAAATGCAATATTTCTATAATGCGGTGTTCTTCAGCAACGCAACTAACGCGTTATAGGAGAACAGACTGTATTAGTAGTCAGTACGCTTGTCAAACCAAGGAAGCCACACTGCTAAATTGTCGCCGGAGGGGGAGATATTGCTGCTGTGTGCACATATTTTTTTGTGCATTGGGATGTTTGGCTAACACCAATCACGTTGCATTTGTTCCGGGCTGCTCAACAAATAAATTACTGATTTCGTCAAGGAGAATAGGCCATCGCACTAACTCCGGTCATCCTCGCAGCGGCTTTTTAAACCATCCACCGAATGTAGACAGTCATGGCATGGTATGCATTTATCTGTGCCATTGCAACTGTCAGGAACACTCTTCCTTCTCACAATCGAAGCCCACTACAACAGTGCACTTTCAAGTATAACTTAAAAACAAATTTATTCAGGACTGTTTTATTCGTATAGTCTGTTGTCCTTCCCCCTCATCTCTGATTAGTGTGGCTGGCTAAGCACAGTGCGAAAGAAGTTCAACATACATACATGTCTTCAGGTTTGGGAGAAAACCCAAGAAACTGTAAGAAACCCATGCATATATATATACTCCACACAGAAAGGTCCCCTAATGGGGAATCAAACCTAGGGCCTCCTTGACGAGACACAAATGGTACCACTGTGCCACCCTAGCACCTGAACTATTTTAAACCTTTTTTTCTTTATCAGGTAAGGCCCACTGAGCTATACAGCTCTTTTCATAAGCAATATGGCCACAAATGATAGCTCAAGCGGCTTATCTCGTGGAAATTTTAGCATCCAAATACTGGGAGACATGCAAACTCCAAATATACAGCAAGAGTCTGGCTCATGATCGAACCGACGAACGCCTGCATATCATGCAAGGTAGTTAACATATTGGCGCCCTGTTATTGATGATGACTACATCTCATCAAATTCCCCAGATGTTATCAGAACCTGATATCTGATGAGTGATGGGCTTTGTGTCTCACTGTCGCGACCACCGGTGCGGTGGTTCTCTTGCGTGGACGCGCTTGCCTCACAGCGCAGTTGGCAGCGCGCAGCTTGTGTTACAATCTCCCTGCCTAATCTCCCATGAACATCGTGCTAATCTCCCATTAACACTGCTGTATGCGGGGACGATACTCTTATATGGCGACGGAAGCTCATTTCATGCTAATCTCTCTCTCCCTAATCTCCTCTATTAACACAACTGACGTGCTTGCGTCCAGGGATGGAATTCCTTTCCAGCTCAGGCCCGCACGCTTGCCCATCGCCACATAAATAACCTCTTGTTGTAACAGCTCTCTCGCTGGTTCAGCAGTTCTACTGCTGGATTATTTTTTCTGCCTGAGGACGACCGCTTGTGTTGCGATCGAAACGTCGTGATATATTATTTTTTATTTTATTTTTGTACCTACGTGACTTTACCGAACGGACCAAAGAGTATGGATTCATGCAGTCACAAACGCTTCAAATCAAGATAGTACAAAGACTATGCAAGTATCAAAACACTTATAGCTCGGGTATAGCGGTCATCTATGGGGCTTTTTGCCAGTTTCGAAAATGATAAAAACTAAGAATAGATTTTACCCTTTCTGGCACTAAAACAGGTGTTAATATGTTCAATCACCAAATAGATACCTTTTGCAAGGCATAAAGTCTGCATTAACCACACATACTTGTGGCAACACATGCAAATATGCTCTGATAATATATGCAGTGTCGGATTATCTTAGTGGCAAAAGTAGAATCTGCTACGGGCCCCACACTTTCAAGGAACCCGCGCTAAATGCTTTCAAGCAATCAATTCCGGTTCAGTGATTCGGCACTTGCTCTATTACTATTGTACTATACTGCCTTCAACTTTTATTAACGACTGGGTGTTTAAGGTTAGCGATTTGTCGTAGTACCTGCCTGTATAGCAAATTAAATTACTTTACTATGCAAGTAAAAAGTTTGTGTTTTAATATTTACGTGTTTTTTTAGGGCCTACACTACCACATGCTACAGGCCCCGCACTAGCTTAATCCGGCACTTAATATATGCATTCGCCTTCTGGTGTGGTTAATCCATACTTTGACGATGCCTTCTAATAATGGGTGTCTATTTGGTGTTTGAACGTAGTAACACTTCCTGTATTCTTACCCGGAAAAGCTAAAAACCATAATGTGTTTTTTCTCATCATCTTGATTCTGACAAAAACAGGTTCCGTGGACAGTAATAATGATTGATAATTAATAAAAGCGGTAGAGATGCGAGATGATGGTGGTGGTTGTTGATGATGACCGTGGGTGGTGGTTACGGTGGCTGCTCTGGTTAATGGATGTGGATTTTAACTGCGGGGTGTGAGCCACTCGCACCGCATGTCCGCTCAACGTTTAAAGCGACTTCTTGTGACCATGTGCGTCTTGCTCTGTACAGATGCCGTCTCTGCCACTGGTACCCAGCATTGCTTATCAATTAGTCAAACGAATCTATTGTTATTTTACCAGGTAAGGCCCACTTACCTGACCACAAATGAGAGCCCAATCAAGTGGCTTATCACCTGGTAAAATTATAGCAGCCAAAGACTCTAAACCTGTGTTTCTAAATGTGGAGGGAAAAAAATAGACGAGGAGAAAATTCACGAGACAACGGTGGAGACACGCAAACTCCAAAATATACAGCAGCAGGTGTCAGGGTCGGGATCGAACCCACGACCTCCTGTAAACCCGACGAGGTAGTTAACATCTCCGAGCCACCGTGATGATGATGATGATGTCACCATTGACCTCTTATGGGGGGGGGGGGGGGGGCTCTTAAGGAGGAGCGGTGGTGGTGGTGCAGTGGTTTGCTGCGCCATGAACTTGGTCACCCGAGTTCTATTCCCGGCCAACATCAGCGGCGTCCTAGGGGGAAGAGGGTGAGGTGGAGGGAGAATAGCCCCCCGCCCCTTTCACCGACCCGCACTGACAGGCGTGGTGAAGTATGGTCAAACAATCCTCACGTGGCGGCGTTGGGGGAAGGCCGCCATCCAGCAGTGGATTGACAAAGGGCTGTAGGTTGGATGACAAAGTCTCGGTAGCAGAGGTCTCGTGACCCTCAATAAATTGACCCATAACATTGTTTATCTCCTTTGCACATTCGTTTCCAAATACAACCTTACTGACAAAAAATATAGTTTTCCACCTAATTAATTGGAGGGGGGGGGGGTCACAAGACATCTGGACCCAGTCTGTACAATGGTCATGATTATGAGAGTGCCGTGAGTGGCTGCTGTCGGCCCGGGAACCACTGTGCGCACCTGGCTCAGCTGCTGCTGCTTGTGCCGTTGTTGTAGTCGCTGTTGTTGTTGTTGGTGTAGTCGCTGTTGTTGTTGGTGTAGTCGCTGTTGTTGTTGTTCAATGGTCGCACTCCCCGTCCCGCGCGCGGTCGTTGCCGCTCACCTGTTCCGCGTGACGTCACCGCGACGCGGCCAGGTGAGGCGGGGGCGGGACGAGGGCGGGGCGGGGCGAGGGCGGGGCGGGGGCGGGGGCGGGACGGGGGCGGGGCGGGGCGGGGCGGGGCGGGGGCGGGACGGGGGCGGGGCGGGGCGGGGGCGGGGCGAGGGCGGGGCGAGGGCGGGGCGAGGGCGGGGCGAGGGCGGGGGCGGGGCGAGGGCGGGGGCGGGGCGAGGGCGAGGGCGGGGGCGGGGCGAGGGCGAGGGCGGGGGCGGGGCGAGGGCGGGGGCGGGGCGAGGGCGGGGGCGGGGCGGGGGCGGGGCGGGGGCGGGGCGAGGGCGGGGGCGGGGCGAGGGCGGGGCGGGGCGAGGGCGGGGCGGGGGCGGGGCGGGGCGAGGGCGGGGCGGGGCGCCTCCCCCTCGCCCTCTCCCACAAAGACAAAGATTCCCCGTGTAGCCTGTAACAGGCTGTTGGGTCAAGTGCTGTTAGCGAGCAGCACCTATGAAGGCCGGCACGGCGCACGAGGGGGTGAGTCATGTTTTGCAGAGGGGTCAAATACTTATTTCCCTCATTAAAATGTAAATCAATTCATATGATTTTTGACATGCGTTTTTCTGGATTTTGTTGTTATTCTGTCTCACTGTTTATATAAACCTACCATTAAAAGTATAGACTGATCATTTCGTTGTCAGTGGGCAAACGTACAAAATCAGCAGGGGATCAAATACTTGTTTCCCTCACTGTAACCCTCCCTATCACCCATTATCCTCCTCTCAACTCACCCCATCCACGTCAACCCTCCCCCCTCTCACCTCACTCATCTACCCCTCCTTTCTCTCACCCCCTCCCACTCAACCTCCCTCTTTCCCTCAACTCCCACCTCCCACTCACCCCTCATCCTCCTCCTCACACCCCCGATCGCCTCCCTCTCACCTCCTCACTCCACCACAACTCACCCCATCCCTCTCACCTCCTCACTCCACCACAACTCACCCCATCCCTCTCACCTCCTCACTCCACCACAACTCACCCCATCCCTCTCGCCTCCTCACTCCACCACAACTCACCCCATCCCTCTCACCTCCTCACTCCACCACAACTCACCCCATCCCTCTCACCTCCTCACTCCACCACAACTCACCCCATCCCTCTCGCCTCCTCACTCCACCACAACTCACCCCATCCCTCTCACCTCCTCACTCCACCACAACTCACCCCATCCCTCTCACCTCCTCACTCCACCACAACTCACCCCATCCCTCTCGCCTCCTCACTCCACCACAACTCACCCCATCCCTCTCACCTCCTCACTCCACCACAACTCACCCCATCCCTCTCACCTCCTCACTCCACCACAACTCACCCCATCCCTCTCGCCTCCTCACTCCACCACAACTCACCCCATCCCTCTCACCTCCTCACTCCACCACAACTCACCCCATCCCTCTCACCTCCTCACTCCACCACAACTCACCCCATCCCTCTCGCCTCCTCACTCCACCACAACTCACCCCATCCCTCTCACCTCCTCACTCCACCACAACTCACCCCATCCCTCTCGCCTCCTCACTCCACCACAACTCACCCCATCCCTCTCACCTCCTCACTCCACCACAACTCACCCCATCCCTCTCACCTCCTCACTCCACCACAACTCACCCCATCCCTCTCACCTCCTCACTCCACCACAACTCACCCCATCCCTCTCGCCTCCTCACTCCACCACAACTCACCCCATCCCTCTCACCTCCTCACTCCACCACAACTCACCCCATCCCTCTCACCTCCTCACTCCACCACAACTCACCCCATCCCTCTCACCTCCTGACTCCACCACAACTCACCCCATCCCTCTCGCCTCCTCACTCCACCACAACTCACCCCATCCCTCTCACCTCCTCACTCCACCACAACTCACCCCATCCCTCTCACCTCCTCACTCCACCACAACTCACCCCATCCCTCTCGCCTCCTCACTCCACCACAACTCACCCCATCCCTCTCACCTCCTCACTCCACCACAACTCACCCCATCCCTCTCGCCTCCTCACTCCACCACAACTCACCCCATCCCTCTCACCTCCTCACTCCACCACAACTCACCCCATCCCTCTCACCTCCTCACTCCACCACAACTCACCCCATCCCTCTCACCTCCTCACTCCACCACAACTCACCCCATCCCTCTCGCCTCCTCACTCCACCACAACTCACCCCATCCCTCTCGCCTCCTCACTCCACCACAACTCACCCCATCCCTCTCACCTCCTCACTCCACCACAACTCACCCCATCCCTCTCGCCTCCTCACTCCACCACAACTCACCCCATCCCTCTCGCCTCCTCACTCCACCACAACTCACCCCATCCCTCTCACCTCCTCACTCCACCACAACTCACCCCATCCCTCTCACCTCCTCACTCCACCACAACTCACCCCATCCCTCTCGCCTCCTCACTCCACCACAACTCACCCCATCCCTCTCGCCTCCTCACTCCACCACAACTCACCCCATCCCTCTCACCTCCTCACTCCACCACAACTCACCCCATCCCTCTCGCCTCCTCACTCCACCACAACTCACCCCATCCCTCTCGCCTCCTCACTCCACCACAACTCACCCCATCCCTCTCACCTCCTCACTCCACCACAACTCACCCCATCCCTCTCACCTCCTCACTCCACCACAACTCACCCCATCCCTCTCACCTCCTCACTCCACCACAACTCACCCCATCCCTCTCACCTCCGCCTCCCTCACCTCATCCCTTCCCACTTCACCTCTCCCACTCTCATTCACACCCCCCTCTCGTCCTCTCACCCCCCTCACTATTCTCCATCATCACGACATCCACTCACCACTCAACCTCTCCTCGCCGCACCACAGGAGAATTGGTTGGAAGTTCGATATATGTACATAAGAGGTTTTTGGGTTAGATCGCGTCAATATATAAATGTGTCGTTACACCCGCCACCACCCGACACAGACAACTAGTAAGGGTTGTCACGTCAACAGAACGTGGCCAATTCGTCACTAGTACAGCACTAGTGTGTAGTGTATAGTGTAGTGTATAGTAGTGTATAGTGTAGTGTACTAGTACAGCACACCGGTGTGTTGGAGAGCCAAGCCACAACATTTACAATCTGAGTACGACGTTTCGCCAGTAATTACACCCAGCTTCATCAGGCGACAGCCAGATTTGTGGAGCAGTCCACCTGTTTCGTTCCTCATATCGAGGCGTCGATGTGGTCACCACACTTCTGCGCTCTTGCGCAATGGGGGGATTAATCAGTCAACATTATGCATGTGCATTATGGGAGTCCTTTGATGTTGTCCTTCCTGTCATAGATGTGGTTACCACATCTATGCCGTACTCAGATTGTAAATGTTGTGGCTTGGCTCTCCAACACACCGGCGTGCTGTACTAGTGACGAATTGGCACGTTCTGTTGACGTGACAACCCTTACTAGTTGGCTGTGTCGGGTGGTGGCGGGTTTAACGACACATTTATATATTGACGCGATCTAACCCAAAAAACCTCTATTATGGATGATATTGGTCGCGAAAGCCTACGTGTTAAACTGGTCAAAGTTATTTTAATTACTTTCAATTTCGATAGATTCTCTAATCAATCTTGGCCAGTCGTAACTAGTTTTGCACTTAACTTCAAAATTATCAAAATCAATTAAGTGTCCTTGTTGGCACGCGTGTTCTGCTACTGCTGATAGTTGTATTTGGGATAATTTAATATTTATCTCTTGTTTTTAGTCTCGTGCTGATCATTCGTCCTGTTTGCCCAACGTAACATTTACCACACGTGCAGTTAATCATGTACACACCTTCTGTTGATAGCTTCGGTAATACATCTTTTGTTCCAGATATTAATTTCTGTATTTTATGTACCGTGCCAAATCTGACTCAGATGTTTTGTTTTTCCAAACAGCTGGCGAGTTCATCAGTTACTCCCGCAATGTACGGTTTTTTGATCGTTTTAATTACTTGGGCAGTTTCGATGCTCTTGTTATTTGATTTGGTTTTGGTATTCCATGCCCTGTTGATTTGTGCATCATTGTAGCCGTTCATTTACAGTGCTTCTTTAACATGTTGAATTTCACTTCTCAGACTGTCACCATCTGACACTTTCTTAGCTCGATGAATGAGCGTCTTGGTAAGAGCAGATTTATTTGCGGGGTGATGGTGTGACTGCATTCAGATAGGCGTCAGTATGCGTTTTCTTTCGGTAAACACTGTGTTATTTTACCATTTCTACCCCGTTTGAGCAGAATATCCAGAAATGGTCGACTTCTGTCAGCTTCCACTTCCATGGTGAACTGGATTGATGGGTTTTGCGAGTTGAGATGATTTAGAAATGCGTTCAGTGTATCTTTGCCGTGTGGCCAGACCACCAAAACTTACGAGAATATCATTAGGGTTAAGCTTAATATCTTTAATATTTGAGATGTTCAGAGTTTTTGATGAACGAAGAGGTCCTACCGATGTAGGGCTGTATTTGTTTCGTTACGTATTGTGCTAATTTGTACATGGCAGATCCTATTGTACTATCTATGGGTCTTAATGGGACATCAGGTTTGTGAATTTTTGGTAGCCCATAAAGTCTTGGTGGGTTTGATCATGTATTGCTCTTCCTTGGGAATTGATGACTTGGCAATGATTGCCGTTGTTTTACGTTCCAAGGTGCTGGTTAGGTCTCGTTTAAATTTAAGGTAACCTCTATTATGGATATTGGTTGCGAAAGCCGATCTGTTAAATCTATATATGTAGTTCGTATTTGCAACCACACCACCTGCACTTCGCAAACCAGCAACCACACCGTCTATACTTCTCAAACGATCAACCACATACACTTTAAAACCAGTAACCACACCGCCTACACTTCTCAAACAAGCAATCATACTGCTCAAACCAGCAACAACCCCCCCTACACTTCTCCTGCCTGCATGTATAAAGACAGTACGGAGCGAGAGGGGCAGTATGGTTCTCCGGGACCATGGTTACTAATGGACGTGCTAATGATTGATGGGACAAGCGTTGACAGGGTCACGTGATGGGGAGCACGGGATCCAATGGCGGGAAGGTGTAACAAGGGCGGAGATTGACAGAGCCAGGTGCGGCGAGAATTCGAGAATAGGGGTGTGGCCGGACCGGGCGAGGCATAAGAGCCTGGCGCGAGCCGGACCTGGGGGCTGTTAGTGTGGGGAATCGCCGTCGTCGTCGTTGTCGCTGCCTTGGAACGGGTCGTGTCTCCATCTGGCTATCGAGAAACAAACATTTGTCCGAATAACGACTGTCGACAAAGAAATGGAAGAAAAAATAAAACCACAGCATGATCTAAAAAGGTCAAAACTTTATTCCACTGAAACATTGCTATCTCAGATGCTAGTAAGACTTTGTACCCATCATTAGGGGACACAATCTCATGACTGTTCAACATTAGCAAAGGTTATTCTAACACAAGTGTCCCGACTGCTGGGAGGTCGGTTCTTGTGATTATCTGTAAGTATGTCATGACAAGAGGTAATTCCAACACATGGAATATTGTGACCAACATTACCACCTCCGATTAGCACGGTTGGCTACGTACGGTGCAAAAGAAGTTAAACATACATACATTTCGCAGACATATAATGCAACAATGTACTGATGTCACAATCATAGCTTACTTAGTTCACTGCTATACAAATACAATGTGACTTACTTATGTTAAAGATGCAAATCAAAACAGCTGTTGTTCTGTAGGTACTTGTATCACGGACCAAAGGAAAAAGTTTGAACCTTCCTTACGGAGAAAAGAGGGCAACAGTCAGAGCCGTGTGACTTGGAGGTGCACCGCTTTACCACAACTCATGACGTCTCACAGCCACGCTGGAATCAGCTCGCCTGTCTACCATGAGTCTCCATGTGGTCTATGTATTATAGTGTGCAAAGCAGACTTTAAACGGAAGTATTCACAGGCCTGTAGCCAGGAAACAGGATATGAGGTGCAATTAGTCTTTTTTTTCGCAGTAGATTTCAACCGCGGTAATCAATGTCGCACTCATAATCAACTAAACAAGATCTGGTTATGTTGGTTTAAACGTTTGTGGGAAACACTTAACCTGGTCAAGGGTGCGGGCGAGAGCTAATGACGCTCGTGGCAGGCCCGGCAGCGCGTCTCTCCTCCCTTTACAGGGCGAGCGCCAGCACCGCACGCTGCTTCTCCCGCACCTTGCGCTTTCGCTTCTTGTCCTTCATCTTCTGCGTCGCGTCGACAAACAGGGCCACCTCTTGCTTTGCCTCGATCTCCCTGTGCAGTAGTTGCAGTGCGGCCATGTTGAATCCCACCAAGTCCTACGAGGGGTGCACGGGAACGAGGGGAAATGTCGATTCGTTAATGCCCAGTGAGCAGCGAGGACTGGCATGGTAACACGACTTGGATCGCGTTTACCAATCGCTGAAGCCAGAATCTGAATATTTATTTATACTGGAGGAATCCGATGCGCTATAGAGCTCTTTCACAGATGTCCAGTAGCAGCTCTGATCCCCTATAAGGAATTGTAATATGTATTATTTAATAATACGCTTCCAGGCCGCACTAAGCCTGTAGCTGTCTGAGCGATTAAAGTTATTTCTGTTTCTCTCAATTTCAATGAATTCTCCAATTACCAATCTAGTATATAATTAAAATAACCCCCCCTCCACCTCAAATCGTTGCACCTGATGAGTTAAATGATGACGTCACCCTGCTGCTGCTCTATTTAAGACTGGGAGCAAGAGCAGAGCCTCACCATTCTGGCGAATTGCCCGATGATGCTGGATGCAATTACCAGCAAAACGTCGTACTCAAAAATTGTAAATGTTGTGGTTTGACTCTTCAAAACACCGGTGGACTAAAGTAGTAAACTATTTGTCTTTTGTCAACGTGACACTTTTTTGCTGATTGGCCGTGTCGGGTGGTGGAGGGTTACGACACATTTATAAATAACGCGATCTAACCCAAAAACGTTTATTATGAATATTGGTCGCGAAAGCCTACGTGTTAAGTAGTCCTTCCATTAACGAATTTAATCCATTCCATGAAAACTAATGTTAACCAAAATAAATGTTAATCAAATATAGGAATTGCATGTTAAAAGCATTAATCCGTTCCAAGACGATCGATAGTTGACCTTTTTCACCCTAAAAACATAGTTTACAACAATTAAACACTTCTAGAAGTTCAGAAGTGGTGGCTCCAAAGCCAGTCAAGGTCTAAATGCTCATAGATGGGCGTCGCTGATTGGCTGAGGCATGGCTGAGCCCACTTACGAGCACTTGGATTGGCCAAAATTGGCGCCCATGTGCATAATGTAAACGTACCGTTTGTCAAAATGTGAACGTTAGTCGAAACCATGAGGTCCTGTGGGAGGCGAAACGTTAACCGAAAACCCGTTAACCACTGTCACTGTTAACGAAGGGACTACTGGATGCATATGTTGAACCACTTTCGCACCGTACATAGCCAACGGTGCTAATCGGAGCGAGTGGGCTGCTGCACGTGACACCACACGAGCACAGACTCACCCTCATCTCCCTGACCCTGAGCAGCGAGCTCTCCCTCAGCTCCGAGATGACTTCAAGGAGCATCCCATTGCTGGTGATCTGTCCGTGATGGATCCTGCCAGAACAAAACACACACGGCACCAGTTTTACTTGGAGTGAGCTGCTAGCGAGCCCCTGTCAACACACACCACACGCCGCCTCCACTGTGTGGAGTTTGTATGTTCTCCCTCTGTTCTGCATGGGTTTCCTCTGGGTTCTTGGGTTTCACCTAAAGCTAAACACATACAATGTAATTGGTGTTGGTCAAACATCTCAATGTGGTGGGACCTTTTTGAAAGAGTCTTCGGTCCCAGGCTGGCTTTTCCTGGGTAAAAAGACGTGATGTTACCGGCACTCCGCCTGCCCACCCAACTTTGTTTCACCAGTGCCGATCTCAACCACACTGCATCAGGTGCTCATTGTTGACCGAGGGAAGGCCCGTTTTACAATTGGTTTCAACGAATCGGATGCAAATGACACAGCCAGGAATCTGGATCCCGGTGCAATTTTAAAAGCACTATACCGGCGCAGCGTCCCAGGCAGAACACAGCAACAATCATTTGAATCGTCGCTGAGTATTGCTGATTGGATATCAGATGTATAAACCAAACTAAACACGGAATGACAGTGAGTACAGCCTCTACCTGAGGAGGAAGAAGAGAGCTCGGCAAATGAGCTCCACAGCTCGGCCTTGGCGCAAGAAGAGGAGGAAGAGGGCGAGGAGCTCCGGGACATAGGAGAAGGGCAGCACTAGCAGCGCCTCCTCCAGCTCGCTGTGTCACCCAGCAGACAACAAGATATCAGCACAGCACTCACTCGGCACACAAAGAGATGCCAGCACTCACCTGGCACACAACAAGATATCAGCACAGCACTCACCCGGCACACAACAAGATATCAGCACAGCAGTCACCGATACACGAGCTATCAGCAGAACGAGATAAATAAACAACAGAGTATGGATATCTCCTCACCTGGATTTCACTTTCTTGATCACCTCCAGCACATACTTCTCTGGCTAGGGGAATATGACACAGACGCACGGAGGTAGGCCTTCAGTCCAAAATCTGTGTGAAGTGAAAAAAACTTAACTATTTGATATTTTAGCAGGTAAGGCCCACTGAGCTATAAAGCTCTTTTTCAGAAGCTGTGTCGTGGTAGAGACCCAGCGGCAGTGAGTCTACCACTTGGTGTAGAGGTTTGCGGTTCTTACCCAGCAGGCCACACCCTGGTTATTACTGCGGGTGTGTTAGCCATAGAATACTACGTGCTGTCCTGCTTCACGGTGGACATAAAAAATATTTTGTGAGGCCAATAGAAGGTCCAAACTTGCTAAATTTGAAAGAACCACTAGAAAATGGGTTAACACGCGGCAGCAATCATTACCCCCTGTTGGCAGGCCAATGCCCACGTGAAGGACTTAGTGCGAACTCATCTTGTGCCGCACAGGGACAGCTGCCACTGGGGTTGCGCCCTTGAAATTTTGAGATGAGATGTACGGCGCTCTTTAAGTTTTTCCAAAGCAACGGCGTACAAATGTGAAGGATTGCGGCCGTTATCGAACCGATTTCACAACGGTACAAACAAGCGCGCAGGCGCCGCTGCCTCCCGCGTGCCTCGCGCACGGCAAGCGACCGCAGGGAGGACGAGCGGCACCCCTCACGGCCGCTTGCCCTACGAAGCTCCGCGGGTGAGCAGCAGCCACGCTTACCGTGACACTGCCGGACGCCACGAGCACCGGGTCGAGCACGGGCGGCGGCAGCTGGGGGAGACACGAAGGCAGCGGAGTAGAGGTCAAGAAAGCGCGGAGAAACACAAGTGCATGTTTGTACGTACGGGGAATACGCCTGCAGATTCCACGCTTGAGGAACATGGTTAATTAGGCATCGCTGCAGCGGCATCGCAGGGAGGAGGCGAGGGCACAGAGATGCGAGTGCAGGGCTGTGCTCTCGTCAGGTGTGCGCGTGTATGTTGGGTGTGTTGTGTGTGCATGCCCACATTGGGTGTATTGAGTTTGCATACGCTCGTTGTGTGTGCATGTTTACGTACCGTGTGTGTGCATCTGCGTGCACATGCATAGTGTTGGTATGTGCCATGCCGGCCTTTCTAGGTGCTCGCTAACAGCACTTGCCCCAACAGTCTATTAAAGTCTAAGGGAGGGATGTTGAACTTATTTCGCACCATACGTAGCCAACCGTGCAAATCGGAGGTGCAGGGAAGGACACACAGAGCTGGTGGTGTGTGTGTGCATATGTAGTGTTGGTGTGCTGAGTCGTTCCAGCTCAGTACGGAGCGTTACCTGCTTGTTGGCCGCTTTACATGCTTGCTTGTGCTCCTCCAGTTTCTGGGATTCAACTCGGTACAGTTCCAGGGCTTCCATGATCCGTTCAGCCTGTACAACCGAAAAGCGATCGCCGCAGCGCACGTCAGCCAACGGCAACAACCACTCTGCACCAGCACCGCGACATAGAGACATTCACTGCGTTGGCAACCGAAAGGGAATATACCTTTCAATCGTCACGGTTGGTCATTGTCATCCGTGTAGTCCATCGGTGATTGGACCGAGATCATAACCTGATCCACCTCCCTTAAACACGCATTTCATAGCACGTCCGAGCTAGAGACTTCTGCACCACTCACGCAGCCCAGCGATGACATGGTCCCTTATCCCGCAGGAGGTTTTACCATGACTGCTGACGTTGCTAGACTATGAAGGTTTAACGTCTTGTACATTGTCGTATGCGAGTAACAGGTGCAGCAGTGTGCGCGAGGGGCCGTGGCTCCCGTGCACGACGTCCGGCGGTGTCGACGTAGCACGTTGTGTCCTCGCAGCCGACGCGGCGGTCGCGTGACATCGGTCGAGTGGTTCGTGTTCCCAGGACAAGATCACCGCATGCTTGGTGAACGATGCTCCCGCGCTGTACAGCTGCAGCAGCTGCACGGCGGGGGAGCATTGCCGGGGCCCGATGCAGAACCGAGCGCAGAGGCTGCGCGCATGCGCGCTACTCACAGCCTTCACGGTCTCCATCGTCTTCCTCGCAGCCATCCCCGCCTCCCCTTCCGTCTCGCCAGGCACCTGGAAACAAAACCATATACCGCACATCGTCAGCAGCAACAGCAGCTCGCAATGAATGTTGAAGCCAGATGTTGCATAAACAAAAGAAAACAGAGTTGAAAAACACTAGATGCTGAAAAGTTCTACAGGCACAGTGCCCGAGGGATGTCGTAAGGCTGAGATGGAAGTGTTGAGGAGGTGCCACATCCCTGTGAATGCTCTGTGTGGTCCATTGCCACTACAGGGAGGAACCGAAACTCCGCTCAACACTGCGCATTTTTTGCAATTTAATGAGCCAATGGAGGCGTCACTTGTGGGCGATGATGAGTGGAGGCATCACTCACGATCGGCTCCGCTCCCTTGGCCACGCTCTCCTCGTACTCGGCCTCCCGCTCCTGCCGGCAAGAACCGCAAAACACCAAGGACGCAACGTCACTCAAAAACAAACGGCACGCGCGACACGAGCGGGCACAGTGCATCACCGCGACACACCACGACACACGCACACCCGTGAAACAAAAGCCAGGCTCGCACAGACCAAATGGCGACACAACACGAAGCATTCGTCCTGCAGGTGAGGTCTGCATCGGGAGACCTCAGCGTGGCCAACCGCCACGCCGGCATGGCTGACGATGGATCCTCCCGTGCCTATGAGCCAGCGTACGACTCGGGCAATGGCGGAGGCAAAATTTTCAGGTAGAGGGGGCAACCCCTCCAGCAATGAAAAATTATAGGAGTTGTTAGTAAGTAAGGACTTGTCCCCCTTGCTTTTTATTCGACGCGTGTGCGGCGTTGGCGCGGCCATCGATTGAGGGTCGAATTCGGACTGTGTGTGATCGGCATCGCACTCGCTGAAGGTGAATGCTTTCAGGGAAGTCGTGTACTGTATACGCAACTGCGCACAATTCTGAGTCACTTATAACTGCTTTGCCATTACTTATTGCCAATTATGGACTCAGACTATTGTCCTATCATCTCAGAGTCCCTGGCACATAATAATATGCTACAAAGTGGCATTGGGGGTCGCAAAATGCCGATTTATTACTAATAAACCCCAATGATCTGATCGAAATTGGGAATTTCGATCAGATCATTGGGGGGGCTCGTGCCACCCCATCCGCCCCCCCCCCCCCACTTGCTCCTCCAGTGGACTCGGAAGATTCGCTAAAACGTCTGCTGAACCGGCGAGAAGCTGGATGGTCCGAGCGTTCTCCACAGCTGACCGTGTAAGCACACGGTACAAGGCGCCTGCGTATGAGCGCGCCGTCCTGGCCCCGCTAGGATGCATCGGGCGGCTTCCGTTTCCTCCGAGGTTTGACGCCGACGGCAGCACCGCTGGGACGAGGGAGATGCTGGTAACTCGGAGTCACATCTAGGCTCCATTAATTAATCCGCAAACAACTTTACACTTCCGAATTACGTGACAGGCTCTTTAACGTTCAGTAGGTGGCGGCGCTTTGGTAATTCTGCGGACATAACGATACGGCTGCAGAAGGTCAGCCAAGGGCTCTGATGCAGCAGTTGGCGATGGGGTTCGTGCTGTAATCGGCGAACACCCACGGGTCATATTTTATGGATTCGTTCCCCCAGCATGAACCAAGGAATAAAATCACCACAACCTAAAGCGACAACAACCACTTCTAAATCCGCACAAAGTTAATGCAAAATGGAACACACGTAACTCCTTTTCCACCATCACATATGACCCGAGCTGGCGTGGGGCCCTCATAGCATGGTTGGTTTCCCACTGGCCGTTTGCCAAGACAGAACCAAAGCATGATATACTGGCCTCAGGTGACATGCGAATCTGGTTTGGGGCCCAGCAGGGACATGGGGGTGAGCCAATGACTTTCTGACAGCATGTGACCACAGCCAGTACACCGCAAGGTCAAAACGTCACACCACCATCGTCAAGCGTCTCGAATCATCCGTTGCGTGTGACGTTGGTGGCTAGCAGTAGAAAAACCTTGCGCTTCCCGAGCCAAGCCAGGCTCCGTCAGCGTGGCCCTAGTACAGCTCGTTTGTACAGCGGAAAAGAGATAACGGTGAGCATTGTGCGGGGGACGCACGCACAGAGCACCACAGGGCCCGAGGAACACGGCGAGTTTGTCGCGACGATTGCGATGCGGAGCTGAGCCCTCGCAGTGCCCTCAAGTCCACCGCCTTGCTCGCGACACGGATCGCACCATCTCGCGTTCGTCCTCCAGCACGAGCGGCTCGCGCGTTCGCTCCCACAGGCGCAGGGACTTGTCGTGCGCGGCCGAGAGGATGTGGTCTCCGCTGGGGCTCACCGCCACGCTCCACACCTCTCCGTGGTGGCCCTGCATGCACGCACGTGACACAGCAGCGCACCACCACTAAGCTCACGGTTCTGGCGTAAATGCACGCCCCGTGGGGGTGTGTGAGGGATCATGCACGGTACTCACGGCACTCCGAGCAGCAAGCGTGCGTGCATTCACTACGCAATGCCCCACGACAACTCACGATCATGCAAACCGTCACCATGACAGGCCAAGCACCCCAGTTGGACTCCCCACTGCTGCACACACATGGACCAGGCTTATCCCCACGGTTAGCTTGCAAGACAGTGCTTGGGAGCCCCGAGTCGAACCTGTGCTGTCCCCATCTCAAGAATTTCCCTCAATTCCCTTTCGCAAGTGGGCATAAACCACTATGCAGTGGAGCTGGACCCTAGCTCGGCCTAGCGAGGCCTGAAGCCCATGGATTACTAGAATGCATCTTTTTACATAAATGGTCATACTTTGTTTAGATTTGGTTACACGGTACAAACACATCACATGCTGTGAAAATTTAAATCTTTTTTTTACACGGTTGATGAGCACAGGGCCCAAAGGAACTAGCAGCACTATCACAGTTGTAATGCATGCAAGCTCACATGTTTCCCAAATGAAGCAAAGTTATTCTAAGAGCTTGGGAAAAGAGATGGGAGTGAATGACAGAATTGAGCAGTCTGAGAATTGAATGTGGTAAATAAACACAGTGTGGTGGATGAACACAGTGTGGTGGATGAACACAGTGTGGTGGATGAACAGTGTGGTGGTGAACACAGTGTGGTGGATAAACACAGTGTGGTGGATGAACATAATGAGGTGGTTGAGACGAAACTGTCAGCGTCTTGTAGACCGAGTTCTCAGCACAGGTAGAGGAATCAACGAGTGAAGCCCACGGGAACAGTAACCATGGTAGTAGCGATAAAAGAGTGATGAGGGGGCGAATGACTGTAGGTAAGCGAGCGAGCGGAGTGAATCCGTGAGTGCAGGATCATCGATCACCCCGACTGCTTTACATTGAAATCTCTCAAGCACAGCGACATGGGAGCCGGGTGCTCCGCCCCAGATATGACAGAAGGATTTGGCCCACATGTGCTTTGTACAGCAGTAGTAATTGTTTGGAGACCGTGACGCGGAAACGAAAGCCGATCAGAGCTGCCAATCGCTGCTGGGAATTTGCGGCGCGTGCGGGGAGGGGGGGTGACTAACGGGAAGGGTAGTATTCGGGCTGGGTACTGGAGGCCAGGCCGGTGAGGGGGGGGGGGATGCCTCACCTCCAGGGTCTGCACCAGCTCAAATTTGTCAGCATCCCACTGCTTGATTTTGCCGTCCTTGCCGGCGGTGAAGAAGAGGTGTGTCTTCGGCACAAACTGCAGGCACATCACGCTGCACACATACGCACGCATGCGCGCGCTTCAGCCACGATCGGGCTTCTCCACTCATCGCAACGATTCGTGATTGAGTTTTAGTTTAGGCCAAGTAATGAGCTGGCAACATTTGTGTCGTTAAGACCGTGCACCACCCGACACAGGGCAAACAAACAAACAATTCCGGTAGTCATAGATCTGACTGATGTGATATAATGGGCACTACACATTATCAACGTACGCCACTGACATCTACATAATTTATATTGTCACCGCTTACAAGCTATGTCAAGCACCTTGAGCGAAGGCGCTCTATAAATAGACATTTGATTAGAATGAAGACGTGTCGTAGTGTCAAGACTAATGGGGGGGCCCCTCATCCCCTCCCTCATCCTCCCCGCCCCGCGGCCCTCACCTGTCGTCGTGGGCAAACAGAGAGCGATGGCAATCCCCAAAGTCCAGCCCCCAGATCTTGACGTTCCGGTCAGATGAGCCGGTCGCAATCAGGCGGCTGTCCTGCGTAGCGTGAGAGGGGGTTACGATTCGCATAGCGCCGTTTTATTCTGTGGAACACCGCAACATTTGGCTCGATTCGCAAAGCCCAATGCAACGTCGCTGCCGACGAGGGCTGCCGGTGCCGACGCCAAGTTGTTGCGGCCGCGTGGCGAAGGGGTGGGTGGGGCATGTGCGCGTGTAGAGAAGTGGGCGACTCACGTAGGAGATGTCCATGCACAGCACGGGCAGCTTGTGGCCGAAGAGGTTGAGGAAGAACTGAGCGGGAGGACGGCAGACAAACGAGCAAACGTTAGAGCCGAGGTGCAGACGGAGAGATGGCCACAGACAATGTTGTTGTTGTTGTCCACCACCGCACTCGCCACCGCCAACACCGACGTTATATTAAATAATTAAAAACATCGCACTCTGTTGTGTTTCATATTGAGGAGAGTGAAGTTATCAAATATAAATCGTTTTCCTGAGAGGAAGATGCATTCAAGATACAATTAGCTCTCATCTCACGGACGGGGACACGGGCTGTGTGTCCATGGCTGTCCAAAACAGGCCCGAGGCCTCATTAGCGAGAAAAAAAACTTCAAGTGACTTTAAGACGTACCGCCATAGTGCTCCAGACATCACTAAATTAACTATTATTTATTTCACCAGGTAAGGCCCACTGAGCTATGTAGCTCCAGATATATAAACAGACATAACTTCAACCGAGAAGATAGATACAAATTGAGCAATCATTGGAAGGATGTTATTAACCAGGTAAAACTGTAACTGCTTTATGGTTGTGTCCATCATATCTGCCGGGTACTAGTCTATTTTTCCGAGTTAATTTCCCCCCGCATCCCCAGCTTTCTCGGCCTCCCACTTCCAGCCCCGTCCACTTCCCCCACCAGCCTCAGGTCCTCTCTCCTCGCGTTCACGCAGCGCTCCCCCTCCTCCTACCCCACACCCCCCCCCTCTCTCTCTCACCCCTTGCCCCTCCCCCTTCTATACCTATATAACCTCTTGCCACGGCAGCTCTCTCTCCCACTTCAGCAAAACTAATTTTCTTTCTGTGGTTTTCCCACCTGATGATGATTGCTTGTGTTGCAATCGAAACGTCGCGATTTGTTTTATTTTAATTTATTTTTAACTACGTGACTTTACCGAAAGAAACAAAGAGTATAGTAAGGCACCTGTTTAATGCTGTGTATCAGTGTGCTGTGTTAGTAAGGCACCTGTTTGAGGCTGCGTATCGCCGCGTTCTCACCTTGAGCGAGTCAGTGTAGAAGGCCTTGACGGTGCAGTCGAGCAGCGACACGCACAGCAGGCGGTGGTCGGGGGTGAAGCGGACGCACAGCACCTCCTCGTCCAGAGACAGCGCGCGGCTTGGCGTCAGCGTCAGCCCACTGCTGCTGTTGCTGCATACACGGAAGGGGGGGCCCAGTGTTGACAACACGCGGTGTGAGCGGTGTGAGGGGTGTAGGAATGTGAGAGATGTGAGGGGTGTCAGGGGCCCAGTGGTGTGAGGAGTACGAGGTGGTCAGTGTGGGTCGGTGAAGGTGGGAAGTGCAGAGCAATGGACTTCGCCGCACTGTCCTCTGCTGCCCACGATGCCGACTATGCCGGGGCCTTGCTTACGGCCCGACGCGGGCTCGAGCCTGCCTGGCGTGCGAGGTGTGCGATGGGTGATTGTGCGAGCGCCTCACCTCGCTTGGCCTGCATCGGCGCTCTTCACCAGCTCAAACTCCCAGAACTTCACAAGCTTGTCCGCCCCTCCACTCACAAAGCCGCGCTGGCAAAGAGAGTGCACGGATTATATTAAGGTGTATTATTTTGATTGTAATTGATGATAGTTCTTGTCAAATTTACCTGTTGATAAAATCAGAATCAAAATATTTTTTATACTGCAGGAGGAATCCAATGAGCTCTCAAACTCTTTTTCGCAGTAGGGGCGGGTCAGAATGTTACAACAACAAACAATATAGAAACACGATAGGAGTGCAAAGTATAGGAAAGGTAAACAAATCACTTTAAAAATATACAAATAAAATTAAACTATTTTTTACCTTAGCAGGTAAAGCCCAATGAGCTATTCACTTAAGTGACCTGGCCACAAATGATAGCTCATTTGTGGAAAATTATAGCTGCAAAATAATAAAATCACCGAGGAGTACGGCATAAGGCATAATGTATTATAATTGAATCGGCTAGGCAAGTTATCGCGAATTCGCGATGGCTATTCGAGTGAATTTTGGTGAAGGATTTGTCACGGAGTTGCCCTGCCACCCAAACTCCCCGATCACGCCGGAGCAGCGCCACCGATTGACACGGCGCCCGCTCGATCCAGAGAGGAGGCCACCCACGAGTCCAGGCCAGGAAGTTCGTTGCGAGTGGTTAACATGGTTTGCTGTATGTAAAGGAGCAATTGGTTTAACCTACAAAGCCAGAGTTATTTGATACGATAGTCAATTATTTAACAAGATTAATGAAATCCGCATTCTAAAGATAATTTTAGTTTTAAAAAACTCCTTTTTGTGTATCCGCATTATTACTGCTGTTTAGTACGTATGTGCATATGTTGAACTTAGCCAACCATGCTAACAGTACCACTCTTAGCGCCGCTCCTCTCAGTACAAGAGGGACAGAAACCATCCTCATTGCGGGGCGGTGAATGTCACAGCGACTCTCGCGAGGCCACACAGAGGAGACGTGCGGGTACCTGATCAGGAGCCATGCAGAGTGACCACACGGCGCCGTCATGCGCGTCCACGCACTCCATCTGCAGGCCCGAAGCCAGGTCAAACAGCTGCAGCTTCCCCGTCTGGTGAGACACACACACACACACAAGATGAAGATCCCCCGTAGAGCCTTAAAAGACTGTTTGGGGGCACCTATCATGGCCGGTGCAGCACACGAGGTGGTGGGTGGCCAGCACCACCAACCTGTGCAACGAGTGGCGAACGCGCTCCTGCTGGGCTGAGTCACTGCAACAAAACCTGTCTGCTGTACACAATCCCTCCCCGATCAACACTCAGGATGCGCAAAGACCCCGAGCACCCGTCTGCACCTTCACACCGACTCGAGGGCGAGTTTCCTGTTCCACTCCACTTATCAACGTTTTGCACGGATAACAGACACGCAGCGCCCACTGGCACAACTCTGAGGCAATATGTAGAGTCACCACCGCACGGTCACCGCCGTGCCATCACCACCGCACCGTCACCGCCCATCAGCCTTATTGTTATCCTCACAGTCCAGCGTTCGCTGCTTGGAGCAAGACAGTGCTACAAAGCAAACGTACGCCCATCGGCTTACCGACGACAGCTTCGGGCTGCCTTTACATGGCTCAACAGGACCCTCGTCTACTCTTCTGTCACCCAAAACCCACCAGGCAGACAAGACACAATGTATCTGGACCAATCATTCATGTCACGCCTCGGACTGAGAGCGCTGCTACCGTCCATGGCGACGCAGGGTGGAGGCGCATCGAGTGGCGTCCTTCTCCAACGGCGAGAGACCCGGGATGGCACGCCGCGGAGGATTAGTCTCAGTGCACCGCAAGATGGAGCTCACCTTGGAGGCAAGCACGACCTGCCGGTCGCCTGGCACGAAGAGCGAGGAGAGCGCATACTGGCAGTCCATGCTGCGCACGCACTGCAGCGAGGCCCTAGCCGAGACAGCGCGGAGACAACGACAGCTCTCATGCAAAAAGACAACAACGGTGCACATCCTCACACGCTACAGTCGGTTTAACCATAGACGCACACCACCGCACAGCCACACCAACTCACAATACATTCAGCGTAGCACTGAGAGGCTGTGTGCTCTGCGTGCTCCGCGTGCTTCACCCCGCGGGCCCCACCGGTTCCAGATCTTGGCGCTCTCGCCCGAGGCGGAGAGCACGGCGGTGTTGTCGGAGCTGAAAGCGACCGTGCGCACGTCCGAGCGGTGGCCCGGTGTGACCACGCGCCCGGCGCGCCGCGTCTCCGCCGATGCCACCACCACCACGTGCGTCTCCAGGAGGTTGTTGGCGAGGACGAGCACCACCCGGAGCTCGCGTCCACCACTCTCCACACGCACGTCCACACTCCTGCACCACACGCACACCACCGTGCGTCACTGTCACAACAACTCACCAAAAGGCCCCTTAACCTCACCGGGCACCTCAGAATCCATTCAGACTCAGAATCTCTCAGAATCAAAACCTTTTATCCGATGAGCTATTAAGCACTTTGCTCAGATGTCCTGTAGGGTTGAGTCAGAAAGTTACAGCAACAAGCAATAAAAAAACGCGATAGGGGTGCAAAGTATAGGAAAGGTAAGCAAACCACTCCAAATAAACTAAAACGAAACTATTTTTATTTTACCAGGTAAAGCCCACCGAGGTATTAGTTCTGTTTTAACCTCCAGGATCCCTCAAGACAGAATGGGACACAATGCCACGTGGAGGTAGTTATTACAATACACAGCTCATTAGGGCGTAATGGATTATTTGTCTGTTTTTATCGGCTACCGTAGACTGGTTAATGCAGTCATTCCACTTAAACAAGCACTGGAAAATGGTCATATTCACGAATGGTCCTGGGCCAGTCATTGAAATTCCACATTCATACGATGGGAACAAGTCTACCCCAATTTTTTGTAATCTATGAAATAAACGCAGGAGACATGATGATCCTAGGAAATTGTAATGTTAATGCAACATGTGCACTCTGAACGCTTAATTATAGATTACGCATAGTACACTCTACATCACATCTCAATACACTGACAGAAAAAGTACAAGCCTCCATGCCTATACAGGCAGCTCTCGCATAACGTCTGCCTGTTTAATGCTGTTTCGCTACAATGTCGCCGATGAATCACTACCCATATACGCGTTTAACGTCGCATGGTATCGGTATCGCTATAACGTCGTTGCCGGCGGGCAAATACTTTATACGGTGGAGAGCGTGGCAGCTGCACAGCACAGACGTTGCTAGGCAACGCCCCCTACCGGCCCAGTGTATCTCTAAGCGACCATCTTGTACGGCGCCAGTCCTCGCTTAATGATGAACTACTATCTTGAGCTGCGCGGATGAACGGTATGATACAGTATGCAGAATTATACAGCACGCGGTGGCGTAGTACCCTCATCTCAGTTCTCTGTGTACTGTATTTATTTTGATTAGGGGAGGTCATTTTTCACTGCATTCCTCATTGACATGAGTGAGATCTGACTGCTTCAAGTGCCAGGAAGTGTAGCAAGGTGATCACTTTACAAACCAAATCATAAGTGTCCCGGCACTTTGCAGCAGGAGATAGAGCTGTGGACATTGGCGCTGTGCTTGGTCTGTCACGAGTGTCAGGATTACCGGGGCCAACGAAGAGACAAATCAGAAGCAGTGCACAGTCAGCAAAACCTTGAAGTGCTGCTCGAGTGAAGAGCTCAAGAGTGAAGAGCTCAAGAAGCGTAGAGAATATGGAGCGCCCGTAATCAGTGTGGATCGATGATCAAAATCATTGCCACATTCCTCTCAGTTTACTGGCGATCCAGGCAAAGGCACGGAGTTTGTTGAAGAACTTAAAAGGCCAAGGGGGTGGTGAATCAAGCTAAGAGGAGACGCTCACAGCCAGTCTTGGGTGGTTCGAGAGATTTAAGCGCCGCAGATGCCTGCACTACATGAGAACGATGGGCAAGGAGGTGAGCGCAGACACTCCCAACACCTCACTCCACTTCTAGCTCCACAACCATCGCCGGTGAGTGTTAACCTAACCAAAACTTTTCTCTACTCATAGCTTTAGTTAATCACCAAAGTGATAGTATTCGTTTAAGCATCAAATATGTATGTATTTTGAACTTCTTTCGCACCGTACATAGCCAACCATACTAATCATGTAATCGGAAATTTCCCAGGGACCTAACCTCCCCTATTTCTGTTGTTTCTTATGGGAAAATAGGTTCCGCGAAACGTTGCTTCACTTAAAGTCATATTTTCCAGGAACGCAAGAGAGAACAAGTGTCTTTGCTTATAGAAAAACCTATTGGTCCAAGTGTGGACAAAGATGATAAAATTTTCAGCACTGGGATTATTTGGCTGATACCAGTTGTGTTTTTTTCGCTATGGTAGGAAAGCGTAGAATCCGCAGAAGAATGGGAGAGAAAGAACATACAAACCCCACTCAGAAAGGCACGGAAGTTGGTAATTGGACCCAGGCACTTCTTGCTATGAGATGCGAGTGTTACCACTGCGCCACCGCCCTGCTGCCCACTGGGGTAGATGCGTCCGTGTGTCACAACCACACGCTCACAAGAACCGAGGGGTTGGTTCCCATCTCCTTCCGCAGTCCCGAGCTAGTGATGGCAATTACACATTCTTAGGCTGGGGAGCGGTCTCTTCATAGGATACCCACTGTTGCCTTTTCACCGCGTGGGGTTTACCGAGTGGTACTCATTTTACTGACTCCCAAAGGATGATGATGGCTTCTCACAAGGTGAGGGCCCACTGCGCCCCCGAGATTCATAGAAAGCGTTTGCGTGCAAGGACGGAAAATTTACATCGCCGTTCCATGACAACGGTTATCTGCTGCTGCTGCATTGGCAGCGGTGTGCAAGCACAAACAATGACAAAACTCAACACGAAGAAACATCTACAGCAATCCCTCGCCAACCGCTTACTTGCTAACCACAGAATTCATAAACACAGGGTTCACAATCTGTATACAAATTCACCAAATGTGGCCTGGACAGTTTGAGTATCTACAGGTAAAGCACGGGGCCCGCAACACGCAGTTACAAATTTCACGGGGCCACGATTCTCCTCTGCGCCAACGTGCCACCCGTGGACACGTGTGGGCAACCAGGGCCGCCCGTGGCCACGCATGGCGCTGCGTCGTAGCTTATCAGCTGTCCGTCTATTTTGTTGTGATTCTGGCAGCGCCACACAGAGAAACAGTCAACTTAGTGAAGTTATACCGAGTCTGACCGTGGCTGTGGTTCCCCTAACCTCCTACTTCCCATCGGCCCCCTGTACTTCACTAACCGCGGATTTGCCTACCACGGTCTTTTCCAGGTACCCAACCCCAATGGTTGGTGAGGGATTTCTGTATTCTGATCCTGCCCCATGGTGTGTCGTGCAATCCCCAGCTATAATTATCCACCATCTCTCCAGCCTCTCTATGTATCGGGAAAACCATTGCCAGAAATGTAACTTATTCTATACGTCTCCTCATTAAGGCCCCATGCACGGTGTTATTATTGACCAAGCGACGAGGGCAGTGGTGCAAGACAAACCGGATCTTTGCAGAGGCTCTGATGTTTGCGACGCGGACGATTTCATCCTGCACAGTCCTCTCCACCACCTCCTCCTGCTGTTGCATGTCGTTCCCAGCCTCGGCATTCCGCCTACACCCAAACACACAAATACCCAATCACACAAAAACCCAAACACACAAAGACCCAAAGACACAAAGACCCAAACACACATATACCCAATTACCCAAACACCCAATTACCCAAACACACAATCACACAAACACCCAATCATACAAGCACCCAATTACCCAAACACACAATCACCCAAACAACCAAACACACAAACACACGCGCAGGCCAGGTGAGCGACACGCGCCGCAAATGCTGGGTAAGCGTAATGCATGCAGGGCTCTCGCGGCCAATATTATGACTCACAGTTGATTTTTGTGTCAGACCGCATTGGGAAATTGTGTCGTACACCCTCCTCCACCTTACAAAGTCACGTGAACAAACGTGCCAATTTATTACTGCTTTAGCAGCAGCACCGGTCGGTGTTAGACAGCGATCCACACATCTTTTAATAATTGAGTACGACCAGCATCATCGCCACTGTGTCAAGATGTTAACTACCTCGCTTGGTATACAGGTCGTGGGTTCGATTCCGACCCCCACGCCTGTAGATTTGGAGTTTGCATGTTCTCCCTGTGGTCGGGTCCTCCGGTTTTCCCTTCCACATTTTAAAACAAGGGTCCAGAGAATTTGGCTGCTATACATTTCCACAAGATAAGCCACTTCATTGAGTTATCATTTTTGGCCAGGTCGCTTCTGAAAAAGAGCTACATAGCTCTGTGGGCCTTACCTGGTAAAATAAAAGAAAATAAGTTTTTTACTTAGTTTGACTGTCCATAATATTTTAACATCCTTTAAAAAAATGTATGTTGCTACTAGTTTGCTTGGTGTTGTAGGGTCCTGGTAAAATACGTTTAGAAACGTTTAGAAAAAAGAAAGAGTTTAGCCTACCATCTGGCAGTTGCCAGAATTTGACGATAAATCGGCATGTTTGTTCTTTATGAACTGGCCTTGTCGTGTGCAGGAGGGTGTACGACAATATTACATACGCGACCCAATCTGAACATCTATGGGGCTGCTCGGCCAGTTCCCCTCTCCTGGTCGAGAGGGTTTGTTGTTTGTGTTCCGCCTGCGCGCGACGCTCGACTCACGCGGCCCGCTTGCGCTGCTTCTTCCTCCTCTTGTCGAGCACCTTCTTTATCTCCTCTTCCGTTTGGATGCGGAAAACCTCCAGTGTCTGATCCAGGCCCTGCGAGTCCGGCACAGCGCACATTCCGCATCGGCGCCAACCAGGGTCAATCCACCGCCGGATGAAGGCCTCCCCCCCAAGCGGCCTGCGATGTAATAATCCATTCAGCGCCAGCACCCTACGAGCTGATCTCAATCGCTCCTCGATAGACGTCCTCTGGGATGCATTGCATCCCTTGGCTGCCGCTCCGCTATTATTCTTGACCATCGCCCCCTCTTATAACTGTGATACATCCTGCCCAAGCCCGCGTACTTTTATTAAACTTTGGATCACGTCTTAAACCTGCGGGAATTCTCTAATCCGCATGTTCCTCTATCTCTCATTCGAACTCCAAGAGCTCATCACTCCTCGCTTATTTCCATACTTGTCGATTTTTTGTGCTCTATACATCCCACACACCTCACAGCGCACACCTCACCCAGCATCCCACAGAGCACGATGCACACCGCACTTCCCAGAAACACACAAACGGCAGCATCCCACACACAGATCTCACTGCACGCATCTCACAGCTCACGACACTGAGCACACCCAATGTTCCAAATCACATTTCTTCATGACGCACCTCGAACCACGCTGTGCGCACACATGGTTCGGCGCATGCCCCACGCACGGCCCCACGCACAACGCATTCACTCTGCCAGCACTGCCACGGAAGCTGTCGGCCCAGTTACCCCACCTGGTGATGCAGCACTTGGGTATTTTCAGGGTTTGCCATCCTGAGAATGGGACTCGTGCATAAAAACAACACTGTACCAGGGACTAACACGCAAAGCAAGTAATGAAAACCTCTCAACAGCTCCTAAGCAATCACTCTCAAGGGCCACCACTCCAGTAAATGCAGCAGTGAGGCTTCTCTGTGATTGGTCACTCTGGATAGGGGGGGACCTGACATGTACGAACACGGTGGGTGGGGGGCCACGCCCTGCAGGCTGTGCGACTCACGTGACAGACCAGGAACCTCCCCGTCGGGTCTGTCGCCATGGAGACCACACGGTCTCTCCCCTCCCTGAGCAACGATCCGAGCTTGTGAGCGGCGACGATGCGCTGTCGACAGAGTAGCAGAACCGCGCGCGGACAAGCAGCAGCGTCAGCAGAGTTACATCAACGGCACTTTGGTGTTTCACCGCTGCGTTCGTTTGCCTCGCCGTGGAGCGAATAGATACCTCTTCTTCCTCCTCCTCCTCGGCGTTCGCATCGTCGGACAGCTCCCCGTCTTGTGTCGCGAGCCGCGGCACCGCGGCGCGCGGCCTCTTGATGCCTGCGTCGCTGTCGGGGCACAAAAGCTCCCAAACGCGCAGTTCGCTGTCGGCGGAGCCCGTCACGAGCCGCGTGTCCTCGCCAAACGTCGCCAGCGACCACACCTGCGGGCAGCAGCATCGCATGAACACCGCAGCGGCGGGCAGCAGTCAAACGGCAACAATGTAAACGCCAACAGAACTGCAACACGGCACGGTCTGAAAGAAACCCGATATCGACTGCACCATGCCACAGGCAGCCATCACAGAGCAACAGACACAGACAGCATATTAACCCTTTACGAGACGTCTGCAAATTGGATCCCGCTCAATGCTGAATCTCGGAACGCGCAAGCAGTTAGCGTTAATTTTATTTAGAGAGGCAGAGCGCCGCTGTTTTTAAAGACATTGTACTCCCCGCAGAGAACTGTAGCGACACGACCGCACTCGATGATAGCTGGCGCGAAACTGCGCACACGCCCTCCCCGCATGGCCTTTGACGTGTACGTCATCGCAACAGAATCGAAAGAACTGATAATGTACACGTACGTCATCGGAATGGGTTAACATGAACAGCAAGAGGAGCTTTACAAGAACAGTGATTGCAGTGCTTTAACCTTAACCCACACTGCCATCGCTCAGAGAAGCCACAGGATGCGAATGTTGCTCATGTCCACAAACTCAGTGGAGAAGGATGCAGAGAGTGTCTGGGCTGGACAGAGAAGATGCCCAATGAAGACATCTTGAATGGCATGAAGTAAAGAAGACCGATAGAGGAAGTCATTGGGAGGAGAGAGGAGATCTGGACTGGACGCATTCTATGTGGGCACCGGTTGATGACGAAGGACATTATTGAAGAACGGAAGGGAATAGAATGCGAGGAAGGCCGAGGATTGGAATGGAGGAGCTGTACAAAGACTCGTACACATTCAGACACACTCACACAGATCCCCAGTATAGCCTTTACAGACTGTTGGGGAAAGAAATGTTAGCGAGCACCTATTAAGGCTGGCACGGCACACGAGTGGGTGGGTGGTTAACACTACGCCCGGCCACCTTTGTCTCCCCAGTGTTGATGTTTACACACCGCACAGGTACTCATTTTAGAGTCGATATAGGGGATGCCCAGAACCTTTTAAAATATTTGTCACTGTTGTTGGTCGTGAATGGGATTTGAAGTCAGTCCGCAGGGTTCGTAGCGAAGCACACAAAACGATGCACCACCGTTCCCCGCGCCTGTACAGAGAGTCACACTCAACACACCTCGGAGCGGTGCCCAACCAAGGTCTTGAAGCAGTGCTGGGTGTCCAGGTCCCAGAACTTCACAAAAGAGTCTTTGGAGCTGCACAAGAAGAGAAAGAACCCCCCCCCCCCCACAACCCGCGTTAGTCCACGCACCGACAGAGGAGGCGGCCGAGTCATCACCCGCGTTTCCCTTGACAGCGCTCGTTTCGTGCACGCGGCAATCCCCGTCTCTCCACTCACACTCACACGAGGCTTGGGCGGTCCTCATGTCTACTGGTGGAAATTCCACATTCCTGTGGCACAGACTGGTCGCTCTGTAAACAGCCGATGCTGACTACCCACACAAAAGCCTGGGGACGCGGCATCTTGGGTCTCCTGGGCCTTCGCCTCCCCCTAGAGACGCCGTCCTCCATGCCACTGCGAGCTGCCGGCGAGCGCCTCACCCGGTGAGGAGCACGTTCTTTGTGGAGAAGAAGCGCGCCGAGGTGACGGCATCCTTGTGGCCCTTGAGACGGTAGAGGCCGCATTCCCCGACCACGTCCCACACGATGACATCCGTGTCCTGCAACGAAACGGCGGCGGTCATCGACATGGCGCTCGCGGGCATGCCGATACGATCTTAATATGTGCGGAGGACCGCAGAGCTTTGGCCATTGTTGGAGCCGGCTAGCTGCGTGGGTGAATTACCCGCTCGTCTGTGGTTCCACCTCGCGCCTCTAGTTGTCCTCTCTCTCTACGTGTGTATTATCTGCACAATACTCATAACCCGAACCCCAAGTATGGTGACCCGGCGTGGGGTCGCGACCCCCAGATCCCCCACGCCCACCCCCACGAGCCCCCCCCCACCAGCGGGCATACCTGCGAGCCGGAAACGAGGCGCGTGCCGTCAGGGTGGTACGCCAGCGCCGTGATGGCAGTGCGGTGGCCCGTGAAGGTGACGCGCTTCTCGCCTGTTATCAGGCTCAGCAGGCGCACGGCCCCATCCACGTGCCCAGCAGCCAGCTCCACGCCCGCGGCGTAGCCCTGCTCCTCCCCACCGTGCCGACCCCGGCAAGGGGCAGCGGCCAGCCGCGTAACCTCCGACTTGTCTCCCGGGATGACGAGCACCTGCACGAGCACGCTTCGTCAGCCCTGCTGCAGCTGGCAGTGCCACCGCCGCTGGCAGTGCCACCCTGGTGCTACTAATGCCACGTGGACTACAGTGCCGGTGACACACGGCCTCCTGGCAGCGCGTGTTAGCTGCTTGAGCCGACCCTGATAGGTGTTCGGAGTGAACTTGCCAGCGACAATCCAAGGATCATGAGGAACGCGTCAGTACTACGGGGAATTCACCGTACAATTTCATGCTGTCCGCTTCACAGACCATGTTCAAAATCCCTTAACGTCATTTAAAGCGAGTTGGCCATTGCGTGCCGGCATCACGGTGCAAATTTGATATTTTTACCCTAATTACCCAGGATTACACATAGCAACATCTCCCCTGACTGTGAAAGTACTGTCGACTGCGTCTTGTGAAATGTGGCGCCTACGTGATAGCCTTGCGCTATGAGAATGGCGCAAATACCAAACGTGCTAAATTATTACAATAGGCACCGTGCCCAAGAGTGTCAGCGGGTGCCATCACCCACGGTGTGCCTGGATGCACTCGCGCTTGTGATGTTAAACCCTGGCGAAACTTTTGCTGTATTTCCAGGGCCAGCAGGAAGCCGTGCCGAGCTGGCCCATCCACCCACGGCCACGAAAACATGGCCCGTGCCTGAACACGCAGCCCTCCTGTGCGTTTACATTGTATAACGCGATTTTTACATAACGCAGTGTTCTTCAGGAACACAACTATTACTTCGTAATAGAACACATACATACTCCGCGGACCCCACGTGGAGGTGTGCGGAGGGCCGTGGAGTAGGGTGGGGTGCCGCGGTGTCGAGATGTTAACTACCTCGCCCAGTATGCAGGTCATGGGTTTGATCCTGACCCTGCCGCCTATACATTTGGAGTTTTTCCCTCCACATTAAGAACAAATGTCACGCGTTTAGAATATTTGGCTGCTGCTATGCATTTCCACCTGTCGATAAGTCACTACTTCACTGAGCTATCATTTGTGTTGGCCAAGGTCCCTTCTGAAAAAGAGCTATAGAGCTCAGTAGTGGGCCTTACCTGGTAAAAATAAAAAAATAGCTTAGTTTTGAGTATAGCCCTATGTACACAAGCGTGTGTAGATCTCAAAGCTGCCGTTCAGCCTCGATTATTTTGGTGCTATAAAGTCCAAAATAATGGGCAACTTTCGAGCTATCATTTGTGGCCGGGTTGCTTCTGAAAAACAAGTAAATACCTCAGTGGGTCTTACTTGGTAAAATAAAATAAAGTTGTTTGTTTGTTTGAGCGGCGCCGTCACCCTCTCACCTTCTCGCCCTTGCGCAGGTCCCACACGACCACGTAGCTCGCACGTGGCCACGGCGGCGAAGCGGGAGCGCTCCCCGCGCAGCGCCACGAAGACGGCGTTGGCGCGGGCCGACGCCACCAGCCCGAACACGGCGCCCGGCGCGTAGCGCAGATACTGCTTCGTGAGACCCATGCTGGAGCCTCAAAGCTGTGGTGGTGTCATGGAAACCACACAACAACCACAACAACCACACAACCACCATTAGAAACCCCCCATGGCCAGCGTGAGAGGTGGCGCCGCAGCGGTGGCTCACGCACAGCGCAGTGAATATGCTTGGTGTTGGCACGACCCTCCCCTGAACATCAACAGCGCTTGTTGCGATGGGGGTGGCCGTGAACTTCCGCACCGTTGAGACAAACGCAGCGGATTCCACTCTCGGCACACGCGCAAAGCCGAACCCGGTGATGGGTGCCAACCCTGAGGGTCGTCCGTGCGAGTTCACCAAAGGCGTCTCCATCCGGATGTAACGCGCACGGCCCCAGCTGTGACATCCACGTTCTCGACAGCATTGCGCGGCGTTCAGCCGTTTGCGTTTACAGACCAGTGGTGGAAATTCCACATTACTTTGACGGGGGCGGGGGTGACAGTTTATCCAAAAGCCAATCGATGCCGACTTCACAAGTGGCTGTGGCGATGTGATCAGTCCCGGGGGGTGCGTGCCCGGTTGTCGCTGTCGGTGCGATCGACAGCGGCGCCTCACACAGCAGCAGCACTGCGCCGTTTGCCAGAACTCTCAGTTGCATCCCGGCTCAGGTTCGACTCCGGCTCAGGTTCGACTCCGGCTCAGGTTCGACTCCGGCTCAGGTTCGACTCCGGCTCAGGTTCGACTCCGGCTCAGGTTCGACTCCGGCTCAGGTTCGACTCCGGCTCAGGTTCGAGCGCGTCACGGCTCCAGGCCACGCGCTTAACGCGAGCCGTCCTAACCTGAGCCATGATCCCAGGAGCCGTACTCTAAAGGATTTCCACGAGCCTGAGCCAAGCAACGGGGGAGCCGCTCACTCGCGCGCGTCCGTGGAAGCGGCTGAGGGCCTCTCGGCCGAGCCGCACTTGAGGAGACCGCGGGGACCGGCGACTCGCACGCGGGGAGCGCCCCGCGGGCTTCGCGTGCGGCCCCGCGGCCGCGCTAGGCCTCTACAGCAGCGCACCCCCCCCACCCGCTCAGCGCTCCTTCACTCCCCGGCAGCAGCAGCAACACGCACCCGCCGAGCACAAACCAGTGAGTGAATGAGAGTGAGTGAGAGTGGATGAGAGAGTGGGTGATGGTGAGTGTTAATGAGTGCCCGGAGTGTTACCCGCACCACGAGGCCGCTGCACGTGCTGTGCTGCCAGGCCGAGCAGTCGATCGCCGAGCAGCCTGGGGGCGGGTGGGGGGGCGGGGCGGGTGGGGGGGCGGGGCGGGTGGGGGGGCGGGGCGGGAGGGGGGGCGGGGCGTGAGGGGGGGCGGGGCGTGAGGGGCGGGGCGCGGGGATCCCCAGGCCGCAGCAATCGACCGCCGAGACAGCAGCTCGGGATGAGCCGGATGAGACATTTAAGCTGCAGGAATCCGAAGAGCTCCGAAGCTCTTCTTCTTCAAAGCTGTCCGGTGGATGCACGCACACGTTCACCACGGGTACACGGCCCGCGACAAACAGCACCGTCGCAGCTGTACAAAGACAAAGATCCCCCGTGTAGCCTGTAACAGGCTGTAGGGGCAAGTGCTGTTAGCGAGCAGCAGCTGTGAAGGCCGGCACTGTGGCACACGAGGGGGGGGGGGTGGCCGGCATCACGCCCGGCCGCCTTTGTCTCCCCAGTGGTGATGTTTTTACACCGCACCAGGTACTCATTTGAGGCTGAGTTGACCTAGGGGGAAGAGGCCCAGGACCGGTTCAGACAATCGTCTCCGGTGTTGGCCGTGAGTGGGAATCGAACTCGGGATGCCGGGTTCGCAGCGCAGCGCGCTAACCACTACACCCACCGCTCCCCGCAGTCACAGTCTCTCTCCGTCTCGGGATAATTCGACGTTCCGCACGCGACCAGCAGCAGGAGCAGCAGCGGCGGCGATTCGCCTCTGAATGGCGAGATGAGTGGATCGCAACCGCGACGCCGAACTGCGTTTCCCACCTCCCTTGGGGTGAATGAGTTGGGATGGGGGGTGTTTCCTGAGCTCAGCCCCGGACAGCTCCGCCTGCCACGGCGGGGAGGGGGGAGGAGGGGGGGGAGGAGGGGGGGGGGAGGAGGGGGGAGGACGGGGGGGTGGGGAGGGGGTGGGGAGGAGGAGGGGGGGAGGAGGGGGGGAGGAGGGGGGGAGGAGGGGGGGAGGAGGGGGGGAGGAGGGGGGGAGGGTGCCCCGCGTCATCAGAGCGCGCCCCCGACTCCCATTGAGGTGGCGGCGCCGGGAGCGCCCCGATCCTCACTCTGACACCAACACCACGAACATCACCACGAACATCACCATCACTCCAACACCACTAACACCACCACGAACATCACCATCACTCCAACACCACTAACACCACCACGAACATCACCATCACTCCAACACCACTAACATCACCACGAACATCACCATCACTCCAACACCACTAACACCACCACGAACATCACCATCACTCCAACACCACTAACATCACCACGAACATCACCATCACTCCAACACCACTAACATCACCATTACTCCAACACCACCACTAACATCACTCCAACACCATCACCAACATCATCCCAACATCACCACCACTAACATCACCACCACCAACATCATCATCACCCCGTGAGATGCGCCCGCGTCGCGCTGCTCCGCGGCGGCTTCGCTGCGCATCCCGACGGGAGCCGGCGCCCTAGAGCGGGACCCGGGGACCCCCCCCTCCTCGTCCTCCTCGCCGAGCCCCCCACCCCCCTCGCCCTCCTCGTTCTTCTCGCCGAGCCCCCTACCCCCCCACCCCCCTCGCCCTCCTCCTCCTCGCCGAGCCCCCCCCCTCTCGCCCTCCTCCTCCTCGCCGAGCCCCAGGCTCCCTCGCCCCCCACCCCACGAGGTCCTCCCGCGATCCGCGGCACCCGGAGTCACGGGGCTCCAGGTCCTCGCCACGTCTCCTCCGCGTCCCGAGGATCCGGACACGCAGGTTCGAACCCCACGCCTCCTCCTCCTCCATCACCCACCTTCTCTACCATCTCATCCATCACCCATCTCTATCACTCATCTTCTCCCGCACTCCTCCCATCACCGAGTATCGCCCTGGCCGCTGTGATCTCCACGCAGGAGGAGATGCCTCCGACGCCGAGGCGCGTGGCGTGCGCCATGCTGTGCAACTTCGCGTCGTCCGTGGCCGTGGTGTTTCTCAACAAGTGGCTGTACGAGCACCACGGCTTCCCCAGCCTGAGCCTCACGCTCCTCCACTTCGCCTGCACGGCGCTCGGCCTCGAGCTGTGCCGCCGCATGGCGCTCTTCGCCCCCCGGACGCTCTCCCCGCGCCAGCTGCTGCCCCTGGCGCTCAGCTTCTGCGGATTCGTGGCGCTCACCAACCTGTCACTGAGGAGCAACACGGTGGGCACCTATCAGCTCGCCAAGGCCATGACCACGCCGGTCATCGTGGCGCTGCAGACCGTCTTCTACGGGAGGCGCTTCTCAGCCAAGGTTCAGCTCACGTTGGTGAGTGGCAGATCCTCTCAATGCTTCCCCTCCCTAACCCAGGTCTCCCTGTCCCAGGTCTCCTCGGTCTGGTCTCCCTGGGCTCGGTCTCTTTAGATCCCAGATCTCCCTGTCCCAGGTCTCCTTGGTATAGGTCTCTTTAGATCCCAGATCTCTCTGTCCCAGGCCTCCCTGTCCCAGGTCTCTCTGTCCGATTGGTATTACATATTGTGTTGTATTCCAGTTGTGCCCCTCCATAAATGTTTTCCCTGTGTTTGTGAAAACATCCACGACTTGCATGTAGTTAACCACTGTACTGTTAACCATTTATTATTAAAATAGTGCACCTTAAGGAATGCATATTAAGGGAAAATGCTCACACATGATTTTACTTGTCAGCACCAGTGGACGACTGTCACTTTGCTCAAGTTGTCAGCCGAAGACTTGTCTGTGAGGCTCACTCTTCTGGGCGTACGAGTGCCATCGCCTGCATCCAGTGACACCCCGTGTGTGGACGCGAGTGCGGGGTTTTCATTGCGTGTGCGCTTCCTCCTTGAGGATGTGCACGCCTGTGTGTATGCTTGTGCACCACCGTGTAGAGGTTCGCGTAGCGGTTAGCGCGCTGCGCTACCAACCCGGCGACGCGAGTTCGATTCCCGCTCATGGCCAACACCTGTGACGATTATCTGAACTGGTCCTGGGCCTCCCCTAGGTCGACTCAGCCTCAGATGAGTACGTGGGTACGTGGTGTGGTGTGTAAACATCGCCACTGGAGAGACAAGGGCGGCAGGGTGTGGTGTTGGCCACCAACCCCCCTCGTGTACCGTGCTGGCCTTCATAGGAGCTCGCTAACAGCACTCGCGCCAACAGTCTGTTAAGGCTACACGGGGTACCATTGTCTTTGTCGTACATCAGTGAGCTCAACCACGCTGACTTTGCCGCGTTTCCTGACACCCCTCTCCATGACAGGTCCCCATCACAATGGGCGTTGTGCTGAACTCGTTCTACGACGTGCGGTTTAACGTCCTGGGGAGCGTGTATGCTGCCCTGGGTGTCGTCGTCACCTCTCTCTACCAAGTGGTGAGCTTTGGGCAAACGCGTGGCGAGCGACTGCGCGTGGGGCCCCGCTCACCACCCACCCCTCCCCTCCTATTTAACGTCCCTGCCTTCTACGGTTGAAAATTGTGCGACCGTCCCTCCGATCAGCAACGGAGAGAGTTACCAAGAAAGTGCGTGCCAAATTGTTTCTCGAGCTGCGAGTCTTGTCTCAAGCGGGGCCTCCTCCCTGTCGAGCACGTCATCCCGCGAAGCGAGCACGGTGAACGTTTCTGCTCCGTGGCAGCTCCCTCCTCTCGCACTGCGCCGCACACATCAGTGTTTGTTGGAAATTTTCATTGATTCTCCCGCGCCTCTAAAGTTCAATTTCTGAGAGAAAATAACTTGGTCTGCACCGGCACTGCATTTTAAATGTGGTCATCATCGCAGCTGTGTGAGAGGCCGCGTATTTACCCGGGCGCTGAGGCACAGGGCAAGCCTTTGTGGTCCATCGCACACGTGCACACACACGGAGGCTATGTGGTGGCCCGTGCCAGGATTTGCGCGTGAAACACCATGTGTGTACGTGGCCGCCACGCCTCGTGCCACGTGGCCGTGTTCACGCCTCTATGTGTGTGTGGTCTGTATACTTTCTATAACCAGGAGATGAAATGTACCTATTGAGACCCATGAAACAATTTCCTCTTGAGCAAGAGCAACCTTGCAGCACCAGTCGTGGCTTGCTGCTCTCAGTGGTAGCGCCACCTAGTGGTGGTGCATTTACTGCTTGTGGCAGAGGTTTGTGATTCGGAGCTGGCAGGTCGCTCTGGTTAATACTGCATTAACCCTAAATACGCACTGTCTGCTTCACGGTAATTTGGTGGGCTAATTTTAAAGTTGACGATGCTGCACGTAATCTCCAGCGAAGCGTCGCACAAGATTTTTGAAAATGTTTGTTTGCTTTTCAACATTCCGTCGTTTCTCTGAAAAACTGGTCCGTATGTCATCGTCGCCCAGCAGTGACTAACGGCCACTACCGTTGTTGCGTGCGCACGCAGTGGGTGGGGGAGAAGCAAAAGGAGCTGCAGGTGAACTCCATGCAGCTGCTCTACTACCAGGCACCCATGTCGTGCGCGATGCTGCTGTTCGTCGTGCCCCTGGCCGAGCCGCTCACGGGGCCGGGCGCCCTCCTCTCCCCCTGGTCCCTTGGCACCGTGGTGAGCCACCGCCCCACCAAATGTACTTCATTATTATTCGTTACGAGTGTTACTGATACCCCACTCATGATACTTCACTAAAGATAGTCCACAAGTGTAGCTCCACTCATAATACTCCACTAAAGATAGTCCACAAGCGCAGCCCCACTCATAATACTCCACTAAAGATAGTCCACAAGTGCAGCTCCACTCATGATACTCCACTCATGATGCTACCTGGCTCACAGTCTGGCATCGCCCACAGGTGCTGGTGCTGCTGTCGGGAGTGGTGGCGTTCTCCGTCAACCTGTCCATCTACTGGATCATTGGCAGCACCTCCCCCGTCACGTATCCTCCGCCAGCAGCCGCTCTCCACTTTGTTGTCGTCTGCAATGGGGTTCCTTGCGGGTTTGTGCAGGGGGTGGCCCTGGATCGCTTCAGATGTTACCTGCCACTGGTGTTATCCGTGGCATACAGTCAAACGCAGTTTGCTGGGTTTATTGTGCAGCGTGCGAACCACTATGCCTCCATTGTATCTACATTACATGTATGAGGATACTGTGGATTTGAAGTTCATCATTCTCGTCAATGGTTCACCTGAGCCTATCATCCTTTTAAGGGCCGATAAAGTGAGTACCAGATTAGTACCAATTTTTTTTCGGAAGCCAGCACACTTGGTTTGGGGCTGTGAATGGGAGATGAGCACGGCTATGTGCTCATTGAAACTTGACTGAACAATTTTTTTTAAATTTTACCAGGTAAGGCTAACTGAGCTATGTAGCTCTTTTTCAGAATTGACCTCGCGACACATGATAGCTTAATGAAGTCACTTGTCACGTGGAAATTTCTCGCAGCCAAATGCTCTAAACTCACGTTGATTCTGAATGTGGAGGGAAAATTCCACATGGTCACGGGGAGAGAGAACACGCAAATTCCAAATTTGCAGATGTCAGGGTCGGGATCAAACCCACGACCTCCTGTATATCCGGCGAGGTAGTTAACATCTCGCCACCGCGGCAAGTATTTGAGTGGGACACCAATGCCCGCGTCGCTCACGTACCTAGACCGGTCCAGTGCGATACATGGACAATGGGGATTGTCCGTGTCAATTTCAGCAGGAAATGTACTGCATTTGCAGCGCTGCATTGTTTCTCGAGCACTGCTGGTATGGGGCCAATGGAATGCACCTGACCTCGTCAGATCTCGGAAGCGAAGCAGGATGGATACTTAATTTGGAGCTTTCGTGACTGCAGGAATTACTCTTTGGTTCTTTCGGTAAAGTCACGTATAAAGAGAAAATAATAAATTAAATACTAGCATACGACGTTTCGATTGCAACACAAGCAATCATCATGAAGCAGGATGGAATCGGAGAATGCAGAGGAAACCCACGCAGAACATGTGGAGAACATACAAACTGCACACAGAGAAGGCGCCCGAGTTGGGAATCCAACCCTGGTGCTTCTTGCTGTGAGGCACGAGTGTTACCGCTGCGCAACCACCCTGATTTATCAGGTTAACCACCATGCGCGCCGAGACATTGGCACATTTTCCTGAGTCCTGGAGCCAGGTACAACATGTTCGGGCACTTCAAGTTTTGCGTGACGCTGCTGGGAGGGTACCTGCTGTTCGAGGACCCGCTCTCCGCGTACCAGGCGCTCGGGATCCTGTGCACGCTGGCCGGCATCGCGGCCTACTCGCACATCAAGCTGTCGGAGCAACGCGAGGCAGCGCGTAGCCGCCTGGGACAGAGGCCCTGACCACGTGTCTGCCTGCCACGTGTGTGTCGGTGTGACCGGGGCCAGCCGGGGCCATCAGGGGTCAGCCAGGGCCAGCCAGGGCCAGCCAGGGCCATCCAGGGCCTGCCAGGGTCAGCCAGGGTCAGCCCTGGGCTTAACTGCCGCTCGCTGGAGTGCGCATGCTGGCAGTGGGGCCCTTGGAGAATAAAACCCAAATCTTCGTATTTAAAATGACCCTCAGTCTTTGAACTCTAACCTAAACAAGTAAATCAACGTGCAAATTTTGTTTTGTAAAAAGATAGGTTTTAAACGTTTTCATTGTATTTAAGTCCATTTATGACCACACCGTTTCTAGCCGCTGCCGCTCCCTGTTGAGCCGGTAGCGAGTGATGCGTAGATGCGTAGTGTGGAGCGAGGATGAAATTAATCACGCGGGGGTCACAGTGCTGACCGGGCAGCGTCTGCCTGCATCGTGGCCACGCTCTGCCATTAAAACCTAAGCCACGATCCCTTGTGTTGTCAAATTCTGTCTCGAGTTTTACGGAACTCGTGGTCAAATCGAGTTGCTTTGAAAAGTGGAGTGGTCAAGCTGCGTGACCTGGAGGCATCGCAAAGGGCAGCTGGCCAGCATTGCTCGGGGGTGATTCCTATGTTCAGAATTCTCCAGTCTCGAGCATTTGATCTTAGTTCTGCATTGAGCCCTCGGGCCCAGAAGTTGCTCTCGCCATTGCCACTTGAGGTGGCATCGCTTCAGCGGTTCAAATTTCTTAATGTGCCCAATAACGGGCGGCGCCAGGGTCGCGAGATGTTACCGCCTTCACCTGGCATGCAGGACGTCGTTGGTTCGGTCCTGACCTTGATGCCTGCTCTATAGTTGGAGTTAGCATGTTCTCCCCGTAGCCAGGTGGATTTCCTCCCGTTTATCCATACACATTTAGAAACATGCTTTTAGTGTATTTGGCTGCTTGAAATTTCGACATGAGCCACTTCGTTAAGCTACCATTTGTGGCCAGGTCGCTTCTGAAAAAGAGCTATATAGCTCAGTGGGCCACACCTGGTTAAATAAAGAAAATAAGTTTAATAGTTTGTTTTAACACTGAATTACGTGATAACCACATGTGTGTGCCACTCTATGGAGAAGTTAACAGTGAGTGGATTACCACCTTGCCGCTCACTTGAGCAGGATTCCCCAACTCCTTGGCTTGTCCTGTCAACTTTTAGGGTTGTTCCTGCGAGGTTTCTCGTTTAATCCTCCTCGAGGGTTTCTGACGAAACACGGCAGCCGCCGTTCAGTTGTTGGGAACGCTGCACTCGGGCTGGGCGCGTTTCTCCTGCAGCGAAGGGCCGAGACCGGCCCCCGGTGGCGCTGTGCCCCCAATTCCTGGTGCCCCCCGCTCAGGTGGCTGGAGCTGGCGTGTGCAACTTTTTCCTACCTCCCCCAACCCATTTAGTCCAGTCCTGCAATTTTCACATCAGGGCTCTACGACACATTCGACCACTATTGAGTGGTGACATAGCCAACAGTGGCGTGTAGTATAGTATCGACAAGGCTCAATTATTGCAACTCACTCTGTGGGATGTTTGGCAAAAACATTGCCAAGCTGCAGCATGTACAAAACTCTCTGGCACATGTTGTGACGGGTTATGCAAGATCTGACCATGTCAGTCTAGTGTTCGCTGAGCTACATTGGCTTCTGGTTGCCGAACGAATACATTGAGGTTGCATTCATTCCACACGAAGTCCTTACCACAAATTAACCACAATAGCTTGCTGATCTTGTCAAGGAGCATAAACCATCACGCGAACTCCGGTCATCCTAACAAGCTTTTGGCTGGCCATCGAACAAAGACCGTCACTGCATCGTGCGCTTTCAGATGCGCTTCTGATGCTGTCTGGAACGCTCTTCTGATATTAACAAGCTAATGGAGCTATGCACTTTTAAATATAGACTGAAAACTCATTTCTTTAGAACTGTTTATTGTGTTTAGTTTGTCCTTCCCCCAAACATCCCATTAGCACGGTTGGCTACATACGGTACATATGTAGTGGGTATTGTTAGCGTTACATGCGGTTACCACTACTCGCCACTGGTCAACAGTGGGCAACGGTGGGCAACGGCGAGTACGGCCTGTATCAAGTAACGCCGTTAGGCCAGGGTGGTTGGGAACCAGAGGTACACACCCCAGGCCCCCAGTGGGGGCTGGGGGATTACGCAATAGTCCAGGTCCCTCCAGAAGGTTCTCGAGAATAGGCGTGGCCAGGGGCGGAGTGAGCCTGGGGGTGTATATAAGGGGGACCCCTGAACGGGTTTGCCAGTCAAGCTGAAGACCCGAAGAGCCAGCCTAGCATAGGATCCTGGGAACCCCCGGACCCAACGACCTTCCAAGAGCCGGAACCGAGCGGGCCAGTGGCTGGGAACCGAGGACCTTGGCTGGGTCGGGTCAGCTAACCTCCCCAAGGTCCGCCTAGCCGGAGGGCTGATATAGAGGAAGTGGTCCCAGTGAGTAGGACACGCGAGCCCGGAGGCTATACTATACTTCCCCAGGGTACCGGGCGGAGGGGCCGATAGCCCTTTGTGCTAAGGACCTCATGTTATAGTTGTTACTGTTAAATAAACGTGTTGCCTCGAGAAGAAGACTCTCCCTCATTACCACTACACATACATAAATTTGGATCTAGAATTCCAGGCCATTTACCTCAACGCTTAGCTCATTCCCACATAGGTATATTTCCCCTCGCGCATGTGAGTTTTCTCCAGATTTTCTGGTTTCCTCCCACATGTTAGCACTAATTAATTGACGATAACACCTTCATAGATGGAAGACCACAGAGCTTGGGCAATTGTTGGCAGTGGCTCATTGCATGGATGCTGCTGCTGCTGCTCATCCGTGGCTCCTCGTCAAACCTCCGAGTCGTTCTGTCTACAATCTACAACAGCCAGTGAACACACCGAGTGAAAACTGCGAGCGCATACTGAGTGAACACTGAATATCGTGAGTGAACACCATGCGGCGCCACACGTTTCATTGACTAATCACTTTATTTCAGTTCCTTCGCAGATATAGACACAGAGGTTGCCCAACACACCATCTGCATACGCTTTTCCATCTCTTTTGTCCTTTATGAACAACCATCGTGCGGACCGCAACCCGGTGAGCTCTGCCTTGCACGCGGGGGGCTCCCAGCCACCCTCGCGCTGCCCACGTCGCACCGAGAGAAGTCGTGCGTGAGTGGGGATCGTGTGGGGAGCTGCAGGAGTGCGGATGCAAAATGTGCAGCTCTAAGTGTCGGGGCTGCAGAGGGACATGGTCCCGAAATGTCATGGTGTACATTAAAACAAAGTACACGACACTTTCCGCGTGTTTACACCGTGTCAATAAAACAAATGTTTGCAGGGTTTCATCCATCACCTCATTTGACCCCCCTCTGCCCACCCCTGCTGTAGCTATGCTGTGTCGGTGTGCTGTAGGTGTGCTGTGTAGGTTTGCTGTAGCTGTGCTGTAGCTATGCTATGTAGCTGTGCAGTAACTATGCTGTAGGTGTGCTGTAGCTATGCTGTGTAGGTGTACTGTAGCTATGCTGTGTAGGGGTGCTGTAGCTATGCTGTGTAGGTGTGCTGTAGCTATGCTGTAGGTGGACCGCTGTCAACATTCCCACCACATTCCTCCTAGAACAAGACAAGCCCCACTTCACGAAAGCAATCGTCACTTTGTGCCTGCGCAATAAGTGACTCCCAACACATCTCAAACATTTGAAAGGGACACCCCCAGTGGCAGCTGTCCCTGTGCAACATGAGGCGACTCGGGCACCTGGCCTGCAATCGGAAGTTTATTCTGCCTGTGGAGGGTGGGGGGGGGCGAAGATCGTGATATGTACACCAATCACAGTCAACTCACCTGCGTTGGTATTTTTAAAATGTACGTGTGTATGTTGAAGTTCTTTCACAACCGTAAGTAGCCAACCTGGCCAATTAAAGGCCCGGGTCACTTTGCACAGTGAAACCGGCAACAAAAGTTTACTCCTTTCAATCGACGTCAGGAGATCTTTAACGTTCAACATGAAGCAGAAGCCGCATATGTAAGGGTAAAAAAACAAACGCACAAAGTATAAACCAATATCGGCCCAAAACATCCCAATTGTGAAAATTAGCCGCAAACACTCAATTGAGATCACTCAGCAGCAGCAGAATCACCCCCCTGTGACAACTCGGCAGGACCCTCCTCAAATATGAGTATCGCCAGCCCTGGCGAGGCCTTCCCGGATAAACAACAATAATAACAATAACAACGATAAGAACGACGGGCGGCGAAGGCGCAATCGCTGGGCCGCCACCACCACACCGCTCCCCCCTGCAAGCACCATCGCAGGCGCCCGCTAACAGCGCTTCACGAGCTCCCTCGTGTACACGGCGTTGGCATAGTACCACCACTGCCAGTAGTGCCGGTACCAGGCACTCCACCCGCCGCCGGCCGCGTACGCTGCATGGCGACCGTGAGGGTCGGCGTCATCTCCCGCCGGCCACGCTCCCTCTGCGGCCCCTGCTGGCCACGCTCCCTCTGCGGCCCCCGCCGGCCAAGCTCCGTCAGCGGCCCCCGGTGCCGCCCGGTAACCCACCGCCGCCCAGGGCCTCGCTTCTGTGGTTCTCGGCCGGGCAGACGCCGTGTCTCGCTCAGCCGCGGCCTTTTGTTTAAGCGCAGGCCTCGTGGCGCTCGACGGGAAAGCGTCGCGCTTCGCGTCTCTTTTTGGACTGGACGGCGGATGCCTGCCCTTGGCCTCGTAGTTCTTCGGGAAGAAGTACGAGTTGTAGTCTAAATGGCTCCCACCGGCGGCTCTGCTGGCTGTCGCGCCACCCGCCCGCGCTGCCGCGTCCGAGCCCGACCTCCGCTCGGCTCGCTCGGCCCGGATTCCTGAAGCGGTTCCGTCCCCGCGCACGGCAGTGCGTTCCAGCCGCGGGTCGTCGTGTCGTTTGCTCGGTGCAGCGTCGTCTCCACCGGCCTCGCGCACCTCCTCACTGTCCATCGTGTCTGTGCTGCCCTCCTCCTCGTCCGCGTCATCCATTTCCTCGTCGCTGCTCTCCTCTTGCTCCTCCTCCCGCTCCACCTCTCTCTCACTGTGCCTCCTCGCGTGAGTGCCAACGCTCTTCTCATCGTCGTTGCTTTCGTCACCCGCCGACTGAGGAGCAGTGCTGCCTTCCGTCCTGCCGGTGCACGCGGGCTCACAGGAGTCCGACTGCTGGGGGTCACTCTCCCCACGGGACGTGGGCTGCTTCTCCGCCTCCCCCACGCCGCCGTCGCCGACCGCCGCTCCGGCCTCGGGGGGCTTACCGACGCCGTGGCACAGAAAGTATTCGTAGTCGGCGAGCGCCTCTGCGAAATTTCCGCTCTGCGTGGAGGAGCTTCGTTTAAACAAAGCCAAGGGAGGAACTTGCGGTAAGTTACTCTCCGATGAGCTGCCGGCTTCTCGCAGCCGATTTGGAGGAAGCGGGTGGAGTGAGGCCGGCTGCCATGACAGGCAACCACCACCGCCGCCGCCGTTCTCAGCCACACGAACCTTGGTCGCGGCCTGAGCCGGCCGTGCGGCCTCACTCGAACCCCCTGCGCCAACCCTCCTGTAGCTGGGTTCGTCTTCCTCCCAGGGCCCGGCCGGGTGAGGTGCCCCACCCTTGTGCTGCTTTCGAGCTGAGGCCTTCCCGCTGTGCTCGGCCCGCACCCGTTGGGCCGGGACTTGCGGTCGCGCCTTGTGCTTCGCCGAGGAGGATCGCGACGAGGCCCACGCGGGGGGCTGCACAACGGCTGCCACTGGAAGATCCCCGGGAGCGTCCTCCTCCTGGTCAGCGAACGCCTCGGCCATGAAGTCCGACGAGATGGTTTCTAGGAGAACGGCACGAACGAGCGCTGGTTACACACACTCAGCCATCGGAAACAATGACAGGCGGCCGGGTGGCACGGCGGTAACACCGGAGCCTCACAGCAACAAGGAGCCTGGGTTAAATTCCTTACTCGGCCGCTTTTCTGTGTGGAGTGTGCGTGTTCTCTCCCTGTTCTGTAAATGGTGTTGACCAAACATCCCAGAGTAGCAGGACGCTCTTTCCTGGGTCATAAGTAATTATGATTCGTATACAAATGTAATGATTCAATGACGTATGTGTACGTCATCAGTACAGACCCGGAAGAAAAACTTAAATAAAATAACTTTATCAGTACCAAGGCTCCCACAAGGCCATGCGGGAGGGCGTGTGGCACAGTTTGGCGCCAGCTATTATAGGGTGTGGTCGTGTCGCTATGGTTCTCTGCGGTAAGTGCAATGTCTTTTAAAAACAGCAGCGCTATGCCTCTCTAAATAAAACTAATGCTAACCGCTTGCGCGTTCCGAGATTCGGCTAATGCTAACCGCTTGCGCGTTCCGAGATTCGGCGGTTATCGGGACCCCACCCCCCAACTTGCAGTCGTCTCGAGAACGAGTGAATGTAATGCAGGTTTCCTTTGCTGTAATTGGCTTCATCGGAAGAAGGGAACTTGTTTCTCCAGTGGCGCACGAAGCCACGTCAAAGTTTACTCTTGACTGCAAACACCGGAAATCTCTTTCTGATCAGGCTGTTTACGGAATTGACACCGGTTTACACAGCGGTGTAAATGGGTGCACCGCAGTCGGGCGACCAGCCAGCGACGGCTCGTGGAATCGCAGCTAGGGTCGGAGGTCGGTGCCGTGTGTCGATAAACAGGGGCGACGTCGGGCTGCTCCTGGCACGCGTTTGCATGTGTGCGTGTACCCAGCCTGCCACAAGCGCCGTCGTGACGCCACCGCCACTTAAGTGGTGAATGGTGGTTGTTGTTGGGAGGCACACACCGGGCAGGGCCTGCAGCTGGAGGTTGCACTTTGCAGCGATCTTCATGAGCAGGTTCTCCTCCTCGCCCTGGCTGCAGTACGTCACCACCAGCCCATATGTGCCTGCATCACACACACAGCTCACTCAAACCCCTCTCCCAACGGTCCCACACGTGCCTACATCATACACACAGATCACACGATCCCCTCTCGCAACGATCCCACAGGTGCCTGCATCGCACACCGTCACCACGGCACTTGTGCCAGGCTATGTGCCATAGGTCGACTAACTGAGATGACTGGCTGACGCACCACCGATGCCTCCCACTGTGCCAACATGCTGTGTTTTAGCCGCCCGGCGCTCTGCTCATTGTTGTGAGAGTCGCTCCTCTGCCCTCCGTTGTTGCTGGAGGGTGACTGCTTCCAACTGCCCAGTAGCGTCCTTCACGAGCCTCCACTGAGGCCGATGTTGACACTACAGGTACCAGTCATTAACAAGTCCACTCAGCTCCACATCCTCTTGTACCTCATCACTCAATCTCTTCTCTAGCCTGTGCTGTACCCATTGAGCCCTCTCTCTCCGGCCGAACAAAAACTGTTTAGGCATGCGGTGGCTGGGCATGCGGGCTACATGACCCAGCCTTGCCTGCCGGAAGAACTCACCGATGCGACTTTGTCCAGATCTTTCAAGGATTTGTGAGCACCTCACACGATCCAGCCCTGTTAAACCCAGGATGGATCATAGACAGGCCAGCCTAAATGTTTCTAATCGGCGAATATGTTCCATTAGGGTGGGTCCACTTTCGCAAGCGTAGACAAGGGACGGTATGCCTATGGCCGAGAAGACTCGAAGCTTCGTGTGGAGCGACCGACCAGGTAGCTTCCACACAGCATTACGCAACCGATGAAAAGATAATGCTGCTCGACTGATTCAGAGTGAGACCTCTGCTGTCAAACCGGAGCCGGTCATGAGCACACTGACCAGGTATGGGAAACTCTCCATCCTCTCCACAATTGCCCCATCACCAATTGGGAGTTGTGGGGGTGGAGTGTCTGATGGCACAAAATACCCAGGCAGGTGTTTGGTTTTGGTGGTCTTGATGGGAAGGCCCCACCTCGTAGTGGCATGCTCCAGGTTCAGCAGCAGCGCCTCCAACTCCTCCTCTGATTGAGCAGCAATTATCAGATCATTGGCATACATTACATGGTTGACCAATAGGGAGTCATCCCTTGACCGCACCCGGGCATCGATCAGCCTCCCACTGTATCTGTACCAGATGGAAATTCCTCCGGTACAGCAATCGAAGGCTTCACGAACTACGTGGTGGGAATAGATGTTAAATAATATGGGAGCACTCCAAGGTGAACAGGGAATAGCTCTGATTCCCGGCCACGTAGTTTTACCCGCTCATTATCATAAAGGTTCTTAATGATTGTGAGCTGAGAGTCAGGGACTCCAAAAGCACGAAGAATAACCCAGCGCCCAGGCCTACTGATGGTATGATAGTCTTGACCAGGTCAATAAAGCAGATATATAGGTCTTGTTGGAATTCCCTACACCTCTGCTGTAGCAGACGGACAGAAACTTTGCCATCTGTGCAGGACCGCCCTTTCCTGAAACCATATTGGCGCTCTGCAAGCCTCTCCTCAGCGTGCCTGGAAAGGCGATGTTGAATAATCCTTGCCAGGACCTTTCCTGGCACACTGAGGAGTGAGATGCCCCTGTAATTGTTACAGTCTGTGCAGTCCCCCTTCTTAAAGAGGGGGACCACCAGGGCATCCTTCCAATCCTGCGGAACCTGTCCAGTGGTCCAGACTGTTATTATGATGTCATGTAGGGCAGTCTGTGCACAAATGCCACCCCTCCATCAGCATTTCGCTTGGGAGATCATTTCTGCCCAGTGCCTTTCCTCGTCTCAGACTCTGGATCGCCTTCATTACTTCCTCAACAGATGGCACCTCAGCCAGCCGCTCACAGGGCTGGACAACTTGTAATATTTGAGCACCATAGCCTCAGCAGGGTCATCCCCCCACTTTGCCCCATGATGTTTTCCAAGCTGACGGATATCCCCTCCCTCAAGACCTCACCGAAATGCTCAGCAAATCTGCAAACCTGTTCCTGGGGGTCGGAGATTGGATCATCGATGGTGATAGGTGTGGCGCTGCAAGTTACTTTTTTAATGGAATTAAACAGTGATTTGTGATTTCAGCCCACGTAGGCAGATTCCATCTCCTCAGCAACCCGCGACCACCATCCATCCTTGCAGCACCTCACGGCTCTCCGAACCTCCGAGTGAAGGCTGCGGTAAGCCTGTCAGACAGGGTCTCTGGGGAGATCTGAACCATGTACCCAACCCATCTATTGCAGCTGCATGAGCAGCAGTCCTAAACCTCGCCCATTTGCCCTCGGCATCAGGAGGAGTGGGGGACGATGCCAACCCCAGCTGCAAGCGATGATGAAATTCTTGCTTGCAACTTTCATGAGCTAGCTGAGACCAGCACACTATGGGTTTGAATGGGGTCCTGGGTGTACACCCACCACCGGAGTAGAAGAATGGCAGGTGCATCTTACAGATGACAAATCAATGGTTAGTGGACAGATCAGCTCCACAGTAGGTCCTGGTGTCAAGGACATGGGCCCGCATCCGCTGTTCCATCACTATTTAGTCCAGCAGATGTTCTTACTTGGATCCGGTGTGAAACCATGATGTTGTGTGGATGCGCCGATGCCGGAACAGCGTGTTGGTAACTACAAGCCCATGGGCTGCACAATAGTTTAGCAGCCTCCTACCGTTGTTATTGAGCTGATCTGGCCCATGCCTTCCAATAACTCCAGACCAGGTGCCAGCATCATGACCAACTCAGGCATTAAAGTCACCCAACAGGATGACTATCCCGATGGGCCACTTTAGCTAACACCTGTGACAGGAGGTCATAGAAGGCATCTGACTCATCGGCCTTGCCTGCATCGCTCCACTGATGATCATCTTCGGTGGGGGGCATAAGCAAACACGACAACCACTCCTCACCTCTGGTTGATGGGAAGGCAAGCCCAAAGTAGCCTGGGGCTTACAGCTTCCCACACCTCACCGCGACGCTCCCACATCCCCTTCATTTTTTTGTTCAGAAGAAGAGCCACTCCCTGTTGGTTGTCTCCTGCCCCGAGTAGAGGACTGTCCAACCCCCGCATGGTGTAAGGAGCCAGAGCCGGTCCTCTGGACCTCCTGAATACTGCAGAGATCTGGGCAGTATGGGTCCAGCTCCCAACAGAGTAGTGGCAGCTTCTCCTCCGCAGTGAGCATTTGAACATTCCATGTGGCCACCCGCAGTGGCTTTTCGCTGTTTCTGGAGGAACCCCGAGAGTAAAAATTCAATCTCTTGGCTCCACCAAATGGGGTTTGGCCAGGAGACGCCATAGACGCCTGTCCACCCGGGGCCTCTGGCACAAGCTTAGTTGGATATTTTTTTCGTAATTTAGTGGTAATTAATTGAAGGTGGAGGGGTTACCAGCCTCTCGCACCCGTCACACACACAGCTTACTCGAGCCCCTCTCCCAACTATCCCACAGATGCCTGTATCACACACACCACACTATGAGACCAGTTGAAGGGGTAAAAACCTATTACTATATTTTGCCACTGGTAAAGGAGGTCTCATAGTGTAAATGCTTACCCGAGCTCTCAATACTCTGATAGTGCGCTGTTTTTGAGTTGTACGCCTTTTGGCGTCATCTGGTCCAACACCAATGGAGACTAGGCTCTAAGAAAAGCTGTCTCGGGTGTGGACCAATCAACTTCAAGGACAGTGCATATCATTATCATTATCAGAGTTGTTTCTTTTTGTTTGCTTTTTGACTACTTGTGTTGTGGCTATTGCAAACATGATGCCTTGTATAAAGGTGTCAGTTTTTTGTACCAGTTGAAAGGGTAAAAACCTATTACTACACACACCACAGTTCACTCGAATACCTCTACCAACATCACACTCGTATGGTGTAGATGGAATGTCCACCCCCCTCTTGTTCTTAGCCCAGCGCCTGGGCCCTCCAGGGGTCCCATGGGTCCCGGAGCAGTTGCACCGCCTGCGCACCCGACAGCGACGCCTCCCCCCTGGTGAGCGCCTAACTCACCAAAGCGTCCGGCGCGCCCCACGCGGTGCATGTAGGTCTCCCAGTCATCGGGCACGTCCAAGTTGATGACGAGGTTCACCTTCTCGGCGTCGATGCCGCGCGCCATCTGCAAAGATGACGGAACAGCTGTGGCAGGTGTGGCAGCGTCCCCTGTCCGCCGCGCAGCATTACGGCTGTCGGGGAAACGCTCCCCGGTTCCCGGTCGTCAACCAAAAAGCCGAAGATTCTCAACAAGACTCTCAGCCAACCTGGCCGTCCTGACGATCGGTTCCTGCGTAGGAAGCGAGATGGACTGAGGGCAACGCAGAGTCATGTAGGGATGGCGATGAACGATGATGGTTATTTAGTAATGTTAGGTTGAGTCCACGCAGATGCCACAGCATTTGAATGTATTGACACGTTCACACCAGCAATATCTCTGTGGGTTTAATACGCCTCTACTGGACATCTGTGAAAAAAAGCTTCATTGCTCATCGGTTTCCTCCCGTCTAGATGAAGATTCTGATTGTTTTTGGTGGCATTGTTCAATTGAATTACTGCTGTGGACTCTACCAAGTCCTGCGGTGTCATCACAACACTGAAACTTAATTCTACACAGTGCCACAAGGCCTCACTGCGCTTTGCATAAAATAACCCAACCCACAACAAACCTTTCACAGATAAAACTGAAGAGTGCACAGCATCAGCACTCACGACAACACCAGCAGTAGCAGCAGTCCGGTTCATGAATCCTCATTTGGCATTAGAATCGCCTGATATGCTTCAGGCTTCTTCAGGCTGAGTGAGACTTGGTTGTTTGAACTTGTCTGAATGAATTCCAAGTGCATTTCCCAGCACAATTAGCACGGTTGGCTACATACGGTTTGAGAGAAGTTCAAAATACATACATATAATCTGGCCGAGGTACGGAGGGGGTAAAAGCAAAGATTTTCAGAGCTGCGCGGCAGTGGCAATGGCCCCAATGAGTGCTGTATTGCGACGACATCTCACACATATGCACGCATGCGTTCAAAAGCCAGTTGAGCAATGGACGCCCTGCATTGTGCTGTGTACACCTGGGCACAATGATAATGCGCTTCTAGGTGAAACAGCACAACCGCTAAACACCGGTCGCTCTCCTCCTGTCCCTGCTCCGCGTGTGTGGAACTTCCTGCCTGCGGATGAACCCAGCAAGCGAGCGGTCCGCTGCGGTCTTCGAGAGGCACGCACCTGGGCAGCAGGCACTCGAGTAACAGCTGGGCTTTGGCCCGCGCCTCTGAATCGTGTTGGCGACTCGCTGTGTGAATTATGCACGTGCTATGAATCTGGCTCATTATATTCACCAACCTGTTTCCATTCTCCCCTAGCTCATCCTGCTACTGCTCCTCCCTGCCCCCCTCCCCCCAGCTCCGAGCAGGCCTAACACTATGACTACCCCATTCACTACCCCTATCACTACTCCAACCCCTATCACTACCCCAGCCCCACTCACTACCCCTCCTTAAGCTATCCCACCTGTTCTCCTGTAACCATAACTATACCGCCACGTATAATCCCCACTATTTATTTCAACCGCTATCATCTTATGTACAATTTTCAAATTTTCGTAAGGCGCTGTATAAATGTAAATAAGCTAAGCCTGTCGTCGATGTTGCCGTCGTTACCAGGTCAGTGGAGATGAGGACGCGGCACTGGAAGTGCTTCAGCTTGGACATGGCGTCAAGGCGTTGGCTTTGGGTCATGCCCCCTGCAGCAAGGAGACAGACGGAATCGCGGGCTTCATCGCCACCGCATCGAGTGACAGGCGATCGCACACAGCGGGAATTATCAGCCACTTTTTTTTTGTCTTGAAACCCTCCACCGCCCGACGTAGCCGAAGGAATAAAATGTCAGGTTTCGGCACGTTAAACGACGCGCCAATGATGATCGTTTCAGCTCACTCACCGGTGAGTTGAACAACGGATCCTCACACCCCGATTCACCAATGACTAACCCATGCCAAATGCGACGGTTATTCTGACTGCCTGGTTTTAATGACCTGATGACGCTTGATGCAGTTTCAAATTAAACGATGTGTATCTAGTTGCCACGCTTGGCTGTGAGAACCGTTCTTCAACTCGCTGGTGAGCGCGCTGAAACGATCGTAATTAGCGCATCGTTAAACGCTTGAACACCGCGTGACAATTACATTTGTTTGGCTGTGTTAGGTGGTGGAGTGTTTCCTGACAACAAAAATTGGCCAGATCTTAGTCTGGCCAAACCCGAAATCTATTATGAATGATAAACTTGGCTGAGAAAATCCACTCCACGTGAAGAAATGACTGTAATCACTCTACTGTTATCCGTACTGTAGGCCGACAAGTAATTGTGTACATTAGCTGTGCTTAAAAAAAAAACGAAACTATTTTTATATAACAGTTAAGGCCCACTTGAGCTACATAGCTCTTCAGAAGCAACCTGGCCACAAATGAAAGTTCAACGAAGTGGCTTAACATGTGGAAATGTATTGCAGCCAAATACTCTACAACGCATGTTGATTTTAAATGTGGAGGAAAAAACGGGAGGACTCGCAGAAAAATCCAAGCGACCATGGGGAGAACATGCAAACTCCAAATAAAAAGGCGTCAGGGTCGCGATCGAACCCACGATCTCCTGCATACCAGGTGAGGTAGTTAACATCTCACCACAACGTTGTCAAATTGCAGCTACCTCGAGGCGAGGTGTACGGCGGCTGATGCACCCTCACAAGACAAAGATGCACTTTATAGCCTGAACAGAATGTTGGGGCAGGTACTGTTAGCGACCACCTATGAAGGTGGCCAACACCATGCCTGGCCGACTTTGTCTCCCTAGTGGTAATGTTTACACACCACACCAGGTACTTATTTGAGGCCAAGTCGACCTAGGGGAGGCCCATGACCGGTTCAAACATTCGTCACTTGTGTTGGGCGTGAGCAGAAATCGAACTTGGGTCTACCGCTACACTACCGCTTCCCACAATAACCCACACTGGCACCAACAGCAACACCTCCTAGAGCGTGCGTGTGCTGCGTGTGCTGCGTGTGCCTACCAGAGATGCATGCAGCTGGGAAGCCACGTGCCGAGAGAGAGTCCGCCAGGTGCTGTGCCCTGGACACAACACACGCACCACACAAAAAAAGACAAAAATCCCCTGTATAGCCTTAACAGACTGTAGGGGCAAGTGCTGTTAGCGAGCACCTATGAAGGCCGGAACGGTACACGAGGGGGTGGGTCAGCACCACGCCATGTTTACACACCGCACCAGGTACTCATTTGAGGCCGAATCAACCTAGGTAAGGCCCAGGACCGGTTCAGATAACCGTTACTGGTGTTGGCCGTGAACCCGGTTCTCCGGGTTCATAGCACAGCGAACTAACCACTACACTACCGCTCCACACACCATGTGCACACACATACACACACATCAAGTTCAAGTTCATTTATTAGGTATAGCCCTGTGAGCCATTCGGCTCTTGAATCGGGTGCAACCGCAACAAACAGAAAACAAAAACATGAACAAGAAAACATCTTAAAATGACTATGTGCAAATAGAAAATCCAAGAAAAGACAGCAAAATATTGCAGAAAAAGCACCGTACACCAACACTGTGTGCAAAAATCCCAGTGGGATGCAAGTCAAACAACAACCACAAGACAACTTAGATTAAGGCCATCAGTCTAACTCTGTACTACAACAAACAAACATGGCCAAACAAACAAACATGGCCAAACAAACAAACATGAACATACACGCACACACCAAGAACACACCGGCTCAAGGTGAAGATGAGTCACGTTACCATGGTGTGTCTGTGGGGTATATGGTACGTGTCGTGTGTGTGTGGTGTGTGTCCTGTGTGATACGTGTGTCTGTGCTGTGTGTGCGTGTGGATGTATGTGGCATGTGTGTGGTATGTGTATGTAGTGCATGTAGTGTATGTGTATGTGGTGTGTATGTGGTGTGTATGTGGTGTGTGTATATGTGGTGTGTGTGTATATGGTGTGTGTACTGTGCAGTGTGTGTACTTTGTGGTGTGTGTGTGTAGCGTGTGGTGTATGTGTGTATGTGGTACGTGCGTGTGTGCGCGCTACCTGCTGTGCATATTGGAGAAAACCAGCGCCTGGTTGAAGGGAATCCGTGACAAGAGCTGCAGCAGCTCCTGGGTCTTGTCGCGCAGGATGTGGTGTGAGATGGCATGGCATGGCACGACCTTGTAGAACTGCTTCAACCCTGTGTTGTGACAGGGGTACAGGACACCGATCGTGTTCATGTGCTACCTGGTGCACACCACAAGCTACCATGCGCTGTCGTAAAAATCGTTAAAATTTTGGCGCCACAGTGGCGAGATGTTAACTATTTCGCCTGGTATGCAGGAGGCCCTGGGTTCGATTCCGACCCTGACGCCTGCTTAATATTTGGAGTTTGCATGTTCTCCCCATGGTCCCCTGGATTTTTGTCCGAGTTATCCGGTTTTTCCCTCCAGAAACATGCGTTTAGAGTATTTGGCTGCTATAAATGTCCACATAAGCCACTTCGTTGAACTATCATTTGTGGCTGGTAAAGTATATATTTTTAAAAGTAGTTTTAGTTTCAGGAACATAATAAATGGTGCCCCCTTTCCATAAACATTCGTCTCTCCATTTAAACAAATTTAAGATTTTTTACACAACCCATCGGCACGGCCTTCTGCGAGTCCATCTCATCATCTGCATTGCTTCAATGTGTAATAAAGGTCGTGGAAGCGACTTCTGGAATCCGGTCTTTATTTGTCTTTCGTTCACAACACTCCTATCTTACTCCTTCACACTGCTGACAGACAGCGTGAGAGGGAGAGAGAGACACGCGCGGCCACGTGGCAGCCTGGACCCCGCTCCAGCGTGGCCTCACCCTCCGTTCGTTCCAGATCTGACCACGTGTTGTCCGTCTCCACCCCTTTTAATACCCGGGTCACGTGGTACCTTTCCACCAATCCTGGTAAACCTCTATGGAATCTTCTAGACTCCATCGTATGTTCCCAGGACCGCGCCCCTGACTCGTCCCCCCATTGGCTGTGGCTAAAGCCAGCAGATCCAATCCTCTACTTACAGATGTCACCTTCCCATTACGTCAGGGCCACGCCCTAGACTTCCCCCCATTGGCTATGGGCCAGGACTGGTAGAGCCAATCATCGTAACGAGGTGTGATCCATCAACAGCCCGGATATATCCTCACATTACATCTGCAAGAAAACTTGAGTCGAAACCGGTCCAGAGTATTGCTTGTGTTTAAACCAATGCTGCTGAGTGAGTTTGGAGAGGCACAGTATCTGTGAGTGAGGCTCTCTGAGCGAGTGAGGCTCTCTTGAGAGAGTGAGGGTCTCCGAGTGAGGCTCTTGGAGTGAGCACGGCTCTCTGTGAGCACGCCACACCAGGCATGGGAGGGACAGTACATTTTAAATGTACGTTGTCATTGTATTGTTTGTTGCGGTTGCACCCGAATCAAGAGCCGAATAGCTCACAGGGTTATTCCAAATAAATGAAATAAATAAATGAAATAAATAAATGAAACTGAAAAGGCTGCTCCTGTGAGTGAATGAGTGAGCGGGAGGATCTGCTCACCGAGCAGGGCCATGTCGCTGGGGTTGAGGCGCACATAGGTCGGCTCGCGCATGTAGTGGGTGAGGTGTGACGCCAGCGACTCGGGGTAGGTGGCTGACAGCGCCAGCACCTGCTTGTTCGCCGGCAGGCTCGAGTAGATCCAGCTAAGGGGGGGAGGGGGTGGGGCGCAGACACCGGTCACTTCACCAGGCGGGCAATCGGGATTCGCCCAAAACGTTCGTTACCCTGATTCTTATCTCACAATTGACGAGGAAATTCAACATTTTACGCAATTATATGAGTAAGGATCCTCACGGTGCGACGATCCTCACGGTGCAACGATATTGTGCAAGGCGGACGACATGAATACCATGGTTCTTATATCGTACAGTACAGGTAGTCCCCGACTTACGATGGTCTGACTTACGATATTTCGATCTTACGATGGCGATAGCGATATGACAAAATTGTAAAATATTTTACATTTTGCGCGGCAGGCAAACGCAGCAGCATACGAGGTACGACATTGTACGTTGGGACGCTGCCAGGATGTACTGTACGCATCTCCCGCCTTGTGTGATGCCTCACTCTCACCAGCGGTCGACGGAGTTAAGTTGTCATGGTGTTAGAGCGTGTATTTTGTTCTGTGTTTTTTGTGTTTTAAAGCCCAATTTTTGTGAGAAAGCATGTCTTCCAAGTGCTTTATCATCGCCATCCTCCTCTTCCGACAACTAAGTCAATGTGGCCATCAACAACCTAACATCGTTCAAGTATGCAGACGACGGACAAAATCTTGGTGAGTACAGTACAATATGATACGTTACGATACGTTCAATGCATGTATGATACGTAGCTTAAGCGATTTCATTTTAGGGTTACCACGATACGATACATACGTTCAATGCATGTTAAAAGTTTTTATAGCAAATAGGCTAAGAATTTACCTTGTAGTTTACTTTAAGTTTTACTGTGCTATACAGTATTGTAATTAATAAATATGTAGTAAGTTCGAGGAGACGATGTCGAAGTTGAGGCACACTCTGTTTATTAACTCCGGGACAGGTACAATAGTTGAAGGGGTATCGGCCCCTTCACCTGTACTATGGGAAACCCACCCTAGTACTAAGCCCTCTGTCCTGTCCCCCAGTCCTCCTCTACTGGGCTACGGGAGGCTGACTGATCTGGCCCTGGCAAGCACAGATCTCGGCACCAGCTAACCAGCCTTGCCCTGATAAGGGCAGCGGTCTGGAAGCTCTTGGGCCGCGCCACTGGCTTACCCGGCTCGGCCCTTATAAGGACGGCGAGACCGGGGAGTCCCAGGGCCTAATCTCCGAGTCTTGGATCTTCACTGGTCAGCTTCGTGTCGAACTGCCTCGAGCTCTTTGGGTCTCCACCTTTTATAGGGATCGCCTCCGAGGGCTGGGGGCGTGGGCAATAACTGATGCGGACGTCGGTGTGACCACCCGTGTATGTGAGTGCCGACAGCCCTGTGTTTGTTGTCCGCCGTTTCTCCCGTAATAACCCCTACAAATACATACAGTATATAGTTTATACAGTACGGTACTGTAAATTGCTCTGTTTTGCTAAATTATCACCATTCTTTAATACTCCTGGGTAGGCTAGGCCATTTTCGACTTACGATGAAGTCGTCGTAACGCATCTCCATCGTAAGTCGAGGACGACCTGTATATTGTAGTAGTAGAAGTAGTATTGTGATTCCGCTCGGTTACTCAGGAAAGCCTCACTGAGCCTCAAGACTCTTTTTCAGGAGGGTCCTGCCAAGTCTTCCAAGTCGGGGGGGCGACGATCGCCGTTTATCAATTAAGTCATGTGGTGAGTTGTCAAATTTGAACCGTGACACCGGCACACGATGACCGACTCACAGGACCTCTCGACCGTGTCCCCCTCCAGCCCGCGAGGCAAGCAGATGGCGCCTCGCGGTTCACGGCAAACTCGCCCAACAACATTCACTAGGGCGGCCCGCCAGACTCGAACAGCGAACCCCCCAGCAACTCGCAGAACGGCGAACCCCCCGTGCTCACTTGATCTGCTCTTGGAAGCTGCCCTGCTCCAGCAGCTTGTCGGCCTCGTCCAGCACGAAGAGACGCACCGCACCCACAGAGAGGTGGCCCAGCTCAATCAACTGTTTGACTCGGCCTGCACGCCGCATGCATATGCCCCAAAACTACTACAGGACTGCGCGCACACCTGCCCGCGCTCACAACTGCAAAAGAACACGCGTCATCACTAAACATCAGCAGTTTAACACGTAGGAGGCTTTCCGACCGATATTATCCATAAGTTTTTTTTTGGGTTAGATCGCGTAACTATAAACGTGTCGTTAAACCCACCACCACCCAACACAGCCAATTAGTAAGGTTTGTCACGTAATCAAAGCATGCCAATTAGTCACTACTTCAGCACACCGGTGTGGAGAGTAAACCCACAACATTTACAATTGAGTACCCGTGACGTTTCGCCGGCGATTACAACAACTACCAGCCTCGTCACCACGGCACTCACGTCACCACGCGCAAAGCACACACCGGGAGAGCCGATGGCGATGTGGCACTTGCGCAGGCGCTGCTGGTCGAGGGAGAGCGGCGTGCCGCCGATGAAGACGTGGCACTGCAGGCCCTCGACGTGCGCGCCGATGGCCAACATCACCGAGTGGATCTGCACCGCGATCTCGCGCGTCGGCGCCAGCACCAGCACCTGCGGCGTGCGAGCACGGCGGCGGCACCAGTGAGCGGGTGCGGCGTAAGGGTCGTGGGGTCGTGTGCCCATCGCTCACTCACTCACTGCTCACTCACTGCTCACTCACTGCTCACTCACTCATTGCTCACTCACTCATTGCTCACTCACTAGTCACGCACTCACCGGTCACTGCAGTGAACAAGAGCAACAACAGCACAACAACAACCACAACGATTCTGCAGTGAAACCACGAGTCGAAGCATTGCCCTCCCTGCCACCACCTGAACCAGTAGTGAAAATTTCACCACTCACTGCTGTCTCCTCACCACGTACTGCCTTTCTCACCCCCACTCACCACACACTCTCTCCTCACCACTCCCCACACAGCACAGACTGCCTTTCTCACCCCCACTCACCACACACTCTCTCCTCACTACTCCCCACGCAGCACGTACTGCCTTTCTCACCCCCACTCACCACACACTCTCTCCCCACTACTCCCCACGCAGCACGTACTGCCTTTCTCACCCCCACTCACCACACACTCTCTCCCCACTACTCCCCACACAGAACACACTGTCTTTCTCACCCCCACTCACCACACACACTCTCCTCACCACTCCCCACACAGCACGTACTGCCTTTCTCACTCCCACTCACCACACACTCTCTCCCCACTACTCCCCACACAGCACACACTGTCTTTCTCACCCCCACTCACCACACACACTCTCCTCACCACTCCCCACACAGCACATACTGTCTTTCTCACCCCCACTCACCACACACTCTCTGCTCACCACTCCCCACACAGCACGTACTGCCTTTCTCACCCCCACTCACCACACACTCTCTGCTCACCACTCCCCACACAGCACGTACTGCCTTTCTCACCCCCACTAACCACACACTCTCTGCTCACCACTCCCCACACAGCACGTACTGCCTTTCTCACCCCCACTCACCACACACTCTCTGCTCACCACTCCCCACACAGCACGTACTGCCTTTCTCACCCCCACTCACCACACACTCTCTGCTCACCACTCCCCACACAGCACGTACTGCCTTTCTCACCCCCACTCACCACACACTCTCTGCTCACCACTCCCCACACAGCACGTACTGCCTTTCTCACCCCCACTCACCACACTCTCTCCTCACTACTCCCCACACAGCACGTACTGCCTTTCTCACCCCCACTCACCACACACTCTCCTCACTACTCCCCACACAGCACATACTGCCTTTCTCACTCCCACTCACCACACACTCTCCCCACTACTCCCCACACAGCACATACTGTCTTTCTCACCCCCACTCACCACACACTCTCTGCTCACCACTCCCCACACAGCACATACCGTCTTTCTCACCCCCACTCACCACACACTCTCTGCTCACCACTCCCCACACAGCACATACCGTCTTTCTCACCCCCACTCACCACACACTCTCTCCTCACTACTCCCCACACAGCACGTACTGCCTTTCTCACCCCCACTCACCACACACTCTCTGCTCACCACTCCCCACACAGCACATACCGTCTTTCTCACCCCCACTCACCACACACTCTCTCCTCACCACTCCCCACACAGCACATACTGCCTTTCTTACCCCCACTCACCACACATTCTCTCCTCACTACTCCCCATACAGCACGTACTGCCTTTCTCACCCCCACTCACCACACACTCTCTGCTCACCACTCCCCACACAGCACATACTGTCTTTCTCACCCCCACTCACCACACACTATCTGCTCACCACTCCCCACACAGCACGTACTGCCTTTCTCACCCCCACTCACCACACACTCTCTCCTCACTACTCCCCACACAGCACATACTGTCTTTCTCACCCCCACTCACCACACACTCTCTGCTCACCACTCCCCACACAGCACATACCGTCTTTCTCACCCCCACTCACCACACACTCTCTCCTCACCACTCCCCACACAGCACATACTGCCTTTCTCACCCCCACTCACCACACACTCTCTCCTCACCACTCCCCACACAGCACATACTGCCTTTCTCACCCCCACTCACCACACACTCTCTCCTCACTACTCCCCACACAGCACATACTGCCTTTCTCACCCCCACTCACCACACACTCTCTCCTCACTACTCCCCACACAGCACATACTGTCTTTCTCACCCCCACTCACCACACACTCTCTCCTCACCACTCCCCACACAGCACATACTGTCTTTCTCACCCCCACTCACCACACACTCTCTGCTCACCACTCCCCACACAGCACATACTGCCTTTCTCACCCCCACTCACCACACACTCTCTCCTCACTACTCCCCACACAGCACATACTGTCTTTCTCACCCCCACTCACCACACACTCTCTCCTCACCACTCCCCACACAGCACGTACTGCCTTTCTCACCCCCACTCACCACACACTCTCTCCCCACCACTCCCCACACAGCACATACTGCCTTTCTCACCCCCACTCACCACACACTCTCTCCCCACCACTCCCCACACAGCACATACTGCCTTTCTCACCCCCACTCACCACACACTCTCTGCTCACCACTCCCCACACAGCACATACTGCCTTTCTCACCCCCACTCACCACACACTCTCTGCTCACCACTCCCCACACAGCACATACTGTCTTTCTCACCCCCACTCACCACACACTCTCTGCTCACCACTCCCCACACAGCACACACTGTCTTTCTCACCCCCACTCACCACACACTCTCTGCTCACCACTCCCCACACAGCACATACCGTCTTTCTCACCCCCACTCACCACACACTCTCTCCTCACCACTCCCCACACAGCACATACTGCCTTTCTCACCCCCACTCACCACACACTCTCTCCTCACCACTCCCCACACAGCACATACTGCCTTTCTCACCCCCACTCACCACACACTCTCTCCTCACTACTCCCCACACAGCACATACTGTCTTTCTCACCCCCACTCACCACACACTCTCTCCTCACTACTCCCCACACAGCACATACTGTCTTTCTCACCCCCACTCACCACACACTCTCTGCTCACCACTCCCCACACAGCACATACCGTCTTTCTCACCCCCACTCACCACACACTCTCTGCTCACCACTCCCCACACAGCACATACCGTCTTTCTCACCCCCACTCACCACACACTCTCTCCTCACTACTCCCCACACAGCACGTACTGCCTTTCTCACCCCCACTCACCACACACTCTTTGCTCACCACTCCCCACACAGCACATACCGTCTTTCTCACCCCCACTCACCACACACTCTCTCCTCACCACTCCCCACACAGCACATACTGCCTTTCTTACCCCCACTCACCACACATTCTCTCCTCACTACTCCCCATACAGCACGTACTGCCTTTCTCACCCCCACTCACCACACACTCTCTGCTCACCACTCCCCACACAGCACATACTGTCTTTCTCACCCCCACTCACCACACACTATCTGCTCACCACTCCCCACACAGCACGTACTGCCTTTCTCACCCCCACTCACCACACACTCTCTCCTCACTACTCCCCACACAGCACATACTGTCTTTCTCACCCCCACTCACCACACACTCTCTCCTCACTACTCCCCACACAGCACATACTGTCTTTCTCACCCCCACTCACCACACACTCTCTCCTCACCACTCCCCACACAGCACATACTGTCTTTCTCACCCCCACTCACCACACACTCTCTGCTCACCACTCCCCACACAGCACATACTGTCTTTCTCACCCCCACTCACCACACACTCTCTCCTCACCACTCCCCACACAGCACGTACTGCCTTTCTCACCCCCACTCACCACACACTCTCTCCCCACCACTCCCCACACAGCACATACTGCCTTTCTCACCCCCACTCACCACACACTCTCTGCTCACCACTCCCCACACAGCACATACTGCCTTTCTCACCCCCACTCACCACACACTCTCTGCTCACCACTCCCCACACAGCACATACTGTCTTTCTCACCCCCACTCACCACACACTCTCTGCTCACCACTCCCCACACAGCACATACCGTCTTTCTCACCCCCACTCACCACACACTCTCTCCTCACCACTCCCCACACAGCACATACTGTCTTTCTCACCCCCACTCACCACACACTCTCTGCTCACCACTCCCCACACAGCACATACTGTCTTTCTCACCCCCACTCACCACACACTCTCTCCTCACTACTCCCCACACAGCACATACTGTCTTTCTCACCCCCACTCACCACACACTCTCTGCTCACCACTCCCCACACAGCACGAACTGCCTTTCTCACCCCCACTCACCACACACTCTCTGCTCACCACTCCCCACACAGCACATACCGTCTTTCTCACCCCCACTCACCACACACTCTCTCCTCACTACTCCCCACACAGCACATACTGTCTTTCTCACCCCCACTCACCACACACTCTCTGCTCACCACTCCCCACACAGCACATACCGTCTTTCTCACCCCCACTCACCACACACTCTCTCCTCACCACTCCCCACACAGCACATACTGCCTTTCTTACCCCCACTCACCACACATTCTCTCCTCACTACTCCCCATACAGCACGTACTGCCTTTCTCACCCCCACTCACCACACACTCTCTGCTCACCACTCCCCACACAGCACATACTGTCTTTCTCACCCCCACTCACCACACACTATCTGCTCACCACTCCCCACACAGCACGTACTGCCTTTCTCACCCCCACTCAACACACACTCTCTCCTCACTACTCCCCACACAGCACATACTGTCTTTCTCACCCCCACTCACCACACACTCTCTCCTCACCACTCCCCACACAGCACATACTGTCTTTCTCACCCCCACTCACCACACACTCTCTGCTCACCACTCCCCACACAGCACATACTGTCTTTCTCACCCCCACTCACCACACACACTCTCTCCTCACTACTCCCCACACAGCACATACTGTCTTTCTCACCCCCACTCACCACACACTCTCTCCTCACCACTCCCCACACAGCACGTACTGCCTTTCTCACCCCCACTCACCACACACTCTCTCCCCACCACTCCCCACACAGCACATACTGCCTTTCTCACCCCCACTCACCACACACTCTCTCCCCACCACTCCCCACACAGCACATACTGCCTTTCTCACCCCCACTCACCACACACTCTCTGCTCACCACTCCCCACACAGTACATACTGCCTTTCTCACCCCCACTCACCACACACTCTCTGCTCACCACTCCCCACACAGCACATACTGTCTTTCTCACCCCCACTCACCACACACTCTCTCCTCAATACTCCCCACACAGCACATACTGTCTTTCTCACCCCCACTCACCACACACTCTCTGCTCACCACTCCCCACACAGCACGTACTGCCTTTCTCACCCCCACTCACCACACACTCTCTGCTCACCACTCCCCACACAGCACATACTGTCTTTCTCACCCCCACTCACCACACACTCTCTCCTCACTACTCCCCACACAGCACATACTGTCTTTCTCTCCCCCACTCACCACACACTCTCTGCTCACCACTCCCCACACAGCACATATCGTCTTTCTCACCCCCACTCACCACACACTCTCTCCTCACCACTCCCCACACAGCACATACTGCCTTTCATACCCCCACTCACCACACATTCTCTCCTCACTACTCCCCATACAGCACGTACTGCCTTTCTCACCCCCACTCACCACACACTCTCTGCTCACCACTCCCCACACAGCACATACTGTCTTTCTCACCCCCACTCACCACACACTCTCTGCTCACCACTCCCCACACAGCACATACTGTCTTTCTCACCCCCACTCACCACACACTCTCTCCTCACTACTCCCCACACAGCACATACTGTCTTTCTCACCCCCACTCACCACACACTCTCTCCTCACTACTCCCCACACAGCACATACTGTCTTTCTCACCCCCACTCACCACACACTCTCTGCTCACCACTCCCCACACAGCACGTACTGCCTTTCTCACCCCCACTCACCACACACTCTCTGCTCACCACTCCCCACACAGCACATACCGTCTTTCTCACCCCCACTCACCACACACTCTCTCCTCACTACTCCCCACACAGCACATACTGTCTTTCTCACCCCCACTCACCACACACTCTCTGCTCACCACTCCCCACACAGCACATACCGTCTTTCTCACCCCCACTCACCACACACTCTCTCCTCACCACTCCCCACACAGCACATACTGCCTTTCTTACCCCCACTCACCACACATTCTCTCCTCACTACTCCCCATACAGCACATACTGTCTTTCTCACCCCCACTCACCACACACTCTCTCCTCACTACTCCCCACACAGCACGTACTGCCTTTCTCACCCCCACTCACCACACACTCTCTGCTCACCACTCCCCACACAGCACATACTGTCTTTCTCACCCCCACTTACCACACACTATCTGCTCACCACTCCCCACACAGCACGTACTGCCTTTCTCACCCCCACTCACCACACACTCTCTCCTCACTACTCCCCACACAGCACATACTGTCTTTCTCACCCCCACTCACCACACACTCTCTCCTCACCACTCCCCACACAGCACATACTGTCTTTCTCACCCCCACTCACCACACACTCTCTGCTCACCACTCCCCACACAGCACATACTGTCTTTCTCACCCCCACTCACCACACACACTCTCTCCTCACTACTCCCCACACAGCACATACTGTCTTTCTCATCCCCACTCACCACACACTCTCTCCTCACCACTCCCCACACAGCACGTACTGTCTTTCTCACCCCCACTCACCACACACTCTCTCCCCACCACTCCCCACACAGCACATACTGCCTTTCTCACCCCCACTCACCACACACTCTCTGCTCACCACTCCCCACACAGTACATACTGCCTTTCTCACCCCCACTCACCACACACTCTCTGCTCACCACTCCCCACACAGCACATACTGTCTTTCTCACCCCCACTCACCACACACTCTCTCCTCAATACTCCCCACACAGCACATACTGTCTTTCTCACCCCCACTCACCACACACTCTCTGCTCACCACTCCCCACACAGCACGTACTGCCTTTCTCACCCCCACTCACCACACACTCTCTGCTCACCACTCCCCACACAGCACATACTGTCTTTCTCACCCCCACTCACCACACACTCTCTCCTCACTACTCCCCACCCAGCACATACTGTCTTTCTCTCCCCCACTCACCACACACTCTCTGCTCACCACTCCCCACACAGCACATACCGTCTTTCTCACCCCCACTCACCACACACTCTCTCCTCACCACTCCCCACACAGCACATACTGCCTTTCTTACCCCCACTCACCACACATTCTCTCCTCACTACTCCCCATACAGCACGTACTGCCTTTCTCACCCCCACTCGCCACACACTCTCTGCTCACCACTCCCCACACAGCACATACTGTCTTTCTCACCCCCACTCACCACACACTCTCTGCTCACCACTCCCCACACAGCACATACTGTCTTTCTCACCCCCACTCACCACACACTCTCTCCTCACTACTCCCCACACAGCACATACTGTCTTTCTCACCCCCACTCACCACACACTCTCTCCTCACCACTCCCCACACAGCACGTACTGCCTTTCTCACCCCCACTCACCACACACTCTCTCCCCACCACTCCCCACACAGCACATACTGCCTTTCTCACCCCCACTCACCACACACTCTCTGCTCACCACTCCCCACACAGCACATACTGCCTTTCTCACCCCCACTCACCACACACTCTCTGCTCACCACTCCCCACACAGCACATACTGTCTTTCTCACCCCCACTCACCACACACTCTCTGCTCACCACTCCCCACACAGCACACACTGTCTTTCTCACCCCCACTCACCACACACTCTCTGCTCACCACTCCCCACACAGCACATACTGTCTTTCTCACCCCCACTCACCACACACTCTCTGCTCACCACTCCCCACACAGCACATACTGCCTTTCTCACCCCCACTCACCACACACTCTCTCCTCACCACTCCCCACACAGCACGTACTGCCTTTCTCACCCCCACTCACCACACACTCTCTGCTCACCACTCCCCACACAGCACATACTGCCTTTCTCACCCCCACTCACCACACACTCTCTGCTCACCACTCCCCACACAGCACATACTGCCTTTCTCACCCCCACTCACCACACACTCTCTCCTCACCACTCCCCACACAGCACATACTGTCTTTCTCACCCCCACTCACCACACACTCTCTCCTCACCACTCCCCACACAGCACGTACTGTCTTTCTCACCCCCACTCACCACACACTCTCTCCTCACTACTCCCCACACAGCACATACTGTCTTTCTCACCCCCACTCACCACACACTCTCTGCTAACTACTCCCCACACAGCACATACTGTCTTTCTCACCCCCACTCACCACACACTCTCTGCTCACCACTCCCCACACAGCACATACTGTCTTTCTCACCCCCACTCACCACACACTCTCTGCTCACCACTCCCCACACAGCACACACTGTCTTTCTCACCCCCACTCACCACACACTCTCTGCTCACCACTCCCCACACAGCACATACTGTCTTTCTCACCCCCACTCACCACACACTCTCTGCTCACCACTCCCCACACAGCACATACTGCCTTTCTCACCCCCACTCACCACACACTCTCTCCTCACCACTCCCCACACAGCACGTACTGCCTTTCTCACCCCCACTCACCACACACTCTCTGCTCACCACTCCCCACACAGCACATACTGCCTTTCTCACCCCCACTCACCACACACTCTCTGCTCACCACTCCCCACACAGCACATACTGCCTTTCTCACCCCCACTCACCACACACTCTCTCCTCACCACTCCCCACACAGCACATACTGTCTTTCTCACCCCCACTCACCACACACTCTCTCCTCACCACTCCCCACACAGCACGTACTGTCTTTCTCACCCCCACTCACCACACACTCTCTCCTCACTACTCCCCACACAGCACATACTGTCTTTCTCACCCCCACTCACCACACACTCTCTGCTCACTACTCCCCACACAGCACATACTGTCTTTCTCACCCCCACTCACCACACACTCTCTGCTCACTACTCCCCACACAGCACATACCGTCTTACTCACCCCCACTCACCACACACTCTCTGCTCACCACTCCCCACACAGCACATACTGTCTTTCTCACCCCCACTCACCACACACTCTCTGCTCACCACTCCCCACACAGCACACACTGCCTCCCTCCTCACCGCTCAATGCCTCGCTCGGCACACTCCTCACGCTGCACTCGGCACACTCGGCACGTTGCCCTCGGTGTGCTGCCCTCGGTGTGCTGCCCTCGGTGTGCTGCCCTCACCTGCACGGCAAGGTTCTCGGAGACGAGCGCCTCCAGGGCCACGGTGGCGAACACGCATGTCTTCCCTGTGCCCGACTTGGCCTGCACGACCAGGTCTGCACCGCCACGCAAGGACACAGTCACCCGCACACGGGGACCACACGGGGAGACAGGACTGGGTGAATGTGACAGAAACATGACAAACGCAATCACACCGAAGGGATTTAGTTGGACGTTTGATATTCGTGTGACATTCTCAGCACTTTGCCACAGCATTACACCTTGATTAGGATGCCAAGTGCTGCCACCACGTGTGGCACCACCACTGGCTTCTCTATCTGCTGTCAATCAACACTCTCAGCACCATCACTCACGGTGTCCCCTGCTGTGCCCCCCACTGTGTGCCCCCCACCATGTACCCCCCACTATGTTGTTGTATGTGTTGTGATTATGAAATTTTGATGAAAATAATAAAAATTAATAATTTTCCGAAAAATGCGCAAATCTCGTCAATTATGATAGTGTGTGTATTAATACGCATAAATTATGATAATGCGTGTAATTATATGCATAAATTATGATAATCGTAGTAATTTATGCGGAGGCTTGCGATTATGTTAATGTGTGCAGTTATGATAATTTGCTTAGTTTCGTTTATCCAGAGTTATCAATCAGGATAACACGATTATCATAGATTCATTTACCGATTATCCTAGTGTGTGTTATAATATTTTAGGTCTCCATTTTCATATCTCATCACAGGATACAGTTGTCAAGAATAAGACAGTTTTGCATGGACTTGGAAGGAACACTCGATATGCTTCTTGATTACAATTTTATTCTAACAAGCACGTGACATTCTATCATGCAGGTTAAACATGCGTCAATAATTCATGGGCAAGATTATGCAATTAACTAATATGAATGACTAAAAATACTTCTTCATTGGCGAAATTATGCAGTTACGAAAATGAATGACTAAAACATTTCTTATTCATGCAACTCGACGGCAGCAACTGCTTTGCACGATCAGTTGATATTGAACGCACCACCTCGAAATGGCAACCCTTTTGAAACGCAAAGATCACTTTTTGAAAGTCTTATTCGTGTGCGTGCTGTGTGTGCGTTGTCCCCTCGTAATATTAATTGTGTCGTTAGCTTGTGTGGTGTGGGAGGATACGAACAGCTCCTGCTGCTCCCTCGCTCGGCGTGTCGCTCGGCTTTTGCTCTCTCTCTCTCTCTCTCCACTGCTGGATTGAGCGGCGTTGGCACGATGTTCCTTGAAGAAACTTGCTTGCTTGGCGCTTGATGGTTCCGGGGGCTTGGTGCTGCTCGTGCGCTCTCTCTTTCTACTGCTAGATGACGAGTTGGCACGATGCTGTCCTTGAAGATGCTCGGTCGCTCGTGTCGCTCGGTGTCGCTCGGTGGCGCAAGGTGTCCTCGTTGTCGCTCGTTCAGCGATCTCCGCCTTTCCTGCGGGTTGTTCGCTGGTCGTCACTCTGACGAGGAGCGATGCTTCGTTCGTGGCAGGGTGGACGTTGGCGTCTTTGTTGGCTTCACTCGCAGCTCTGCGACTCAGGGTAGCGATTCTTCTCAGGTGGTGCAGACCTCGGCTTGTAGCTACGCGTCGCTACTCCGCAAACCTCGTCATTCTGAATGACAGGAGCTTCTTCGTTGGCGGCGACGAGGAGAGATGGAGCCACAGCCCTGGAGATCTGTGATGGGGGCCAGAGCCCCTGTCGATCTCTGTGATGGGGGCCAGAGCCCCTGACGATCTCTGTGATGGGGGCCAGAGCCCCTGACGATCTGTGGTGGAGCCGAAGATGGGCTCGTAGCCCGGATGATATGTGTGTTGGAGCCGAAGCCCGGACGATATGTGATGGGGGCCAGAGCCCCTGACGAACTGTGATGGAGGCCAAAGCCCCTGTCGATCTGTGTTGTATGGATTTTCCTTCGGTTTATATCGGAAAATTCCACTCGGCTCCCCGAGTTGTTCAAAAGCTGTGTCATAAAACCTTCCTGTGGGGGTGGACCATCTGCGTCCGTTCGTGTGTTTCGCGTGCGTGTTTGTCCGTGTGTTTATTAGCTTTGAAGACACAGCTGTGTGTGTCGTTCTGGAAGAAAGGGGGTGGGGGCCTCGTGTCGGCTGCTTCAGAAGTTATCCATTAGCCAGACCGATGATTCGCGTTGAGTTAAAAAAAAACATTCGAATCCATGTTTTGTTACTGAATAACATTTGTCGCGAAAACCTACGCGTTAAGCGAGCTTAACTATTCACTCCCTTGCTCTGGGATCACATCCTTTGTCTCACACAGCTTAAGTTGGTTTGGTTTGGAAGTTGAAATGCGACTTATTTGCTGCTTGGTTATGCCGAAACCGTGTTCACGATGTTTCATCGTGACCCAACCTTTATGGGTGTCATTTCCTGGCTTGGTGCCTGTGTGTGGAGATCCTCTCGGAAAGACAAAGGCGGTCGTGTTGCTCGCTTCCCATGGGTGTTGTGTTTGGTTAATTTTGAGAGCCTTCTCCGCCCTTGATTCCTCTTCTATTTTAATTCCGTACTTATTATTCGACTTCTTGTGATTATTTGATCTGATATCCCGGCTAGGAATTTGTTTTGGAGCGAAATAGATGCCCTAATTATTCTTTGATGCTTCGGCCCGGCCGTGTAGATATTCTTTAAAGGTAAATAATGTCAGTACTTAATTAACAATGATGGGTCGCGATTCTGGTGCAGATTGTCTTTTGGTTTTCAATTGGAGTGAGGATGGATACTGTTTGCTTAATCTTTATGGTTGAGTTGGTAACTTGTGTATTTAACATGGTTCAAAGACCCATCTGTGCTTTTTGTCGTCGATGCTGTTTCTTTGTTAAGAATATAATTATCTCTTCCTCCGTGTCTCCTGGTTCTGCAACCCCCCGCCTGCAATTCCCCCCTCCCTTGTTCCTCTTGTGTGAAATTCGGGGAGTTTATGACCTTGATTACCCTCTTTCATGCCGTCTTTCCTTTGAAATGAGGTATGCGCGCATCTGTGGAAGTGTGGGGGCCTCTGTGGAAGTGTGGGGGCGTGTTCGTTCCCACGTGGCCCCGTGTCTATTAAAAAAACAATATTATATATGATGGCAGAATAAGCCTTAAAAAAAAATAATATTAAAAAAAAATAAAAAGGGGGTACATACACAACAGTCCGCCCGTTTGAAAATTATCAGGGGTCGATTTGGCCACTGGCGAATTTTCAAACAAAGTAATGCCCCCTTTTTATGTCATGAATCCCATCAGCCGCCCTTACTCTCGGCGGTTATTTCTTACGACGCGCGTGCACGTATTACCATCTTAACCTGGTTACATCCGAAATAAGCAAAGAAAATAAACAACACGTTAACATCGATATTGCGTTACATCGGTTCTCATACATCATAACTCCGGCGAATATTCATTTTTGTTTTTGTTAAATCCTGGTTACATTTGAATTAAGCAAAGAAAATAACAACCCGTTAACATCGATATTGCGTTACATCGGTTCTCATACATCATAACTCTGACGAACATTCATTTTTGTTTTGTTAAATCCTGGGAAACGCTAGGTAGCGGTTTCGAACGCATTTATGCGTTACCTTCCTCATGTTGCCTGGTTTACCACTTATCACTTTGATAATTTGATCACGGTTTTCGGGTTCGTTTTTGTAGTTTCCTCTCTCACTCTCTCGCGTCGTGGGAGTGTGTGGTGAAAAATTGTGCTGCACGTAACCAGAATTCGCGCACACGACCCATTTTGACACTTGGTTCGTGGCATTCGCTCTCTCTGCGATTACATGCACATTTGCCGAGTCAGTGTGTCGACTTAATTCTGTGCCTCGTAATGTTGCCCTCTTTGTTTTTACGAGTGTGTTAGATTCCAACACCATTCCTGATATGTCATGAACATTCGTCTCCATTTTAGCACTCCGATCCACATACATTTTGGTTTCCCTTGGATATTTTCCATTCAAAGGCTCACGCCTGCGCTCCTCAGGGCGTGTCTCTGTGTTCTCTCTTTGTCTCTGCTGTCTGCTATCCACCGTCCGATCACACTTCAATTCAGCCCTGTCACTTGCAGCCTGCTCAGGGTTTAACACCTCGGCGGGTGGGGCGCGTGTTGGCCGCTCGCTCGCCCTCACTGTGGATGGTTCATCACGTATTTGGACCGCATTCTGTGTTATTCCTCTATTCCCTCTTGGTATAGCCGGTGGAGGAATTGGTCGGAATTGGATCGAATGTGTTTGACCTCCCATCCTGCGATTCTCCTGAATGTTCGCATCCATACCTCCGCGGTCTGTGTAACACCTTCCCGCTAGGTGGTTATCTTGCCATCTCTGTGCGTAATTTGAACCTTGCGTGTGTCGTGGGATGGGGTGTTGATATGGTTCTGCTCTGAACCTCTCCCTCCTGCGATTCTCGTACATTTTTAGCCCAGTATTTCTCCCATTTGGGTGCCAAATTTTTCCTGGATTGTTACCTCGCCATCTTTGTGGGTAATTTTGATCTTGTGTGTGTCGTGGCATGGGGTGTTGGTATGGTTCTATTCTGAACCTCCCCCTCCTGCGATTCTCCTGAATGTTCGGCTTTGTGCCGCTCTCATTCTCGTGCCAACCTCTCTCTGGGTTATTTTGCCATGTGTGCGTGCGTTTCTGCTCCGTCCTGCATGGTGGGACTGCTCGGTGATTTTTATTCCTCTCTGAGAGGCTGGGTTCCTCATCCCTCTCCCTGTGTTCTGGATCCGAATTATGATTCTTAGCTCTGTATAACCATGCCATGTACGCCTTGCTCTCTATGCGGCGTAAGGATGCGGTTTCTGGATTCAAAACCATTCTCACCCTTTCTGTAATCTCTGGGCTCAAGGATTCAAAAAACATAATTTTGAACATTTTATCTCCTTCGTGGTATTGATTCACATCGCCTGCGTAATACGCTCTTTTAAATTGGACGAGGTAGTCACGTGGATCTTGGTCCATGCCCTGGGTCATCGATTTTACAGCATAAAACCCCTCAGTGAGTGTCGAATATTCTCCAAACTTCCGAATCACTGCCAGGCTCAGTTGTTTAAAATCATTTCTAACCTTGCGTGGCAGTGACTTTACCCATGGAATGGATTCTTTATGTAAGGTCCGTTTCAACAAACTCGCTTTTTCATCCCGTCTCCTCAGCCCTCTAATCATTGCCTCCTCTTCTACGGTTGCGATATGTGTGTGGATATCCATAGTCTTATTGTGGGGGTCAAAATCGGGAATTCTGACTAGAGCCTTGTCCATCAATTTAAGGGTTTTACTGGTGAATAGGTATTCCGAAAGTTGATCGCCGACAGCGTCATCATAAAACAAGTTATCATCAGGCAATCTGTCACTTTGGTCTGTGCCGTGTCGGGCGTGTTGCCATTTCCCTTCAGTTTTTGCCTCTGCCCTTAGTGGAGCATGTCCTGTCGACTTTATTTTAACATTTTTCCTCCCTCTCTCGAATTGTGAGGGTTTCCCTTTGTCAAGGATTTTTTGTTCGATATCCATAATTTTTGTGCGATCAATCCCTGGACTCTGTCCACGTACCCAAGAGTGTGATTTAATGTCACTTCCATATTTATTCTGTGGATCCACGTCTGTGAGTTTCGCTGGTGTCGCGAGCACTGATTTCTCTCCCGTTTCCTTTCCAAACTTTCCCTCATTCCACAATCCCTGTCTGTATGCCTGTGTGAGAAGGCATGAGTCCTGTCCTGCCTTCTCTGCAGTTTTTGCATCGTGTTCGCCTTCGTTACATTTTATCCAGTCAATTAGTTTCCCCCGAGGTGTGTTCGTGTTATCGATACAGCTCCCTTCCCATATGTCTCTCTGACTGTACTGCTTTGTAACAGATTGGTCGGTACGTTTAAATACGAGCTCCCCGTATCCCGTAACCCATTCAAAAATTATTCTTAATCCCAGCATCTCAAGGTGTGGCGGGAGTTACTTTGACATTCCCTTTCAGAGTGCATATAAAACAATTATCTCACAGAGTGTAGTCAATTCGACTCGAGCTATCTGTTATTTTCCGATTCAGAGTGCGTACCTCTAACACCATTTATCACAGGATGCAATTGGTTTGATACGATATTATCTTAATTCCACTGTCTCTGTTTTAACCTGCTATTCTGGGTTTTAACCTTAGAGGGCGTTTTTTGTTTTCCGCCCGTTCACAATTACCATGCAATGTTCGATCCTGATATTCTGGTTAACACGAAGTGATTCATTCCATCATCCATGCAAAACACTGTCTGTGAGAGATCCCGGACGACGCCACCCATTATGTTGTATGTGTTGTGATTATGAAATTTTGATGAAAATAATAAAAATTAATAATTTTCCGAAAAATGCGCAAATCTCGTCAATTATGATAGTGTGTGTATTAATACGCATAAATTATGATAATGCGTGTAATTATATGCATAAATTATGATAATCGTAGTAATTTATGCGGAGGCTTGCGATTATGTTAATGTGTGCAGTTATGATAATTTGCTTAGTTTCGTTTATCCAGAGTTATCAATCAGGATAACACGATTATCATAGATTCATTTACCGATTATCCTAGTGTGTGTTATAATATTTTAGGTCTCCATTTTCATATCTCATCACAGGATACAGTTGTCAAGAATAAGACAGTTTTGCATGGACTTGGAAGGAACACTCGATATGCTTCTTGATTACAATTTTATTCTAACAAGCACGTGACATTCTATCATGCAGGTTAAACATGCGTCAATAATTCATGGGCAAGATTATGCAATTAACTAATATGAATGACTAAAAATACTTCTTCATTGGCGAAATTATGCAGTTACGAAAATGAATGACTAAAACATTTCTTATTCATGCAACTCGACGGCAGCAACTGCTTTGCACGATCAGTTGATATTGAACGCACCACCTCGAAATGGCAACCCTTTTGAAACGCAAAGATCACTTTTTGAAAGTCTTATTCGTGTGCGTGCTGTGTGTGCGTTGTCCCCTCGTAATATTAATTGTGTCGTTAGCTTGTGTGGTGTGGGAGGATACGAACAGCTCCTGCTGCTCCCTCGCTCGGCGTGTCGCTCGGCTTTTGCTCTCTCTCTCTCTCTCTCCACTGCTGGATTGAGCGGCGTTGGCACGATGTTCCTTGAAGAAACTTGCTTGCTTGGCGCTTGATGGTTCCGGGGGCTTGGTGCTGCTCGTGCGCTCTCTCTTTCTACTGCTAGATGACGAGTTGGCACGATGCTGTCCTTGAAGATGCTCGGTCGCTCGTGTCGCTCGGTGTCGCTCGGTGGCGCAAGGTGTCCTCGTTGTCGCTCGTTCAGCGATCTCCGCCTTTCCTGCGGGTTGTTCGCTGGTCGTCACTCTGACGAGGAGCGATGCTTCGTTCGTGGCAGGGTGGACGTTGGCGTCTTTGTTGGCTTCACTCGCAGCTCTGCGACTCAGGGTAGCGATTCTTCTCAGGTGGTGCAGACCTCGGCTTGTAGCTACGCGTCGCTACTCCGCAAACCTCGTCATTCTGAATGACAGGAGCTTCTTCGTTGGCGGCGACGAGGAGAGATGGAGCCACAGCCCTGGAGATCTGTGATGGGGGCCAGAGCCCCTGTCGATCTCTGTGATGGGGGCCAGAGCCCCTGACGATCTCTGTGATGGGGGCCAGAGCCCCTGACGATCTGTGGTGGAGCCGAAGATGGGCTCGTAGCCCGGATGATATGTGTGTTGGAGCCGAAGCCCGGACGATATGTGATGGGGGCCAGAGCCCCTGACGAACTGTGATGGAGGCCAAAGCCCCTGTCGATCTGTGTTGTATGGATTTTCCTTCGGTTTATATCGGAAAATTCCACTCGGCTCCCCGAGTTGTTCAAAAGCTGTGTCATAAAACCTTCCTGTGGGGGTGGACCATCTGCGTCCGTTCGTGTGTTTCGCGTGCGTGTTTGTCCGTGTGTTTATTAGCTTTGAAGACACAGCTGTGTGTGTCGTTCTGGAAGAAAGGGGGTGGGGGCCTCGTGTCGGCTGCTTCAGAAGTTATCCATTAGCCAGACCGATGATTCGCGTTGAGTTAAAAAAAAACATTCGAATCCATGTTTTGTTACTGAATAACATTTGTCGCGAAAACCTACGCGTTAAGCGAGCTTAACTATTCACTCCCTTGCTCTGGGATCACATCCTTTGTCTCACACAGCTTAAGTTGGTTTGGTTTGGAAGTTGAAATGCGACTTATTTGCTGCTTGGTTATGCCGAAACCGTGTTCACGATGTTTCATCGTGACCCAACCTTTATGGGTGTCATTTCCTGGCTTGGTGCCTGTGTGTGGAGATCCTCTCGGAAAGACAAAGGCGGTCGTGTTGCTCGCTTCCCATGGGTGTTGTGTTTGGTTAATTTTGAGAGCCTTCTCCGCCCTTGATTCCTCTTCTATTTTAATTCCGTACTTATTATTCGACTTCTTGTGATTATTTGATCTGATATCCCGGCTAGGAATTTGTTTTGGAGCGAAATAGATGCCCTAATTATTCTTTGATGCTTCGGCCCGGCCGTGTAGATATTCTTTAAAGGTAAATAATGTCAGTACTTAATTAACAATGATGGGTCGCGATTCTGGTGCAGATTGTCTTTTGGTTTTCAATTGGAGTGAGGATGGATACTGTTTGCTTAATCTTTATGGTTGAGTTGGTAACTTGTGTATTTAACATGGTTCAAAGACCCATCTGTGCTTTTTGTCGTCGATGCTGTTTCTTTGTTAAGAATATAATTATCTCTTCCTCCGTGTCTCCTGGTTCTGCAACCCCCCGCCTGCAATTCCCCCCTCCCTTGTTCCTCTTGTGTGAAATTCGGGGAGTTTATGACCTTGATTACCCTCTTTCATGCCGTCTTTCCTTTGAAATGAGGTATGCGCGCATCTGTGGAAGTGTGGGGGCCTCTGTGGAAGTGTGGGGGCGTGTTCGTTCCCACGTGGCCCCGTGTCTATTAAAAAAACAATATTATATATGATGGCAGAATAAGCCTTAAAAAAAAAATAATATTAAAAAAAAATAGAAAGGGGGTACATACACAACAATGTGCCCCCCACTATGTACCCCGTGCGTGTCGTACCGAGCCCGCAGCGCGCCAGGGGGATGGCCTTGAGCTGGATGGGCGAGGGGGCCCTGAACCCCGCGGCGCTGAGCCCCGCGAGCACGCGGCCCGACAGCAGCAGCGCCGAGAAGCTCGCGGTGGGGGCCGCAGAAGAGGGGCCCCCCTCGCCCCCCTCGGGGTCCCCGGGGTCCCCGCGCACCCCCAGCGCGTCCCGCGTGCGGCGCCGTGACGAGGCGAGCGAGTGCGCCGTGCCCGGCCTCATGGCACGGCCCTCTCACGAGCACCGACTTCGCGTGCAGCCCCGCACACTCTCGTGTAGTCACTCACACTCTCGTGTAGTCACTCACAAGTACTCTCGCACACTCTCGTGTAGTCGCTCACACTCTCGTGTAGTCACTCACAAGTACTCTCGCACACTCTCGTGTAGTCGCTCACACTCTCGTGTAGTCACTCACAAGTACTCTCGCACACTCTCGTGTAGTCACTCACACTCTCGTGTAGTCACTCACAAGTACTCTCGCACACTCTCGTGTAGTCACTCACACTCTCGTGTAGTCACTCACAAGTACTCTCGCACACTCTCGTGTAGTCACTCACACTCTCGTGTAGTCACTCACAAGTACTCTCGCACACTCTCGTGTAGTCACTCACAAGTACTCTCGCACACTCTCGTGTAGTCACTCACACTCGTGTAGTCACTCACACTCGTTCACTCACGCACTCTCGTGTAGTCACTCACAAGTACTCTCACGCACTCTCTCACGAGCACTGTACCCACTCACACACTCGCACACTCACACACGAGCACTGTACCCTCTCACTCACTCTCACACACGAGCACTGTACCCTCTCACTCACTCTCACACACGAGCACTGTACCCACTCACACACTCGCACACTCGCACACCAGCACTGTACCCTCTCACTCACTCTCACACTCGCACACCAGCACTGTACCCTCTCACTCACTCGCACACTCACACACCAGCACTGTACCCTCTCACTCACTCACACACGAGCACTGTACCCACTCACACACTCGCACACTCGCACACCAGCACTGTACCCTCTCACTCACTCGCACACTCACACACGAGCACTGTACCCACTCGCACACTCACACACGAGCACTGTACCCACTCGCACACTCACACACGAGCACTGTACCCACTCGCACACTCACACACGAGCACTGTACCCACTCGCACACTCACACACGAGCACTGTACCCACTCGCACACTCACACACGAGCACTGTACCCACTCGCACACTCACACACGAGCACTGTACCCACTCACACACTCGCACACTCACACACCAGCACTGTACCCTCTCACTCACTCACACACGAGCACTGTACCCACTCGCACACTCACACACGAGCACTGTACCCACTCGCACACTCACACACGAGCACTGTACCCACTCGCACACTCACACACGAGCACTGTACCCACTCGCACACTCACACACGAGCACTGTACCCACTCGCACACTCACACACGAGCACTGTACCCACTCGCACACTCACACACGAGCACTGTACCCACTCGCACACTCACACACGAGCACTGTACCCACTCGCACACTCACACACGAGCACTGTACCCACTCGCACACTCACACACGAGCACTGTACCCACTCGCACACTCACACACGAGCACTGTACCCACTCGCACACTCACACTCGCGTTCTCTCTCTCTCTCTCTCCCCGCCCACGTGCGCGCCCCGCCCGCCGCTCTCGCCACGTGGCCGCGCTGAGTTCGCGCGCTGCCGATTCGCGACTCGAGGCACCGCGGCGAGCGCGGGGGAGGCGACGACGGCGGCGGTGACGGGGGTGGAGGTGGTGGTGGGGGTGGAGGTGGTGGTGGTGGATGCGCCTCGCCCCGCCTTTCACGGTTCCGTCTCTTGACGGGGGGTGGGGCAGCTTCAGCGCCTCCACCAGCCACCCTAGACGAGACTGGGCCCTGGAGAAGGCTGCTGCTGTCTGGTGGAGACCAATCAGTTTTAAAGTCAATGTCATGCACTATGAGAGTGTGTTCTTTAGTTTGCGCGTTCAACACGAGTACGGTGTGGTTAATGCAGACATGATTCCTTGCAAAAGGTTTCTGTTTGGCGTTTTAACATCATCACACACCCCGTTTTATTATAGCCAGAATAGGTGAAACCTATTCACCTAAGAATAGGTGAAACCTAAGAATAGGTGAAACCTATTCTATAAGAATAGATGAAACCTCTTCTTACACCCGAGTCTTGTTTTAAATTCCCCCTCTCCTGCCGCGCGGCGCAGAACCTCTCGCGAGTGATGAACTCGCGAGAGGTTCCCTGCCTGGGTCCACATGGGCACCGCTCAGAATATTTATTCTGGAGGAATCTGATGAGCTGTCAAGCTCTTCTCACTTGCCCACGGCTCAGCCGCACCGATCGGATGCTCGAGGGCCATTCTCGTTAAGGTGACACGAGGCGTTGCCACCTTTTCCAAAGCCCAAACCGGGACACGTTTTGAGTTGCGCGATGCCACGGTCACTTCAGCTCCTGCCCACGGGACAATTTCATCGCTCCCAGCTCCACGGTCGATGATGACCACTTAGGAGGCCATCGGCACACCACTCGTGGCCGTTCAAGAAATGTCCTGCCCAAGCCTCGCTTCTCTCTCAGCAGTGTGACCCCGATCTTGTACGGTATGGAGCGCCAGGTACACAGAATGTTGTGGGCTCCATCCCGACCCTGACACCTGCTGTATATTTGGAGTTTGCATGTGTATCTCCCCATTGTCGTGGGGATTTTTCACCGGGACCTCCAGGTTTTTCTCTCCACATTTATAAACATTCGTTTAGAGTATTTGACTGCTTTAAATGTCCATAAAAGCCACTTCATTGGGCTATCATTTGTAGCTATGCCGATTCTGACATAGCTTTATAGCTCAGTGGGCCTTACCTAGTAAAATAAAATGCTGCTGTTGCATTGCCCACGCTTCTCATACGTGTCACACAGCTTGTAACATGTCCATGAGGCACACTGGTACGTATGTAGTGTAGCAGCGCCGACTGGCGACCAGGAGTAGCAACTACGGGTGTACCCACCCAAGGGGAAGATCCTGAGCAAGGGTCATGGAAGGGATAATAACTGGGCCAAGGGTCATGGAAGGGATCCGTCTTTAAGTTCCCAGAACCAGCTATATAGTTCCAGAAGGGTGGACAGGACCGGGCCCCGCTGGAAGGATAAAAGGGGGCGAGAGAGGGAGCTCGGGGCTGTCCATGGGAGTCAGGGTCGTCTCGTCGTCACCGTCGTCGCTTCCGCCTTTGTCATCGCTCGACGTCGCCATTGACTAGATAGCCAGCTATAGCCAGCTATCTAGTCAGTGCTGTCGTTGCTAGGTGGTCAGTGTTGTGTTACGTGCTAGCGAGTGTAACTGCAAGTTGAGTAATAAAAGTGTCTCTAAGGTGCCTCTACAGTCTATTGTCTTCAAAGTCGTACATTACATGTGCAAAAACATTTTTCATTCCAGAATCCCTTCAGCATCTTCTCGCCTCGATTAATTTCTATTTGCCAGGGTTACGCGGCCCGCCGCTAGCGCGTTTACCGCTCGTGGCAGAGGCTCGCGTGTGAATACCAATGGCCGCCCTGGTTAATACTGCGGGTGCATTAGCTGTAGAAATACACGCTTTGTGCTTCACGGTGGTTATTAAACATCCCCCTGATGTCACACGAAAGGGCAGGACTCGCGTCAGGATCCAAATTTAAAAAAATGTACCTCAAATTACTCGATTGGGATTGTACATAGCAGAAATCATCACCCACCTCCCCCTACTGGCAGACCAATACCCCAGGTGGATCGGGTTCGTTTCACCTTGTGCACATCTCCCCAACCACTCATTACCTCATCCTTGTTTTGCCGTGTTTATTTGTAAATATTGTAATTGTTTCGTTATTTTCTCATGATTTCTGCCTGTACTTTTGACGAGTTCGGTTCTGCCGCTGCCTGTTCCTCTGCGCGCATCACTTTGATGTTTTTTTTTGTTCTGTGCCGATGGACTACGGCTCTCCCTGACAAACTAATGGGGGAACTGGCTAAACGCGACTTTCTATGTAACCAGAGTATTTGGCTGCTTTAGATTTCCACATGGCAAGCCACTTCGTTTAGCTATAATTTGTGGTCACGTCGTGTCTGAAAAGGAGCTATAAATCTCAGTGGGCCTTACCTGCTAAAATAAAAAATTGTTAAAAAAATAATAGTTACCAAATAAACATTGATTGGGGGTCACCCTTGCAAATGAAACTCACCCTGGCCTGTTTGAGTATTCACCTGGTTAAGCAAAATAATCTTGATCTTCATTGTCCCTAAATGTACACATTCTGATATGTTTTGACATGTGTCCCTTCCAATAATGACTTGGTAAAAAAAAAAAGACACGGCCATGAGTCTGCTTGAACTCGAGATGCTTCACTCCGGCATATATTCTGCACTGGCACACCGAGTGAGTAGAACTTTGTAAACCAGGGGGCAAATTCCTAGAGACATCAGAAAATCCCTTTGATAGTGGGATTTTTAAAAAAAATTGTATTTCAAACGGACGTCGTTCAATAATAATAGAATTTTAAGAGAATACCGCAGGTGTCAATGTTCTGATTCACGAAGCCCTATTGACAGTCACACACAAATACGATTCAACACAATACAATAGTCTTGCCTTTCATTCAACATTGCTATATATTCACTTTCACGCTTCATTTAACTTGCTTGTTGTCAGTATGACCCATCATACAAATCCACCTCCAGCACTTTTGTCATCCCGCTGCTGGATTGGGGGGCCTCCCCATACCGTGAGGGTCGTGAAGGTTATTGGACTGCACTTCACACTGGTTCAGTGCGGCTTAGGGAAGACAGGGAGCATAGATGTACTGCACACCAATGGATGGAAAAGAGCTATATAGCTCAGTGAGTGTTACCTGGTGAAATAAAAAGGGTTTAGTTTTAGTTCGTTAAGTGAACTGGGCAATGTGACTTTGGTGTATATATACTCTGTGGTGGTCATCTCAACGAAACGCATTCTAAAAACCGAGCACAAAAATTACCCAGCTGGGTACACACGGTGTGGGCACTACATCACTGGGATGTTACAAACTTAGTTTTAAAGGCACAGCATAACTCTCTCAATGCGATCCAGTCGTAAAGACACGTAATACGGTGTGTTTTTGCAATGCACGTTAACCGTAGGCGAGGTGTTAATTTCACATCCATAGTTTTGATCGCTGCAGCTCCACATCGCTCGCTGCATGCCTCGTCACGCGACGCATCTTCACAAGGAGCACTCTGCTTGGGTGAACATTTCATTGGCAATGTTTTATTAACGTCGGTGCGGCTATGAAAAAAAATCACAAACCCCTTCATACACAGCCCAAAAGGAATGGTGAACTTCATGTCCTTGCGTCGTGAGCACACCCTAACGCCGCTCGGCATGCCACAGAGGGCATGAACACTGCCGTTTGTAAACCAGTAAACAAAGCAAGGAAACCACTCGACTGAGTAAACCCAACCAACCCTTGCTACTTTGGCTCGCATTGTGCTGCATTGTTGTTTAGAGGTCTGCAGCTTTCTAAAAGATCCTGCTTTTATATGTAAAGGGTTAGTCCCACGATATTTGAAGGGGTTAGTCCCACGATATTTGAAGGAACGGATCCATTTTTAAATCCTTTATATTAAGTTCACTTGCTTGCTTGCACGCTTACGACCGTGCAAATCTTTAGGTCGTTTTTAACCCACTTCCCGTGATCCAATCGAGCTGACATTTTGCACACAGACTCGTTGTGCGTGACAACTAATTTTCGTGAAATTTATTTTCCAAATTTTTACACTTTTTAGGATTTTTTTTTATATTTAATTACCAATTGCTTAATGGTGGCAGGCAATCTTCTGACCCATAGGTGGCAGCCATCTCAAGCCAGAGGATGAGAGGACTCTAGCCGCCACGCATATAAAGGATTTATAGTGAAAAACTTTGTTTTTACGGGTTAATTTTTATACTCCCGACGATGCCTTTGAGATCTTCGTGTTGCCTTCTGAGCACTCCGAGGTCAAGACTCTGTTCCTGGGGTGATCGGGGGCTTTTTGCCAGTGCAGCTCCCATATAATGGAACGCTTTGCTGTTAAAGCTATTTAATTCTGTCTTGAAATCTCACCTCTTTGAATTGGCCTGGACCCTCGAGTTCTGGCCGTTTACCCTGGTTCTGTTGATTTCATGATTTCCATGCATGGTGCATTGGGATATATGGATGAAATGCTCCTTACACCTGTAATTTAATTTTCCGACAGACCTGTTCTTCGCCTGAGGAAGGCTGCTTGCGTTGTGGCCCAAACGTCGTGAGAATTATTTTATTATGTTTTATTATTATTTTATTATTTCCCTTCTACGTGACTTTACCGAAAGAACCAAGAAGCTGTAATTTATTATTACGATTTAGCTTTCCAATGAGACACGGGGATAATACTGGTAAAGGGAAACTGTTGTACAAAGTGAAAGTTTTTGTCGAAGATATGCGATTTTGTTCCAACCCATCAGTATCGTCATCGCGAGCCTTTCCTATTCCGCGCTGTTGGTAATAATAACCATCGCTGTTCGCTACTATGTGGCGGTGACGTCACCAAGACACTTGTGCCATGCTAGGTGCACATTAAGTAATGGTGCTCATGACAGGTGCATTTGCATCTACACAACATTTTAAATATATATTTAGGGTTTTTTTGGTCAATATGGTAATTGGGTGATAATATGGCTCATTGTTAAAACAAGAAAAAACCATTGCATTAGTGCAATCTTATGAAAAAAATATTTTACAAAACAATTACTATTTATGAACATTTCAGAAGAAAACATTGCCAGATAGTTCTAAACAATTTTTAACTTATGTGATGGGGACGTTAAATATTACAACTCAAGAGGCCATTACAACCTATAATATCATTCTTCTGAGATGTATCAGCCTAATAAAACCATCAGCAACTCCATCATACCAAATAACGCGGAAAATCGTAAGTTGCCCACAGACCCAAACGTGGTTTTGTTGAAGCGCCATGGTGGCGAGATGTAAACTACCTCACCTGGTATACAGGAGATCATGGGTTCGATCCCGACACCTGTATATTTAGAGTTTCCAAATTCTCCCCGTGGCCGCTTTGATTTTTCACCGGGTCCTCCATATTTAGAGTATTTGGCTGCTATACATATTCACACGAGTAACCACTTCATTGAGATATAACTTGTGGCCAGGTCGCTTCTGAAAAAGAGCTATATAGCTCAGTGGGTCTTACATGGTAAAATTAAAGTTTTTAGTTTAGTTTTAGTTTGTTAAATGAAATGGGCAATGTCACATCGATGTATACATACTCTGTAGTAGTCACCTCAACGAAATGCATTTTAAAAACTGAGCACAGAAATTACCCAGCTGGATACACGGTGTGGGCACTACATCGCTGGAACGTTACAAACGTAGTTTGAAAGGCAAAGCATAGCTCTCGAAATGCGATTCAGTCATTAGCAGATGATGGTACACTTCAATCACCATGCTCATGTAAATCAAAATCTGAAAGTAATAGTTTAGCTGCCCAACGCTCAGATGTGACTTGAACGCAGTTCTTCGTTGGAGTGACAACACCCTGTCACGTTCAACGGAGCCAAAAACAGTCACTCCCCTCATATTTTTCAACGTTATTTTTATCCATAGTGAAACAACTTATCTGGTTTTCACAACAGTCTCATCTGAGCTGTCCTGGAACGGACTGTTACCAATTTGGCCAAGGAGGCATTAAAAGAAGCGTGGATTTATTTTCCGTGTCAACGTCTCTTACATTCCGAGCAATTGTTACTGCTGCTGTGCAAAGCACACATTTGGCTAAATTTGAAATCCTGCTGTCATGTCTGGTATGGAGTACCCAGACCTCGCTGCAGTTCATATAATTTAATGTACACCAGTTAGATAATCCAGAACTCACTGATTAACTCATCACCCACTCACTTTTCTATCACTACTACCACGTATACTGTACCCTTGAATTTCACTCATTGAATCCTCCATCCATCTTTTTGGTTCTTTCGGTAAAGTCACGTAGAATGGAAATAATAAAATAATAGAAATAAAACATAATAAAATAATTCTTTTATTATGTTTTATTTAATAAAAATAAAACATAATAAAAATAAAAATAATAAAATAATTATTTTGCTGTTTTTATTTTGATTATTTTATTATTTCCATTCTACGTGACTTTACCGAAAGAACCAAGAAGATGGATCCCTGCAGTCACGAAAGCTTTAAATCGAAATCCTCCATCTATGGTAAGGACTCGGTCGACTAGACTGATTTGTCGCATCCACACTGCAGGTCACAACAAAACACTCAACTACACACCCACTCACCCCAATGCAGATCAAATCACTCTACCCACCCACTCACTGACTCACCACACTGCAAATCAAATCAATCATCAAAGCACCCACTCTCCATACTGCAGATCAAAACACTCACCTATACACCCACTCACCACAATTCCCCTATGCTTCTTCCCTCCCACTGCTCGACGTTTGAACTTCCCTCCAATCCTCTCTTTCCCCGAACTCGTGCAAACCTTTCTCCATCAACATTAATGCATCAACTCTTTGTCTACAACGCCTTCAGCGGTGCCGTTTGCTTCTGGCCACTTGGGTCTTTGCACCTGTGCTCGGGTAGGACTGTAACCACTCTTGCTGGGCGCTAGACATCAAGCGGCCATGGCTACTGGCACTGCCCACCACGTGGCACAGCTTAAGGCTGTAGCATCCTGCTCGGTGGTCGACTGCCACACAATCCCCTCGGGGTCGATAAAATAGGAACCGCTTTATAAGAATTTGCCACTGGTCCTGAAGAGAATGACCCCTCTGCGGCAGGAATATGGAATTTCCACCAGGAGCTCAAGACTGCCAATGGAAATGAGCACCGCCCAATGATTGTTGGGAAAGGAAGGCTGTTATGCGTCACGATTGATTAATACGAGGTACCTCTTACAAATATACTTTATAAACAATGTAATATTTAAAAGCAATATTAAAACCAAGGCTGACATTATGCTTGTGGGACTACTTTGGCTCTCACTTGCATCGCTTGGTCGACCACTCTGTGCAGTGTGAGCACAGGGCAGCATCGTCTTTCATGGCAACCGAGTCCCAGTTGGATTCTCCGTGTTTAGTGTCAATCAGAGCCACAGGCGGCTCAGTGAACTCCATCACTGGCCGAGTCCTGGCTGGATTCTCTGTGTTCTGTGTCATGCAGAGCCACTGGGAGCTGTTAAACACCTTCACTAGTTCAGTCCCGGCTGGATTCTACTTGTTCTGTGTCAACCGGAGCCACAGGGGGCTCAGTGAACTCCATCATTGGCTGAGTCCCGTTTTGATTATCCTTGTTCTGTGTCATCCGGATCCACTGGGGGCTGTCAAACTCCTTCACCTGGCCGATGGCGGTGGCCCCGGCGTGGACCTGCATGGAGCCCGGGTGCTGTGCGTCGGCTCGAGTGGCGTGGGAGCCGCGCAGTGGTCGGCCTCCCGGGAGGCTTGGGAAGCTGCAGCAGCCAGAGGAAGAGTAGGGCGGCCACCATGGCCATGATCTGCGCCACGCTTACGGAGACGTCCAGCAAGCGCAGCGTGTGCAGCGGGTCGCAGCCCTGCAGAAGTCGCAGCAGCGTGGGCTGGCAGCCCTGCAGGGGAAGGCGGGGGAGGCAGCCGATGCTCGAGCGTCACGCTCCTGGGAATGCTCACCGATTCAGCGGTGGAACTCAACCGCTGTTTGTCAAGTCGCCGTATTTGCCTCCTATATGGCGTGCACAGTAGTAGCGTAACGAGCGTAGGGGGCAGGGGTGCCTTGCCCGCCCCTGGTGGCCAAAGCTACGAGTTTGGGCTCCCTTGACAACCACCATAAGATGCGTTTTCAACTACGGTGTAAAAGAACAAAACCTGATTTAAAACGCGGTTTAAATACATTTTCATGAAAATGCTTTCATTAGTAGTGGCTGCATTTTGAAAAGAAGGAGCGCCCCTACAGCGTTAAATGTTCGAGACCGCGAGCGTAATGATGTGATTAGGCAAGAGGAGCTACGATATATATCCGACTAGCAGGAAGTACCCAGCTTTGCCCGGGGGAAACATTTCTATTAAAACGTGTCTTCTCTTAAAAAAAACATAACATATACATACACACATTCTAAGCTATTGTGAAAACCCGACGTTCCGTTTGTCCATTTGTCCGTCAACAAAATTATAAGAGTCTTTCAGAAGTTCTGGAAACCCCCTCCCCCTCCAAAAATCTTTTCACCCCCCCCTCCCATCCAATTTTTATTTTGTAGGCATATATATCTACACACCCTATATACATGAGAGTCAGTAGTATCCAGTGACTATAGTAGTATCTACTGACTCATTAGTAGTATCTACTGTCTCTACAGTAGTAACTGCACACATCAGGATGGTGGGGGCAGAGAAGAGGACATCACACTATTCAGGATTTATCTCAGCGTGTGCTTGTGCAGCAGTAACTGTGGTTGTTTGTTTTTATTTTTGGCATTTTGAACGCGAAGGAGAAGCTCCATCCCGTTGCCGCTCAGCGAGTTCGTTTGCGTTGTTCGAGGCAACCACGAGTCGGTGTTTCCGCGCATGCGCAGATGCGTGCTTTGGCACGCTCAACATTACGATCAGCGTACATTGTTACAAAGTGTGATTTTCGTAGTTTACATTTGAGCAACGGGGAAAAAAACTAATCCCAAGATTTAATCCTGGGGCTGAGTTTGTTGTATCTGTGTACTTTGTTAAAATGTAAACACAACAGTTTGTCAGTTAAGGATAGGCATCCACACACACAGGCAGACACAAAATACTTTTATAGGTAAAAGGTGCGACCGTGCAAGACAAATAAAATATTGGAAGGCCCCACTTGACAGATTGCCACACCCCCCGATCTTATAATGTAGCTACTAATGCCACTGGGCGTGCGGGACACGTCCACACTCGCAAACAACTGGTGGAGTCGATGCCTCATTCGCACACAGGGCCTCTGGCAATTGTTAGTGTCCCAGGCACAGGAACATAAATATGAAATGAGCACGCTTTAAAAGCCACAGAGGTTGGCGATTAAAAAATGTGGGAGGTAAGATTATAAATGACGGCCTCAAGCCTATGGAGGTAGGCGGTGAGGTCGTGAAGCCTGTACAAGTACAGACATTCAGACAGTGCCTGGCCATGAAGTGTTATCTCACTGTGAAGAAGCTATCAACTCAACTTGGATTGAATGAAACTTGATTTCAAATGAAGGAGCTATGCAGTGTTACGCCTGACATTGAAATAAATGGTCCTCACGAACATCATGCAAAGTATTGTGATATTCACTAAATTTTATATTAAGTTTAATTCCTGGGTGGAGTGGTGGCACAATGGTTCACGCACTGCGCTAATTGAGTTGAATTCCTTGCCAGGGCTAACGCCATTGGCGATTGATATCTAACCAGTTCCTGTATTTTTCTCCACCAATCCAAACTAACCAGCGTGATGACGTATGGCCCAACAACCACTGTGACTTACATGGCATGGAGAGGCTTTCACCCAGCAGTGCCTTATTTTCATGATGTATTCCACATATTAAATTAGATTGTATATTATTCGCAGCCATTAGACAAACCAGTGAAATGTAATTCCTGAATTGCCAGGCACCCTTGGTAATGACGCTGTATTGATAGTTTCCACACGTACGTCTCTCATTTGTTACCCACAGGCCACAGGAGAGCTCACACATTGTAATTCAGTTGCTGTATCATTCCCTTGAGGGATTTGTGTAATACGAGCAGACAAAGCCTACGTAACCATTTTTACCAAGTCGCAGAGTCGTATGTTTATGTTACAGCAGAAGCACTCATTCGCATTGAACTATCGCCGCCGAGCCCTTGATGACTACTGAACCATGAATGCCACAAACACTGCGGGTGCGCCAGTGGCTACGCTGCATATTAATCTACAATTAGTGGTCAACACTGAAACTGATGTGAGTTCCCCGGCTCTCTGTTCGAGTCAACATTCTGCCAGCAAATATCCGCAGGGAGTTTACAGGTTGTTTTTCTTGCCAACGACAATCGAACTGCAGGCATTGACAAATACCTCAACGATACCATTTCTGGGATCCCGCTGCTACTGTCAACCTCGTAGAATCTCAGCCTGGATCCGGAAGAATGCTGGCGAATTGAGTGGAACGACGCAGACATCCACAATAATCACACCTTGTTCGAGACCCAAAACATGGCACCCCCCGGTTTAGGCATTTCTCCTCGAAGACACCGGTGGTGTAGCCATCAATCGCATTAGAGTATCAACAGGCCGATGCGCACATCTTCATAAAAAGACAAGTCACAGTAGTGCAAATGTGGCCATGGCAACCCAAACTATGGATCATGTAATAAACCCATAGAGACCCATAGAGATATGTACGGATGCATTAAAGACAAGTCACAGTACGATTGTGGCCATGCAACCCAAACAATTCACCATACAGTAAATCACTGCAGTCTGTGCTCCTTCAGCGGAGGAATAGAAAAAGTACACAAACTCTTTCCTTAAGCCCTCCTGTGGCCAGCAGGCCTCGATATTGGCATTGAGGTCCTAAACGTAGCCATGCGCAATACTTAGAGTTGTGGTTAAGTGCCAGGATTTGAGGTCGAATGCGACCGAAATATTATTCCTTCCTTAGAGCGTCACCTGTTTACGCGTGGCACCTGGTGAATTCAGGTGCTCTGCCCTTTACCTCGGAATTCCAGTACCGTAAACTCTCAATTATCTGCGTGTGGTTTATTCGATTTGCGGATTAACCACACAGCTGAGATTTTGATTTAAATGAATAACATATTGATTTTCCCATAAGCCCAAATTCATAATTAAAAAACTGCTACACGTTGTTATTCTTGGAAATGTTTATTACAAGTCACACGGTGCTCAAACCAAACAAATATGTTCTCCGGTTAATCCAAAATCCACGTGATCACAGTGCACAGAGTGTGCTTTTTTTTGGATTATCCGCGATTTTTAATTATCCGCGGCTGTCCTCCCCGCCATTAGACGGATAATCAAGAGTCTACTATACCTCCATCCGGGCAGCACTGGGAACACGTGCTGCCCTCAACTAGAAGGTCACGAGTTAAAATCCTAATGGAAGGCCAAACCGTTCGGTCAATGTCCTCCATGGGGGTTGATACCAAATATAGCGGTACGTTGCAGGAAAATTTAATGGTGGTTGTTCATTGGAGAAGACTGGCCCTTGCCTGAGGAATGTGGAATGTCACCTAGTGGCTCGGTGCCGGCGGGTGAAGGGAGCGCCGCACCTGCTGGAAGACGCGCATGAGGTCATGCTGGCTTGCGAGGCGCCCGCAGCCGGGCATCAGGCGCAGGCAGCACGAGTCCGGAGGCCATGGCAGGCCCGGGCCCTCGAGCCAATCGGTGAAGTCACTCACCCCACAGCACTTGTGCTGCTCACTCACACACACGCACAGCGAGGTCACTCACCCCACAGCACTTTCACATATAGATCTAGATTGAAAACTCATTTATTTAATACAGCTTTTTTTGTTTAGTTTGTCCTTCCCCCGCACTTCCAATTAGCATGGATGCTCCGCAAGCTTCTCAGCAAAAAATGTTGAACGATTCTGACCACACAGTAGATGTACAAATGCACATGCATACAATGATCACATGACCATCCAGAACATCAAGCAGCGTGCCACACGTCACTACGGACTTGGCAATGGGGTGACTTAAGACCTGTTGCTGAAAGACATCCCAGGCTTGGGTGTACGATGTATGATTGTCTTGTCCATAGAGTTGCATTTTCGTCTGAAGACTGAGGACATCCTGGTCAGTGAAGGAAACCTGCGGACATGCCGTACATGTTATTACATGCCACGTCTTTCCATTTAGCTCTCTCCATGATACAACTAAAAAACTCTGCATTGGATATTCCCAGTTGTAGTCAGTTGTACAATTTACTTACGTACTTACTTCACTGTCTTCCCTGGCTTCCTATACCTATGATTTTCTCAGTCGTAAAATTATATTATCTGTTTTCTCATTACATCAACAAGAAATCTAACTTACCTTTGATCTTAATAATTCATGAATAAACATCAACTTTTTAAACGTGATCCCCTTGGTTACACGTGCCAGGGGTACCTTGTGATGCAGGTTCCAGATGCCAGTGGCCACCTCCACACACAGCATCAGCAGCAGACCACCTCCATACTGCCGGGGGCACGTGTGGAAGGACACAATCCACGGCAAACGTATGTTTGTATGTCATATCTGTCAACCTATAAGGTTTACCTGTATTCTTGTACATGGAAATTGAGTTCAGGTCCTTAAAGCGTATAGCCGTTTCAATACGGGCACAAAATAATTATCTATTTGTGTTTCTCCCCTATGATTGGACTTTGTAGGATGAACGTTGAGATGTACAAGGATGCGGGGTGAACAATAAGGTCTGAATTGGTCTGTAATAAGATAGGCACTGTTGTATGTGTTGTGATTATGAAATTTTGATGAAAATAATAAAAATTAATAATTTTCCGAAAAATGCGCAAATCGCATTAATTATGATAGTGTGTGTATTAATACGCATAAATTATGATAATGCGTGTAATTATATGCATAAATTATGATAATCACGGAGATAATCGTAGTAATTTATGCGGAGGCTTGCGATTATGTTAATGTGTGCAGTTATGATAATTTGCTTAGTTTCGTTTATCCAGAGTTATCAATCAGGATAACACGATTATCATAGATTCATTTACCGATTATCCTAGTGTGTGTTATAATATTTTAGGTCTCCATTTTCATATCTCATCACAGGATACAGTTGTCAAGAATAAGACAGTTTTGCATGGACTTGGAAGGAACACTCGATATGCTTCTGGATTACAATTTTATTCTAACAAGCACGTGACATTCTATCATGCAGGTCAAACATGCGTCAATAATTCATGGGCAAGATTATGCAATTAACTAATATGAACGACAAAAACTTATGCAGTTGTGACATTATGCAATTATGCAATATGAATAACGAAAACTCTTATGCATTTATGTAACTCGACGGCAGCAACTGCTTTGCACGATCAGTTGATATTGAACGCACCACCTCGAAATGGCAACCCTTTTTGAAACGAAAAGACAGTTTTTCTTTTAAAGTCTTATTCGTGTGCGTGCTGTGTGTGCGTTGTCCCCTCGTAATATTAATTGTGTCGTTAGCTTGTGTGGTGTGGGAGGATACGAACAGCTCCTGCTGCTCCCTCGCTCGGCGTGTCGCTCGGCTTTTGCTCTCTCTCTCTCTCTCTCCACTGCTGGATTGAGCGGCGTTGGCACGATGTTCCTTGAAGAAACTTGCTTGCTTGGCGCTTGATGGTTCCGGGGCTTGGTGCTGCTCGTGCGCTCTCTCTTTCTACTGCTAGATGACGAGTTGGCACGATGCTGTCCTTGAAGATGCTCGGTCGCTCGTGTCGCTCGGTGTCGCTCGGTGGCGCAAGGTGTCGCTCGTTGTCGCTCGTTCAGCGATCTCCGCCTTTCCTGCGGGTTGTTCGCTGGTCGTCACTCTGACGAGGAGCGATGCTTCGTTCGTGGCAGGGTGGACGTTGGCGTCTTTGTTGGCTTCACTCGCAGCTCTGCGACTCAGGGTAGCGATTCTTCTCAGGTGGTGCAGACCTCGGCTTGTAGCTACGCGTCGCTACTCCGCAAACCTCGTCATTCTGAATGACAGGAGCTTCTTCGTTGGCGGCGACGAGGAGAGATGGAGCCACAGCCCTGGAGATCTGTGATGGGGGCCAGAGCCCCTGTCGATCTGTGGTGGAGCCGAAGATGGGCTCGTAGCCCGGATGATATGTGTGTTGGAGCCGAAGCCCGGACGATATGTGATGGGGGCCAGAGCCCCTGACGAACTGTGATGGAGGCCAAAGCCCCTGTCGATCTGTGTTGTATGGATTTTCCTTCGGTTTATATCGGAAAATTCCACTCGGCTCCCCGAGTTGTTCAAAAGCTGTGTCATAAAACCTTCCTGTGGGGGTGGACCATCTGCGTCCGTGTGTGTGTCCGTTCGTGTGTTTCGCGTGCGTGTTTGTCCGTGTGTTTATTAGCTTTGAAGACACAGCTGTGTGTGTCGTTCTGGAAGAAAGGGGGTGGGGGCCTCGTGTCGGCTGCTTCAGAAGTTATCCATTAGCCAGACCGATGATTCGCGTTGAGTTAAAAAAAAAACATTCGAATCCATGTTTTGTTACTGAATAACATTTGTCGCGAAAACCTACGCGTTAAGCGAGCTTAACTATTCACTCCCTTGCTCTGGGATCACATCCTTTGTCTCACACAGCTTAAGTTGGTTTGGTTTGGAAGTTGAAATGCGACTTATTTGCTGCTTGGTTATGCCGAAACAGTGTTCACGATGTTTCATCGTGACCCGATCTCCCATGGAAATGTCATTTCCTGGTTTGTGCAATTTTTGCTGTCCGTGTTGTGGGAAGACAAAGGCGGTTGTTTCCACGGTGGGAGCACCCGGCGTGTTTATTTATTCGAAGGCGTGTGTTAATTCCCTTTGAGCCCTTGCCCCAACTTTTATGGGTGTCATTTCCTGGCTTGGTGCCTGTGTGTCGTGATCCTCTCGGAAAGACAAAGGCGGCCGTGTTGCTCGCTTCCCATGGGTGTTGTGTTTGGTTAATTTTGAGAGCCTTCTCCGCCCTTGATTCCTCTTCTACTTTAATTCCGTACTTATTATTTGACTTCTTGTGATTATTTGATCTGATATCCCGGCTAGGAATTTTGTTTTGGAGCGAAATCGATGCCATAATTATTCTTTGATGCTTCGGCCCGGCCGTGTAGATATTCTTTAAAGGTAAATAATGTCAGTATTTATTAACAATGATGGGTCGCGATTCTGGTTTTGATTGTCGTCTGGTTTTCAATTGGAGTGAGGATGGATACTGTTTGCTTAATCTTTATGGTTAAGTTGGTAACTTGTGTATTTAATATGGTTCAAGGACCCATCTGTGCTTTTTGTCGTCGATGCTGTTTCTTTGTTAAGAATATAATTATCTCTTCCTCCGTGTCTCCTGGTTCTGCAACCCCCCGCCTGCAATTCCCCCCCTCCCTTGTTCCTCTTGTGTGAATTTAGGGGAGTTTTTTTTTTATTACCTTATTGCCCCCCCTTTCATGTCCTCTTTCCTTTGAAATGAGGTATGCGCGCATCTGTGGAAGTGTGGGGGCCTCTGTGGAAGTGTGGGGGCGTGTTCGTTCCCACGTGGCCGCGTCTATTAAAAAAAACGATATTATCTATGTTGGCAGAATAATTCTTAAAAAAAAAATATTTAAAAAAAATAAAAAGGGGGCATATACACAACAGTCCGCCCTTTTGAAAATTATCAGGGGTCGATTTGGCCACTGGCGAATTTTCAAACAAAGTAATGCCCCCCTTTTTTTTTTGTCATGAATCCCATCAGCCGCTCTTACTCTCGGCGGTTATTTCTTACGACGCGCGTGCACGTATTACCATCTTAACCTGGTTACATCTGAAATAAGCAAAGAAAATAAACAACACGTTAACATCGATATTGCGTTACATCGGTTCTCATACATCATAACTCCGGCGAATATTCATTTTTGTTTTTGTTAAATCCTGGTTACATTTGAATTAAGCAAAGAAAATAACAACACGTTAACATCGATATTGCGTTACATCGGTTCTCATCCCTCATAACTACGGCGAATATTCATTTTTGTTTTGTTAAATCCTGGGAAACGCTAGGTAGCGGTTTCGAACGCATTTATGCGTTACCTTCCTCATGTTGCCTGGTTTACCACTTATCACTTTGATAATTTGATCACGGTTTTCGGGTTCGTTTTTGTAGTTTCCTCTCTCACTCTCTCGCGTCGTGGGAGTGTGTGGTGAAAAATTGTGCTGCACGTAACCAGAATTCGCGCACACGACCCACTTTGACACTTGGTTCGTGGCATTCGCTCTCTCTGCGATTACATGCACATTTGCCGAGTCAGTGTGTCGACTTAATTCTGTGCCTCGTAATGTTGCCCTCTTTGTTTTTACGAGTGTGTTAGATTCCAACACCATTCCTGATATGTCATGAACATTCGTCTCCATTTTAGCACTCCGATCCACATAATTTTTGGTTTCCCTTGGATATTTTCCATTCAAAGGCTCACGCCTGCGCTCCTCAGGGCGTGTCTCTGTGTTCTCTCTTTGTCTCTGCTGTCTGCTATCCACCGTCCGATCACACTTCCATTCAGCCCTGTCACTTGCAGCCTGCTCAGGGTTTAACACCTCGGCGGGTGGGGCGCGTATGGGCTGCCCGCTCTCAATCACTGTGGATGGTTCATCACGTATTTGGACCGCATTCTGTGTTATTCCTCTATTCCCTCCTGGTATAGCCGGTGGAGGAATTGGTCGGAATTGGATCGATTGTGTTTGACCTCCCATCCTGCGATTCTCCTGAATGTTCGCATCCATACCTCCGCGGTCTGTGTAACACCTTCCCGCTAGGTGGTTATCTTCCCATCTCTGTGCGTAATTTGAACCTTGCGTGTGTCGTGGGATGGGGTGTTGATATGGTTCTGCTCTGAACCTCTCCCTCCTGCGATTCTCGTACATTTTTAGCCCAGTATTTCTCCCATTTGGGTGCCAAATTTTTCCTGGATTGTTACCTCGCCATCTTTGTGGGTAATTTTGATCTTGTGTGTGTCGTGGCATGGGGTGTTGGTATGGTTCTATTCTGAACCTCCCCCTCCTGCGATTCTCCTGAATGTTCGGCTTTGTGCCGCTCTCATTCTCGTGCCAACCTCTCTCTGGGTTATTTTGCCATGGGTGCGTGCGTTTCTGCTCTGTCCTGCATTGTGGGACTGCTCGGTGATTTTTATTCCTCTCTGAGAGGCTGGGTTCCTCATCCCTCTCCCTGTGTTCTGGATCCGAATTATGATTCTTAGCTCTGTACAACCATGCCATGTACGCCTTGCTCTCTATGCGGCGTAAGGATGCGGTTTCTGGATTCAAAACCATCCTCACCCTTTCTGTAATCTCTGGGCTCAAGGATTCAAAAAACATAATTTTGAACATTTTATCTCCTTCGTGGTATTGATTCACATCGCCTGCATAATACGCTCTTTTAAATTGGACGAGGTAGTCACGTGGATCTTGGTCCATGCCCTGGGTCATCGATTTTACAGCATAAAACCCCTCAGTGAGTGTCGAA